TGCTTCCCTTGGAATGGGACCAAGAAATGTTCCAGCAGCCCCGTTTATCTCCACATCTCGGCACTCTCCGTTTCGCTTTGACAAGCCCCTTTGACAACTTTAAGCCTCAGCTTTTCTTCTCCCTTGTGCAAGAGGGAGGAGAACTGGCAGGCAGCCAAGGTGGTTTCTTATTTTTCTTTTTCAGAAAAGTTGTGAGTGCATCCATTTTCCTGGCTATCACGAGCATCATCGGAAGTGCAATGATGACTGTTAATGGCGCCTTGTAAGCATTGTCCATTTTTTCCAGCTTGCTGCAATTTGACAGCCCTCTGGTATCTGTTTGGAATGCATACAGCTGAAGTTGCTTGTGGGCCCTCGTGCGGCAATGACGTCGTCCAAAACTTAAAAGTATCACCTGGAAGGATTTTGGACCTTGAGCTCCAGAAGATTGGTGATGTCACCCAGGCAGAAGAACAGGGGGTGGAACTTCAGCTGACTTGGCCAAGGTTTCTGTCCATGGGCAACATTCTACTCAGGAGGAGAATTCTAAGCAACTTTGTCCAGAACCTACGTAATTTTATTTTTCCTTCCAGGGCAGGGAACACTTGATTCGAGAGGAAATAATCTGTTTAAGCAGTTAGAATAATAGTGTCTTTAGGCTAGAATTGATGCTTGTGTATTATTAGCAAGCCAGTTCTGTGAGTTTGTCGTTGACCTAGAAACAAGTTTGGGATGGCGGCAAAATGTCATTTTAAGGAATTGCGTTGAGCAGGGTCTTCTATTTTAAAAAAAAAAAAAAAGCATCTAGACCAAGGGAAGTAATAGTGCCACTGTATTCTGCTCTGGTCAGACCTCACCTGGAGTACTGTGTCCAGTTCTGGGCACCACAGTTCAAGAAAGACACTGACAAACTGGAATGTGTCCAGAGGAGGGCAACCAAAATGGTCAAAGCCCTGGAAACGATGCCTTATGAGGAACGGCTAAGGGAGCTGGGCATGTTTAGCCTGGAGAAGAGGAGGTTAAGGGGTGATATGATAGCCATGTTCAAATATATAAAAGGATGTCACATAGAGGAGGGAGAAAGGCTGTTGTCTGCTGCTCCAGAGAAGCGGACACGGAGCAATGGATCCAAACTACAAGATAGAAGATTCCACCTAAACATTAGGAAGAACTTCCTGACAGTAAGAGCTGTTCGACAGTGGAATTTGCTGCCAAGGAGTGTGGTGGAGTCTCCTTCTTTGGAGGTCTTTAAGCAGAGGCTTGACAACCATATGTCAGGAGTGCTCTGATGGCGTTTCCTGCTTGGCAGGGGGTTGGACTCGATGGCCCTTGTGGTCTCTTCCAACTCTATGATTCTATGATTCCTTTTGGAAGCAGGAGCCTGAGCTGTGCTCGAACCAAGTGAGCTGTGATTCTTGCATTGCGATTCCTGCATTGCAGAGGGTTGGACTAGATGACTCGAGGTCCCTCCCAACCTTGCAGTTCTACAACTTCCAGGGGAAGTGATGGTACCGCTCTATTCCGCCTCAGTCGGACCACACCTGGAGTTCAGTTCTGGGCACCACAATCTAAGAAGGATATTGACAAGCTGAAACATGGAAGGATCTGACCTTCCATTGAGCACACAGGGTTGATTTCCTTCAGAATGGATTGGTTTGATCTTCTTGCAGTCCATGGGACTCTCAAGAGTCTCCTCCAGCACCAGAATTCAAAAGCATCCATTCTTCGGCGATCAGCCTTCTTTCTGGTCCAGCTCTCACTTCCATACATCACTACTGGGCAAACCATAGCTTGAACCATACGGACCTTTGTCGGCAAGATGATATCTCTGCTGTTTAAGATGCAGTCTAGGTTTGTCATTGCATTTCTCCATCACTGTAAAGGTAAAGGGACCCCTGACGATTAGGTCCAGTCGCGGACGACTCTGGGGGTTGCGGCGCTCATCTCGCTTTACTGGCCGAGGGAGCTGGTGTACAGCTTCCGGGTCATGTGGCCAGCATGACTAAGCCACTTCTGGCAAACCAGAGCAGCGCACGGAAACACCGTTTACCTTCCTGCCGGAGCGGTACCTATTTATCTACTTGCACTTTTACGTGCTTTTGAACTGCTAGGTGGGCAGGAGCTGGGACTGAGCAACAGGAGCTCACTCCGTCGCGGGGATTCGAACTGCTGACCTTTTGGTCAGCAAGTCCTAGGCTTTGTGGTTTAACCCACAGCGCCACCCGCGTCCCTATCTCCATCACTGTAGGAGCTCTTATATTCTTATGCTGCGGTGGGAAACTTTCTAGAAACTGGAGGGCAGATTTCAGCACGGCACAACTCCAAACACAGATCTCCCACGAGTAACATGGCATGCACATCTGGCTTCCAGCTGGCCAGGCTGCTGGCATTTCCACCTGGCGTCTTTGCAGGGGGTAAAATATGTTTCTACCCATCCCTTCCGCAAAAGACACTGTGCTCCAGTGGCTGCGACATCCCAGGTGCTGCGAAAAAACAGGAGAAGCTCAAACTGCCCATGTCCCCTTCCCCATGTTGAGATGGGTTTTATTTTCAGTTCAGATTTCCCACCCCTTGCTTCTGTTTGCTGAGCCCTGCTGGATCTCTCTCTTTAAAAAAAAATTTTTTATTAAGCAATTTCAGCATAACAAATTATCTATTCGTATAATCACATACATTCTTTCCCCCTTTTTCCCTACGCCCCCTTCCATCTCTCCCTCCCCCCTCCCACCAGGGACTTCCATCAGCTGATTTCTCTGCACATATTATTCTCTGCATGTTATAAAGTTATACATATCCTTACCTTATCTATCTATCTATCTATCGTGTTACCAATAAATTTGTGTATGTTTATTCAAAACCTGCCAAGGAATCCAATTCATTTTGTTGTCTTTTTAGATAATTTGTAAAAAGCTCCCATTCTTCCTTAAAATCACAGTTGTCCTTGTCCTGCAGTTTATATGTCAATTTAGCCAACTCTGCATAGCTCATCAATTTTCCTTGCCACTGTTCATTCGTTGGGATTTCCTCATTCTTCCTCCCTTGTACTATCAAGACTCTTGCTGCTGTTGTAGCATACATAATTAAATTCTTTGTTTTTCTTGGCAGGACTTGTCCTACAATCCCTAACAAAAACGCTTCTGGTTTGTTTTTTTTTACAAATGTCATTTGAAGCATTTTTTTCAATTCACTGTATTTCCCTTTTTTTAAAAAAACTTCTCTACATTCCCACCACATATGATAAAAAGTCCCTTCTTTTTCTTTACATTTCCAGCATATGTTTGACCCGCTTTTATACATTTTTGCTATCTGTACAGTGGTACCTCGGGTTAAGTACTTAATTCGTTCCAGAGATCTGTTCTTAACCTGAAACTGTTCTTAACCATAAGGTCCAGTCATGGCCGACTCTGGGGTTGTGGCGCTCATCTCGCTTTATTGGCCGAGGGAGCCGGCGTACAGCTTCCGGGTCATGTGGCCAGCATGACTAAGCCACTTCTGGCGAACCAGAGCAGCACACGAAAACGCCGTTTACCTTCCCGCGGGAGCAGTACCTATTTATCTACTTGCACTTTGACGTGCTTTTGAACTGCTAGGTGGGCAGGAGCAGGGACCGAGCAACAGGAGCTCACCCCGTCGCGGGGATTCGAACCACCGACCTTCTGATCGTCAAGTCCTAGGCTCTGTGGTTTAACCCACAGCGCCACCCGCTATGTATATACAGCAATATACCATATTACAATTCACATCCCATCCCGCAGAAAAATTTAAAATACATTTTTTTTAAAAAAGACCTAAAATAGACTTCTGATTGTTCTCAAAAAAAACCAACCCTAAATTTACCCCTAAAGTAAAATATACTTGTTATATTTTACACAGTATCCTATTAAATAGTATCCCATTTCACCGCCGTCACAGGGGAAAGCAATGACAACTTCTCAGCGTATGGCCAATGCCTCCCCTCAAGACCCCCTTAACGGGGAACCCTGGGATCACCACCGCAAGGGGGGCGTGGATCACCGCTTTACGCCCCCCCCCCATTTAGGAAGACAGACTAAAGGATTCCGCCCGAGGCCTGAAACCGCCAATGTTGTGATGTTTTGCTACAGGAAAGGCAAAACCTGCCAATGCAGGAGAATTCCTTCCCGGCCCTTCAACAGCGACCTTGACGTAGCAGCGCTCGCGTACCTGTGGAGAAAAGGTTAACCTGCAAAATAAGGCTTAACTGAGGGAGGGCAGGGTGGGAGATCTGGAGCCAACTGACGCTTCGCAGGTAAGATTCACCTTCTGTTGTGTGGGCAGGGCGGTCCCTCCCCCTACCTGGCCGAACCCCTGGCAACGCCTCCCCAGGCAGGATTGGGCGATTGGGTGAGGTAGGCGGAGACCTCCAGATATCCAGCCTGGGGAGAGCGAAGCCAACCCATACTACCAGGAGCCACCCTTGGATCCAGGACCATGCAATAGGGGGCCCCATTTGATGTGGGGACCGGTCATTGTGAAAACTCAATAAATATATTTTTTATTAAAAAAAAACTGGAGAGGAGGAGCCTTAGAGAGGGGTGGGAAGGCATGGACCATCAGTCCTCGCAACTGACTCTGACTCCTGTTCTCACTTTGGCCAGACAAGATACCCCCAGTGGGAAGCAGGACCCGTGTTCAAAAGCAGCACACTCCCCACATTCCCAGCAAGTCATCTTCAGATTCATTCTGCCTCCGACTGAGGAGGGAGAACAGAGCCAGCATAGCTAGCTGCTGCTGACAGCTTTGTCCTCCATGAATTTGGGCGTCTGGGCTCCGGGGCTGTTTTCTTTGCAACCCCTGCACTTGAATTGCTCTTTAGCGGGAGCCAGGGTGGTGTAGTGGTTAAGAGCGGCGGACTCGTAATCTGGTGAACCGGGTTCGATTCCCTGATCCTCCACATGCAGCTGCTGGGTGACCTTGGGCCAGTCACACTTCTCTGAAGTCTCCCAGCCCCACTCCCCTCACAGAGTGTTTGTTGTGGGGGAGGAAGGGAAAGGAGAATGTTAGCCGCTTTGAGACTCCTTCGGGTAGTGATAAAGCAGGATATCAAATCCGAACTCTTCTTCTTCTACTTTAGTGCTAAGCAATGGTTAACTTTAATAGCAACGACACCTAAAATCACCACGTGCAATAAAATCACCCCAAAGCATCTATCCCAGCAAGGAGAAAGGAGAGCGTCAAAACAATTATCCAAAGTGGGTTTTTGTGTGTGTGTGTCTGTTGACTACGGCCTCTAGGAGAAAGATTGTCAAGGCACACGCTACAGGATTCCAGAGCCAACAACTGATGGAAGAAGGCAAGATCCCCAGAGGAAATGGCTTCAGATGGTGGGGGACACACAGAACGGCAGATTCGAGAGCAGATGAGCAGCGGCGTTCACCACCTGTGGTAGAGAAGAGATGAAATGGGCACATTAGAAACACTGAGAATCCTAGGGCAAAAGGGACGAACTGCCGTCTTGTTAACAAGGTGTGAAATCCCGAAACCAGGAGGAAGGGACGTTGGATTAAGATTGGACTTGATTATATGCTTCTTTCTCTTTTTTTGTTTTTTTTTTGTTCTTTTTAATTAATAGAATGTTTTATAAAGCTGATGAATGATAGAATGAGAGAAAAATGAATGATAGGAAAATGTTGGAAGAATTTACCTGGCTTTAGCAAAAATGTATAAAGAATTATGAAAGAACATTATGAATATAAGAAGTGGGTAAAGTCAAGATCTAAATTTTAAATTTTAAAGTTTATTTTATAATAGAAGGAAAGGATTTGTGAAAGAACATTATGAATATAAGAAGTTGGTATGATTAAGATTTAAATTTTAAATTGTAAGGTCTATTATATAATAGAAAAATGGAAAGGATTTGCTGGGATAATTAATAACTAGAATACAAAGGAAGGGAGGAGGAGGAGGTCTAATGTTTTTTTCTTTTTACTATTATTCTTCTTCTGTATTTCTTACTTTTTCATATTTTTATTATTTTTTACTTTTGTATCTTTTTCATATTGTGTGTAAGTTTTTGTATTTTTTATTTTTTTGTTTTTGTGTAATTTCTGTATTTTTTCTGTTTTCTTTTGAAATCTCAATAAATATTATTAAAAAAAAAAAACAAGGTGTGAAGAAGCACTTTCTCAAGGCAGGTGAACGAAAGGACTGATTCATTCACTGCATGGTTAAACTGTGGAACTCCCTCCCACCGGAGGCAGTGATGGCCGACAACTTGGGTGGCTTTAAAGAGGACTGGACAAGATTGTGCAGGAAGAGAGGGCTATATCTGTGGCTACCAACCGTGATGGCTATGTTTTGCCTTTGCAGCTTGAGGCAGCAACGCTTCTGAATACCAATTGCAGGAAGCTACAGGAGGGATGCGGGTGGCACTGTGGGTTAAATCACAGAGCCTCGGACTTGCCGATCAGAAGGTCGGTGGTTCGAATCCCCACGACGGGGTGAGCTCCCGTTGCTCTCTCCCTGCTCCTGCCAACCTAGCAGTTGGAAACCACATCAAAGTGCAAGTAGATAAATAGGTACCGCTCCGGCGGGGAGGTAAACGGTGTTTCCGTGCGCTGCTCTGGTTCGCCAGAAGTGGCTTAGTCATGCTGGCCACATGACCCGGAAGCTGTATGCCGGCTCCCTCGGCCAGTAAAGCAAGATGAGCGCCGCAACCCCAGAGTCAGTCACGACTAGACCTAATGATCAGGGGTCCCTTTACCTTTACTTTACAGGAGGGTAGAGGGCTCTTGTGCCGGGGTCTTGCTTGAGGGTTCTCCAAAGGTAAATCAAGGAAGATTAAACATCAGGAAGAACTTTCTGAGGGTTGGAGGCGGTTGGAGGATGGATGGCGGCTAATGGATTGAGGCTGAATCCTGACAAGACAGAAGTACTGCTTTGGGGGGACAGGGGGTAGGTGGCTGTGGAGGACTCCCTGGTCCTGAATGGGGTAACTGTGCCCCTGAAGGACCAGGTGCGCAGCCTGGGAGTCATTTTGGACTCACAGCTGTCCATGGAGGTGCAGGTCAATTCTATGTCCAGGGCAGCTGTTTACCAGCTCCATCTGGTACGCAGGCTGAGACCCTACCTGCCCGTGGACTGTCTCGCCAGAGTGGTGCATGCTCTTGTTATCTCCCGCTTGGACTACTGCAATGTGCTCTACGTGGGGCTACCTTTGAAGGTGACCCAGAAACTACAACTAATCCAGAATGCGGCAGCTAGACTGATGGTTGGGGGAGGCCGCCAAGACCACATAACACTGGTCTTGAAAGACCTACATTGGCTCCCAGTACGTTTCCGAGCACAATTCAAAGTGTTGGTGCTGACCTTTAAAGCCCTAAACGGCCTCGGCCCAGTATACCTGAAGGAGCATTTCCACCCCCATCGTTCAGCCCAGACACTGAGGTCCTGCTCCAAGGGCCTTCTGGCGGTTCCCTCATTGCGAGAAGCTAAGCTACAGGGAACCAGGCAGAGGGCCTTCTCGGTAGTGGCACCCACCCTGTGGAATGCCCTCCCACCAGATGTCAAAGAGATAAACAACTACCTGACATTTAGAAGACATCTGAAGGCAGCCCTGTTCAGGGAAGTTTTTAATGTGTGACATTTTAAATGTGTGACATTTTAATGTATTTTTAATCTTTGTTGGAAGCCGCCCAGAGTGGCTGGGGAGACCAGTTGTTGTTGTTGTTGTTGTTGTTGTTGTTGTTGTTGTTGTTGTTATTATTGGAGCTGTTCAACGCTTGAACGGATTCCCTTGGAAGATGGTGGACTCTCCTTCCTTGGAGGCTTCTAAGCAGAGCTTAGATGGCCATCTGTCAGGGATGCTTTAGTTGAGATCCCTGCACTGCTGGACCAGATGAACCTTGGGGTCTCTACAATTATTCGATTCTATCAAGGGCACCTGGGTCTTAAGCCACCTAGGTGGGTGGCCATCAGTCGATCCACACCAGCAGATCCATATCTATGATCTGCCCACCCGTACAATGCTATGCTAGGATTACAGACCTTGCAGGGTCACTTATTAAGCAGTTCCAAGTTTTGGGATGGGATAACATCATGCCTGACACCTCTTGAGTGAACGACGGCAGGTTCATAAACTGAAGCCCTTTGACGACAATTCCACCCCAAGCATTGTTCGGAACCAATGGGCCAAATCAGCCAGCCCGAGTCTTTGCCGACTAATAAATTAGCCAGAAGAGAGACTTTTACAGCAGCTCAACATAGCAGGCGCTTTCTTCGCAACCAGCTCCATACCGCAGGCTCAGGCTGTTCAAAGAAGCTGTCGCACATGGTGCCAGGGACCGCTCAGAAAACGGCATATTTCACCTCCAGGTCAGCGGTTCCCATTTGGATCACGGCGTCTCGTGAGCGAAAGGGGCCCATTCACATGTAGGATTCTTTGGCAGGGGATTTCTGATGGAGGAGTTCCAGTTCAGTTCCCAAGAAGAAAGGGGACCAGATTTTAATTTTGGTCTCCTTTCTTCTTGGGAAGCGAACTGGAACTCCATCATCGGAAGTCCCCTGCCAAAGAATCCTACAGCCGCCTAAAGCTCATGAGACGCCTTCAGCCTTTCATATAGAGTCTCTCCAGTCCTTCATCCTTCAGCAATTCTAAGGGAAAGTGATGGAGATTTCGGCAATTTAAGAATAAGTTCTTGTGCCTTTCTAGCTTTGCCTCCAATATTATTTTACATAGTTCTGACGCCATGACAGATATCGTCCCAGCCACCATGTTAGAACTCTACACACCACAGAAGTTCATTTCTAAGCTGAGGGGTCCAAAATAGGAAGCACCCTCACTCAGGACAACATGGGGGGGGGGGAGAAGGTGCTCCAATGACCTATCTCTCCCCCCTACCCAACAGTACACAAATCAATACGATCAGGGCTTTTTTTCAGCTGAAACTCACCGGAACAGAATTCTGGCACCTCTCAAGTGGGCACCACTGACATTCTAAGAGAATGAGGGTTCGTGGTGGGTTCCAGCACCTTTTTTTCTAGAAAAATAGAACTGGATATACCGTATTTTTCGCTCCATTGGACGCACCGGACCATAGGACGCACCGAATCATAGGAGGGGGAGAACAGGGGAAAAAAAATTTTTCTTGTTCTCCCCCTCTAAAACAAGGTGCGTTCAAGGTCTCGCTGTTCTGGCTTGGGAACAGCCTTGCTAGCTTCTGCAGTACAGCGGGGTGAAGGTACCCCGCTGCCCTGCAGAGGTTTGCGCGCAGCCGTCCCCAAGCTAGAGCAGCGAAACGGAGCCCTCCGTCTCACTGTTCTGGCTTGGGAACAGCCTTGCTAGCTTCTGCAGTACAGCGGGGTGAAGGTACCCCGCTGCCCTGCAGAGGTTTGCGCGCAGCTGTCCCCAAGCTAGAGCAGCGAGATGGAGCCCTCCGTCTCGCTGTTCTGGCTTGGGAACAGCCTTGCTAGCTTCTGCAGGACAGCGGGGTAAAGGCACCCCGCTGCCCTGCAGAGGTTTGTGCGCAGCCGTCCCCAAGCTAGAGCAGCGAAACGGAGCCCTCCGTCTCGCTGTTCTGGCTTGGGAACAGCCTTGCTAGCTTCTGCAGGACAGCGGGGTAAAGGCACCCCGCTGCCCTGCAGAGGTTTGCGCGCAGCCGTCCCCAAGCTAGAGCAGCGAGACGGAGCGCTCTGCAGTGCTCCGTCTTCCTGTTCTGGCTTTGGGCTTAGCGGCGCAGCCTGCATTCGCTCTATAGGACGCACACACATTTCCCCTTAATTTTTGGAGGGGGAAATGTGCGTCCTATAGAACGAAAAATACGGTAGCTGATCTGACTCAACAACCCACTCAGTTGTACAAACGAAGCAAACTTCAACCAACTGAACGCAACCAACCAAGCACTAGACCCTCCAATCTCTCACGACACCGACCAAAGGAAGGACGTATACAGTGGAACCTCGGTTTTCAAGCATCTCAGAAGCCAAACAATTTGGAACCCAAACGCCAAAAACCCAGAAGTGAATGCTTCCATTTTCAAACGTGCCTCAGAAGTTGAGCGGCTTCCGAGGCATGTTTCTCCATTTTCTCGATGGAATTTGCTGACCGCCCATTGCTCCTCGGTTTTCAAACGTTTTGGAAGTCGAACGGTCTTCTGGAACGGATTACGTTTGACAACCAACCGCTGTGTAAGTAAAGGACCTACTCACGTGACTCTGACACAAAAATCCCACACAAACACTACACAACAGAATGAAAGATCAATATCCCCTCCATTTTTCCGTCCTCTCTCTTTTCACCCAACCACATACGTGACAACAGTACGTCCTACCGAATGCCAACTGTGAAAAAGACTCCGTGAATTGAAAGCGGTGATATTCTATGTGCTTTTTTTTTGTTTGTTTGTTACACAAGAAAATCTTTAATAAAAACTATTTAAAAAAAAACAACCGCACACAATTGCAGGGGGACAGGGGAAAGTTGTAAGTTGGCGCAACGGCGGCCATCTTGGCCAGGAAAAGCAATATCATCTAGGCTGATCCACAAATGAAGGTGAAGGAGAAAGTTCCCAGAGCAGTGGGGTAGCAGGCCGGGATTACAGGGGGTCAGAGACTCATTTATGCAGTCCCTGTCTCCAGCACCCTAGAGCAGCCCAATCAGCATGAAAGGGGAACTTTAAGCCACTCTATGCTATTGTGTTTTTAAGTTCAGGGAGGAAGGGAGTTGGGCGTACCAGCAAAATCTTGAGGGCACCAAGTTGGGGAAGGTGGTTGTGGAAGTCGCAGCAGGATGCTAAAATTCCCCCGAAGCCTTTGCTTATGTATTATGCATCTGCTACAAAGCAAAGAAAGGAATCACAGAGCAGATTCCTAACATAGCTTTGTGGGCTCAACATGCCTTTCTGGGAGAGAACGTTGTCACCTTTTGCCTGGGCTGGTATTTCCATTCCATACACACACACACCTGTGCACCTGGATGGGCGTTTTGTTTGAGAGCAACTGTAAAAGGGGAAATGATTAATAGGCAAAATGTTATGCGTGGCAGAGATATTGGCTAGAGGAATACACGGATGCCCAGAAGGCTGGACAGATCCTGGAGACGAGATGGGAGTCAAGTTTCACTCATGCGAATGAAAGAAAGGGGCCTAAGAATGGATCCTGTGCCAAATGTTAAGGCATTCTGGGTACAAAAGGAGTGATTCTCGGGGTGTCAAAATAACTTTCGCAGCTGCGTGTTGTCAATTGGCTGCCGAACAGGGAGATGTTTGGGTGCTGTTCTGTACTGAGTTGAATAGGATCCAAAAGGCAGCAGTCTGATTGGTCCTAGAACAATAGGATTCAGAATGCAGCAGTCTGATTGGTCCTAGAACAATAGGATTCAGAATGCAGCAGTCTGATTGGTCCACAGGAGCCACCCAATCCAGCTCCAGGTGGAGTGAATCCACTACCTGATTGGCCCTCAGGTGAATCCCGGAATTAGCCAGTCATGTGGGGCCCATTGTGTAAATAATGTATATAAAGCAGACATTCTGGGGGAACTTCCATTCCTCCTCACCACTATGAGCTGAATGAAGAGCATGAAATCCACTCTCGACTTTGAGTATATTTCAGGAGCCTTTCAAAAATGGAAATCCAGAGCAGCTTCTTCTTCTTCCCAGACAGTTGGGGGTCCCACAATGAACGTGATGGAATTGTGACGTGGCCAATCCAATTTGGCTACACGATCATGTCATAAAGCCAGTTCAAAGTGAGGGCAATGCTTCCTGCCCTTGCTCTGAACAGGCAATCTCATACATATATACATATATATATATATTACACACAGACCCACACACACACACACACACACACACACACACTAGGCCTTACATCCTCTGGCTTGCTCAGCTCCTTGTAGGGTAGACAGACAGGCTTCCTTTGGCCCCTCTGCCACTTTTCCCAGAATTTGGTGAACAGGTATTTGTCCATTGCTTCTGCAATCTCCTGAGGATTGTCCAACTTTCGGAAATCCTCCGATGGAAGAGCTTGGATGAATCTGGAGACAACAGTTGACATTGTTAAGAACAATCTGTGTCCTGCTTCATCAGCTTGTGTTATCAGTCTTCCCTCCATCTAACACAGAGGCTCTCAAACATTTTTTCTCTGAGCCACGATTTCAGGGGGGGAAATTGCTTACATCACACTGATTTTTTTATATATAAGAAATACATAGGAAAACAAAAAGAAACAACTCCTAGCAGTGCTTGATTTATAACGTATTATTATTATTATTATTATTTTATTATTACATACCAGCCTATATCTCAGGGTGGTTCACAATGCAAAGTTACATCATATGAAGCAGAAAATACCATACTCTTCTGTGGGTAAGATTAGGGGTTTTTTTACTCTAAAATAATGTTAAAAAATGGGGGTCGTCTTACACATCTCCCCCCATTTTCATAAATTTGAGACCCTCAAAATAGGGGTCGTGTTATACACGGAAAAATACGGTACATAATCAAAATAATCAAAACATAATCCAGATAATCAAAACAATTAACAATACTAATGTATACACACCAATAATCAAAACACTCCTCAACAAAAGCCCCTAACCAGTACTCTAGCCCACAGATACAAAAATCCAAATTAAGAAATAACATTTAACAACAATTTAAAACAACCCCACCCTCCAAATAGTATAGCACCCGCCCAGGTTAAAACCCCATTCCCATGAAAATGATAATTTTAACATAACAGGGCTGGCCCACACCCTCGTTCAACCCCCAAAGGAACAACCCCCTTCGGTGTCTCCCCATTGGGGCTGGCCCTGCCCCCAGGTCAGGCAGGCTTTATAGAGCCTATAAAGTAGAACGCAACTACTTTATAATATGACCCTGGGACGTCAAGAAAGTGTAAGACAATGCTGGTACATAAGAACATGTAAAGGTAAAGGTAAAGGGACCCCTGACCATTAGGTCCAGTCGTGAACGACTCTGGGGTTGCGGCGTTCATCTCGCTTTATTGGCCGAGGGAGCCGGCATACAGCTTCCGGGTCATTTGGCCAGCATGACTAAGCTGCTTCTGGCGAACCAGAGCAGCGCACGGAAACGCCATTTACCTTCCCACCAGAGCGGTACCTATTTATCTACTTGCGCTTTGACGTGCTTTCGAACTGCTAGGTTGGCAGGAGCAGGGACCGAGCAACGGGAGCTCACCCCGTTGCGGGGATTCGAACCTCCAACCTTCTGATCGGCAAGTCCTAGGCTCTGTGGTTTAACCCACAGTGCCACCCGTGTCCCTATAAGAACATGAATCATCCTCAAAATATAAACGAGCCTGCCAATCCCTGGCACTTGCCAGCTAAGACTCTTTAAAGTTGAAAGAATGCCAAGGATGGTGGCTGAGCCTTCTGTGTACAAACCATATGCTCTAGCAATGGCCTATGGTCTATTGCCTCCACTCCAAACACACCATGACTTTCCTTACCTTTCGCACCCATCCAATTCCAGCCTGAGTCTTTCTTCGTAGCCTGTCAACTCTTCCTGCAGTTCCCTAAGAGACAGGAGAGAGGGACTCAGAGCTGATAGTCCCAGGCAGCTGTTACGGCTTGTAGAAGGGGGTTGGGCCCGCCGTCAGTTGTGTAGACTCTACCGTGATCAGCAGAGTCTGCACAGCTCCAGCAGAACGTCGGAGCTTTCCTGCTTTCCAGTAGGCTAGCCTTTTCCAGAGTTAAGGAAACTCCTTCCCAACTCAGTTGAGATTAAAGTGCTTATCGCCTCAAGGCACAAGATGGAGCCAAAGACAGTAACTATTATAAGGCAGATCTTCTCGTCTTGGAAGAAGCAAATATGCAGAGAGATCCATTTCACCATGCTAGTTCACAATGCTGTGTCAAACCACCAAACATGATTGCTTACAGACCCACCGTAGTCCCATATAATGGAATCTTGACTTTTATACCCATCTCTGCATGCACGCATATTCCTGATTTAAGTGAGCAACCTTTGTTGCTAGGCTACCAAATGCACCCGACGTCCTATCTCTAAACAAGATCCAAACATGGGTGTGTGTGCTAGCCGAAGACACAGACCAAGTGAAATTTCACTCCTGTTTTAAATTACACCAGCAGCAGCCTCAAGTGCCAGTCTGGAAACAAGCCTGTCTGATCATCTGAAGGAGCGTCTCCACCCCCATCGTTCTGCCCGGACACCGATGTCCAGCTCTGAGGGCCTTCTGGCGGTTCCCTCACGGCGAGAAGCCAAGTTACAGGGAACCAGGCAGAGGGCCTTCTCGGTAGTGGCACCCGCTCTGTGGAACACCCTCCCACCAGATGTCAAGGAAATAAACAACTACCACCAGACTTTTAGAAGACATCTGAAGGCAGCCCTGTTTAGGGAAGTTTTTAATGTTTGATGTATTACTGTATTTTAATATTTGGTTGGAAGGCGGGGTATAAATAATAAATTATTATTATAATCTCAAAAACACCCTTTGGCCATATAATAGGCATGTCCAAAGTCCGTTTCAGGGGCCTAATCTGGCCCGCCAGTCGGTTTAATCTGGTCTCTCTAGCAGTTTATTTCCTGGGGTAAAATCCTTTAAAAAGCTCAAAAACTTCAATCCTAAAAAAAAGGTCAACAACAACTTTGGTTGGCCCTTCATCAAATCTGGCCCTCTTTGAACTAAGTTATGGCTCAAGAAGCTGGATAGGTTCCGTCTACAGCAGTGCTTCTCAACCTGTGGGTCCCCAGATGTTGTTGGACTACAACTCCCATCATCCCTGAGCTCTGGCCTTGCTAGCTAGGGGTGATGGGAGTTGTAGTTCAACAACATCTGGGGACCCACAGGTTCAGAAAGGCTGGTCTACAGGAAAGGAGAGCTGAGGCAGGAAATCGCGATGTATATTATGTCTTCTGAAGCTTTCCCAGCAAGGCTCTTCACTGGAAGATAACCGGATCCCTTGGTCTGCATAAGTATCTACAAAGTTCTAGCTCTTTGATGTCGTCCTTAGATTCACAGTTAAAAATCACACCCTACTTACGGGGCCAGGTGTGTTACTGCCAGCCTGCATCCTCGGCTCACCTGTGCCTCTGTGATGCAGAGAAAACTCCTACAGATAGCTTAGTCGGTAGAGCATGAAACTCTCAGTCTCGAAACAATAGGTACCGATATCCCAAAGAAGCAGGGAAATACTTTTTATGTATGCAGCAACAGCCACACGGATGCTACTAGCCTAGAGGTGGAAAGTAGAAAAAGTCTAGGCTGAAATGGCAAATCTGACTTGAAAGCTCAGGAACCAAGAAGACAAAAACTTTTTTTAAAAAAGAATGGCGAAAATTTATAATTTATTTAGGAGACCGCTGTCAGCAGATGAAAACATCAGTGGGATTTTAATTGCACTTGTAATATAACAAATACTATGGATAATATGAATGGATATAAAATTTAGATTATGGAATAATACACGGTTGTAAATGTTGACAAAAGGAGCCACGGAAGGGATGGGGGAAAGTCTCGAGATTCTGAGAAATCTCTATACAGTGGTACCTCTGGTTGCGAACAGGATCCGTTCCGGAGGCCCATTCGCAACATGAAAAGAACACAACCCGCAGCGGCGCATCTGCACATGCGCAGGTTGCAATTCGCCGCTTCTGCGCATGATGTCATTTTGCGCTTCTGCGCATGTGCGAGCGGCGAAACCTGGAAATAACCCTTTCCGGTACTTCTGGGTCGCCGCGGGACGTAACCTGAAAGAACGTAACATGAAGCGGACGTAACATGAGGTATGACTGTATAGGGATATGCATTTGGACTGTTATAAATTTATATTTGTAAAATCAAATAAAAATGATTTAAAAAAGAGAGAGAGAGAGAGAGACTCAGTCTCAGGGTTTGGGGTTCGAGCTCCACATTGGGCAAAAAGATTTCTGCATCGCAGGTGACCTTGTGGTCACCTCTACGATTCTATGCTTCTGTGTGCCTATTCCTACGAAACATCAACACTGGCTCCAGAGTCTTTGCCACTCAAAGGTAAAGATAAAGGGTAAAGGGACCCCTGACCATTAGGTCCAGTCGTGGCCGACTCTGGGGTTGTGGCGCTCATCTCGCTTTATTAGCCGAGGGAGCCGGCATACAGCTTCCGGGTCATGTGGCCAGCAGGACTAAGCCGCTTCTGGCGCACCAGAGCAGCACATGGAAACGCTGTTTACCTTCCCTCCGGAGCGGTACCTATTTATCTACTTGCACTTTGACGTGCTTTCGAACTGCTAGGTTGGCAGGAGCAGGGACTGAGCAACAGGAGCTCACTCTATCGCGGGGATTAGAACCGCCAACTTTCTGATCGGTAAGTCCTAGGCTCTGTGGTTTAACCCACACCGCCACCTGCGTCCCTTACGTGCCACTCAAAAGTAGTCCATAAACAGAATATGGCAGCCTCGGACACAATTCCACCCTGTCTGAAACAGGAATCCAATGCCTTAAGAACATAAACACATGAGCCGGGTGGATCCAGCCAACAGCCCATCTAGGCCAGTATTGTGGCTCTCACAAAGACCAACCAGACACCCATGGGAAACCCATAATCAGGATTCGAGCATAGGAACACTCTCCCCTCCTGTGGTTTCCATCAGCTGGTATTCCAAAGCATCGCTCTCTCCAGCTGTGGCAGCAAAGCAGAGCCAGCCTGGACAGTAGGCACCAAGTCTCTTTTAAAGCCATCTAAGTCGGTGGCCGTGACTGCCCTCCTATGGCAGTGAGTTCCACCGTTTTCACTTACAATATCCTGGAATGAAAGTGATGCACAGCGCTGCCGACGTCGTCTCTCCTCCGCTGCAGCCTTGCGCCGAAGGCTCTCCTGGCTGCCTCCTTCAGGTCTGCTTTGGCTTGGGCTATGTCGGTTGAACTGGATGCCGGTTCCCGGAGGAGGGGCCACATGTGCAGAGGGAGAGCGGAAAGACTTGGCGGATCGTGGAGAAACATCCCGTCCAGTATCTCCACGGAGGTGGACTCCTTGATGGCAGTGGTGTAGCGGTTGTCTCGCGCCACTGGGTTGTCCTGGGAGAAAAGTTGGACAGGCAGAACGCGGCAACTAGACTGGTGACTGGGAGCAGCCGCCGAGACCATATAACACCGGTCCTGAAAGACCTGCATTGGCTCCCAGTATGTTTCCAAGCACAATTCAAAGTGTTGGTGCTGACCTTTAAAGCCCTAAACGGCCTCGGTCCAGTATACCTGAAGGAGTGTCTCCAAGCCCATTGTTCTGCCTAGAGACTGAGGTCCAGCTCCGAGGGCCTTCTGGTGGTTCCCTCCCTGCGAGAAGTGAGGTTACAAGGAACCAGGTGAAGGGCCTTCTCGGTAGTGGCGCCCTCCCTGTGGAACGCCCTCCCATCAGACGTCAAGGAAATAAACAACTGACTTTTAGAAGACATCTGAAGGCAGCCCTGTTTAGGGAAGTTTTTAAGGTTTAATGTTTTATTGTTTTTAATATTCTGTTGAGAGCTGCCCAGAGAGGGACGGGGTATTAATAATAATAATAATAATAATAATAATAATAATAATACAGTGGTACCTCGGGTTACATACGCTTCAGGTTACAGACTCCGCTAACCCAGAAATATTACCCAGAAATATAAGAACTTTGCTTCAGAATGAGAACGGAAATTGTGCAGTGGTGGCGCAGCGGCAGGCCCCATTAGCTAAAGTGGTGCTTCAGGTTAAGAACAGTTTCAGGTTAAGAACAGACCTCCAGAACGATTTAAGTTCTTAACCCGAGGTACCACTGTAATTATTATTATTATTATTATTTATTTATTTATTTATTTATTTTTTAAAAAAGCAGTGCAGGTTACGACACATCCTTAAGGTGCACCGTGTTCACTTCTGATAACAAACCAGATGTGCCCCAGTGGAGGTCGAAGGTTTGGAGAGGCAGTGGGTGGGATCCAATATTCTCTGTCCCCTAGTGCAAGAGCCCTTGAGCTACTGGACGGCAGAGTATGAAGGCCGCACAACAAAGAAATCCAATGCACCAGTTGTGCTAACATTGGAGCTGTAGAGCTGGAACGGGGCCCAAGGGTCATCTAGTTCAACCCCCTGCAATGCAGGAATTGTGCAACACCTGCTTTTTGTGCAAAAAAAGAAGAAGTTTGGCCATGCACTTGTGTTTTCTCTTGAGCAACAGCCGATCCTGGTTGTGCAATCTGTTGCGCAGTAATTTACAGCAATGCGTTTCCTCTTGTTCCAGCTACTGCTAAGTGACTTTAACTTAGGGCCGCAATGGGTGCAACTCAATGGCATGTGGGGAGTGAAGTCTCCTCCCGTCATCTCAAAATGATCTCTTGGGAGCTCCCCCCTCCTTCTTTCTTCCATGACTTCCTCCCCCATCTCTCGGTTCCCTCCCTCCGGCTAGCAAAAGCAACGATTTCCGCATGCAGTGCATGATCAGCTTGTGGAACTCCCTGCCACAAGATGGCTACTAGTCAACATAGCTTTGGGATTGTGTATCGGTGGCTAATAGGTAAGATGGCTCGATGGATTCTCTGTGTTTCAGAGGCAGTTTACATATCACCAGTTCCGTTTACAGAAGGAAAACTGATGCAAAGGCTACCCAGAAAGCCTTTGCTTCAACTCACTGTCTACTAGGGATGGGAGAAATTCAGTTCAGGTTGTATGTAAAGGCTAAACCACCTAATTTGAACTTCCTGGAACAATATATGGGCAGAAACACAGCCTCCGGTCAAAATTCACACCCGTCTGAATTTTGCAATGCAATCAACTTATATGCACAAAATTGCATATACCAATAATGAAAAAATGCATTATATTGGGGTGGGGCATCGTGGAGCTTGCAAAAATGTCTACATTAAAGGAAATATGGATCTCTTAGAAGAAAGTGGCACTAAAACGCTGATGAATTTTCACAAAGGCTTAAAAAATAAAACATAAATGTGAAAATGTGGAAAATTGAATGTGAGGTGCAAAATCATCTGGTTGGGAAAAGGCTTGCCTAACCTTCTCCTTTCTCCCTTTCCAGCCACTACCGGGCTATCAGCTTACACCTCACCTTGAGCGTGAGATGCTTCAGCCTGCGGAGGCCTCTGAGCACGTGCAGAGCCTCGGGCAGCCCGCCAATGTCATTGCCGGAGGCACAGAGGACGTTGAGAGACAGCGAAGAAGCCAGAGGCAGCAGGCTGGCGATGCGGTTCTTCTGCACATGGAGCTCGTGGAGCCGGGGCAGATTCTGCACCCCTTCCAGAGACTCCAACTTGAGTTGGGAAAGAAGAAAACAGAAAATGCTTCAGACATCTGAAGGCAGCCCTGTTTAGGGAAGTTTGTAATGTTTGATCTTTTATCATGTTTTTAATATTCTGTTGGGAGCCGCCCAGAGTGGCTGGGGTATAAATAATAAACATTATTATTCTCTCCAGAGCACCACAAAGCAAGACCCAAGCTGATGGAAACAGAATGGCTTTGCAAAACCTTGGGATCCATTTTGCACCGTTATATTAACAGCAGAGCAGAGGGACGGAATCTATCAGTGCTTAAAGCTTGAGAAGGTCTGTTGTTCATTATCTGTCAAGCATCTTCTTCATTCCTGACGTGAATCTGGACTATCTGAACCTGTTAGGAGAAGTTTTGATCCCCTCCCACTTCTTATTTTAGGAAGACCAACTCTCCAGGCCGTGATAAAGGTAAAGGTAAAGGGACCCCTGACCATTAGGTCCAGTCGTGGCCGACTGGGGTTGCGGCGCTTATCTCGCTTTATTGGCCAAGGGAGCTGGCGTACAGCTTCCAGGTCATGTGGCCAGCATAACTAAGCTGCTTCTGGTGAACCAGAGCAGCGCACGGAAACGCCATTTACCTTCCCGCTGGAGTGGTACCTATTTATCGACTTGCACTTTGACGTGCTTTCGAACTGCTAGGTTGGCAGGAGCAGGGACCGAGCAACGGGAGCTCACCCCGTCATGGGGATTCGAACCGCCGACCTTCTGATCAGCAAGTCCTAGGCTCTGTGGTTTAACCCACAGCGCCACCCACGTCCCATCCAGGCCGTGATACTGATGCTCTAAATCCGAGATGGGGAATCGGTGGCCCTGGATGTGTTATTCGACCATAACTCCCAGCACATTGGGCTATTGGCTATCCTGGCTATCCAGCTAATGGAAGGTGGAGTCCAATTAAGTATTGAGGGAAATAGGCTCCCCGCACCCCAATGCTCTGCGCATCCAGCTCCTGGGAGTCACCCACTTTCGAGATCCTGAGCACTGCCCCCCAAAATACCTGATTCGAAGACAAATTCAGCCGTGTCAGGTTACTCAAGAGAGGGAAATCCGTGAGGCTCCTCAAGCGATTGTGGGATACATGCAGGACGGACAGGCGGGGGCAGTTTTCCAGGTCCTTCACCTCTCCGATCGCGTTATAACTAAGGTTAAGGGCCACCAGGTTGGGAAGGAGCCCCATCCCTCTCGTACTGCAACCCCAGATAAAAGCGAAAAAAGAAGGAATTTTAATTAATTGATGACTGTTTTTATGCATATCGTGTTGTTTTTATGATGTTAGCCTCGGCTGGGGAGGAAGAGATACAAATAAAAATTTATTATTATTATAATTTATTATTATTATTTTTAAGGTTGCCAACGTGTCATTCAGGAGGTGTGTCACTGTTGAGACCTCAAAGACAAGGCGCCGTCCACCCTACTTGGGATGTAAATAAACCCCTATTCTGCTCACATCCATCTTCAAAACATGTGGTGGCGGCGGCTGTTTTTTAATTGATTCCAAATCCGTTTTTAAAAAGAAATGAGGTATATCTGGGGTGGAGAGCCTGTGAGGCCCTCTGGATGTTGTCGGATTTAAACTCCTATCAACCCCAGTGGTCACGGATGATGGGAGCTGTAGTCCCGGAATAAATGGAGGATCGCTAAGCTAGACCAGTATTGTTTACATCAGCCTTCCCGGACTTAGTGCTCTTCAGGTATTGCTGGACTACAACTCCCATCAGCTCAAGCCAGCAGGGCCAATGTCTAGGAGCAGGCCGTCTTACCCATAGGCGCTAGGGGTGCGGGGCACCCGGGTGCGGGGCTCTCAGGGGCGCCAGGCCGAGAGTCCGGGGCCCGAGAGTGTTAGTTTCTGTTTGCCACTGTGCAGTGCTTCGGAGTCACAAGACTCTGTTTTGCATTCCTCACATTCCAGACTGTTGGAAGTCTCATGGAAGACAGGAGACGGATGTGACGTTACTGGTTTCCTGTTCCTTTGTTGCTCAGTTGCTCTCTGCTCTCACAGAGAGAGGATGTATTTATTTTCTGCCTGAGTAGCTTAGTAATAAAACCTAGCAATGTAGCCCAAACTTCTCGTCTCTTCCCTGTGCTGGAAACTCTGCTGAATGGGGGATATGCCTGGAGCCTTATCAGAGGCTCAGGTTGTTAATTATCATCGGAGGCGATTCCGGAAGAGTCGCTCAGTAGAACGCAGATTCCGACAGAGAGTTGAGTCTGAGAAAGAGCCCAGCGGGTTCTGCGCCGCGAGTTCGGGGGTGACGGAGCCAGCAAGATGCTGAGGCAAGATGCTGATGCCCTCCTGCACCCCTGGGACTGGGCAACTGGGGGGGATGTTGGGCGAATCTTTGCACCCCGACGCTGCATATGCTTAAAACAGCCCTGTCGAGGAGTGATGGGTTTTGTAGTCCAGCAACATCTAGTAGGCCGCAGGTTTCCCACTCCTGACATATATAAAGCACAAAAGAAGAAATAAGCTGAGTCGCCCAAGGCAATGGATTATCCACATAATTTAACCTGATACGTTATCTTTTAATTCTTCCATATCTTTACATGGTTCCTATTTTTATTGTCTTAAAAAAACCCTTAATAATTTGGGTGTTATCAAGATCTTCCTTCGCTATACCCTGTGAAAATATATCAGCTTCAAACAACATCAGGATTTATTTGAGTAGGTGAGATTTCTCTCTTTTCCCGGTACTGTACTGTGTGACTATATTGCTTCTATCACCAATGGAGTATATGTTTACTCCAAAGTAAGTCCTACTGAGTTCAATGGGACTTACTCCAGAGAAGCCTGCATAGGATTGCAGACCAATGTGTTTCTTGCCCTCTGCTAATTATTTCTTTTTGGATTTAAAGGAACAGTAAAAGGGACGCGGGTGGCGCTGTGGGTTAAACCACAGAGCCTAGGACTTGCCGATCAGAAGGTTGGCAGTTCGAATCCCTGCGACGGGGTGAGCTCCCGTTGCTCGGTCCCTGCTCCTGTCCACCTAGCAGTTTGAAAGCACATCAAAGTGCAAGTAGATAAATAGGTACCGCTTCGGCAGGAAGGTAAACGGTGTTTCCGTGCACTGCTCTGGTTCACCAGAAGCGGCTTGGTCATGCTGGTCACATGACCCGGAAGCTGTACGCCGGCTCCCTCGGCCAATAAAGCGAGATGAGCGCCGCAACCCCAGAGTCGGTCACGACTGGACCTAATGGTCAGGGGTCCCTTTACCTTTACCTAATCCCTGTTATTTCCTGGTTTCAATGATTTCCAATATTTCTTTATAGGTAGGCTGCCCACATACCATACATTTTTTAAAGCTTACTCCCCAATTCCAAAGAATCCTGGGAACTGTGATCAACCCCTTACATAGCTACAATTCCCAGCACCCTCAACAAACTACAATTTCCATGCACGGTATGTACATCTCTGCAGATATTGCCTCTCCAAAACGTTAGCTCCTTTCTAACCATGTCCACTTTCCCCCAGAGTGCTGATGTGAACAAGCTCCCCAATTTATCTATATATTGTAATCCTCTGTTTCAGTTCCTGCTGGCTATTTGTGAATGTAGACACCTGCCCAACCTTGCAATCAACCCCGGGCTTTTGATATTGCCCCAAATGTCCCTTCTGTCAGTTTTGCCACCTTTAAATTGGGGTTGCAAAATCAATGGTGGTGGCGGTGATATTTTGGGTCATCCCTACTACGTTCCTGGTTCCAGTTTTGATCTCTGGGATCTCCAGTTTAAAAGTTCTCAGAGACCTACAGCCCGAGATCTGCCACCCGCTCGACAGGGAAAAATATGTTGAGCCCACAGACCCTACAAGTGTCCCTATTCTCCAGGGACAGTCCTGGATTTACAGAAGCCATCCTGGTTTCTGATCTGATCCCGGAATGCCCCGCTGTTCCTTAGGACGTTGCTATTTTCATCGGAGAAATGTTGGAGGCTATGGAGTTATGCGAGCCAAGGAGATAAGTAACTACACAACCTTTAGAAGACATCTGAAGGCAGCCCTGTATATAGAAATGGTTTTTTTTATGTTTAATGTTTTATTATGTTTTTATGTATGTTACAAGCTGCCCAGAGTGGGGCATAAATAACAAAATAATAATAATAATAATAATAATAATAATAATAATAATAGTTGTTGTTGTTGTTACTGAATACAGTGGTACCTAGGGTTACAGACGCTTCAGGTTACAAATGCTTCAGGTTACAGACTCCGCTAACCCAGAAATAGTACTTTGGGTTAAGAACTTTGCTTCAGGATGAGAACAGAAATCGCGCGGTGGCGGCAGCGGGAGGCCCCATTAGCTAAAGTGGTGCTTCAGGTTAAGAACAGTTTCAGGTTAAGAACCTCCAGATGCATTTTAAATAAAAGGATACATTCTACTCATGTAAAAACATGCTGATTCCCAGACCATCCGCGGGCCAGATTTAGAAGGCGATTGCCAGCTTTGTATGAGACACCAGCAAAGAGGAACAAACTCTTTAACGCTACGCCCTGCTGAGAATTGCTCTTGCTCAGGGGCAAGGCCCCAAATTGCCTCTCTCTCTCTTCTCCACAGGCCTTAAATTTCTCCACACAAAGACCCCACCAGCACCACAAAACGCCATCCATCAAGTCGCACTCACGTGCTTAAAGCATTAAGCGACACGTCCAGCTCGGCCAAATTCTCAAACGGGAAAAGAGCTTCGGGTGGAATCTCTTGGAGTTCATTTAAAGAGATGTCAAGCTTAACAATCCTGAGGAATGAAGCAGGGAGTGGGAAGGAGAGAGAGAGAGAGAAAGAAAGAAAAATCAAAACTATTTCAAAACGCTCCTTCCTCCTATCCCCCAAAGCAATAACAATCACGATTCCTTTTTTTCTTTTTTAGCATCTAGCTAATGATGCCCTTTTGTTGTATAACACCCCCCTTTTTTGTGTGTGTGGTTTTTTTTAAAAAAATATTGTATTAGTTTTCTTTTGGGGTTTTTATTTATTTAATAAAAGGCCACCCTCCCCAGTTTTGGACAAATAGCAAGACAAACTTTCAGCAATGCGGTTCCAGAAATGGCAAACAGGCATGTTGAGCGTGGCAATCCATCAAAAAGGCAGAATAACAAACCGAGGTGGGGGGAGCTGAGAACAAAGAGACAAACTTGAATCTAGTTGAACTTAGGAATGTTTGAGGCGTTTGGTCTTTGCAAAATCACAGTACGGACTGGCCTGATCAACACCACATGGATTAATGTGTGTATGTAGATCAGGATGTAGCTATCCACCTGGATTTTGCACTTCTCTGAAGGCTGCCGTGAAGTTATTTTCTCAAAAAAAAAAACAAAGTAGTATCAAAATGCATTTAGAATTACCATATTTTCCGCTCTATAAGACGCACCAGACCATAAGACGCAGCTAGTTTTTGGAGGAAGAAAACAAGAAAAAAAATATTCTGAATCTCAGAAGCCAGAACAGCAAGAGCGATCGCTGCGCAACGAAAGCAGTGATCCCTCTTCCTGTTCTGGCTTCTGGGATATCTGCGCAGCTGCATTCACTCCGTAAGACGCACACACATTTCCCCTTACTTTTTAGGAGGGAAAAAGTGAGTCTTATAGAGCAAAAAATACGGTAACTAAGAATTAAAGCGGGTGGCGCTGTGGTCTAAACCACAGAACCTAGAGCTTGCCGATTGGAAGGTCGGCGGTTCGAATCCCCGCGACGGGGTGAGCTCCCTTTGCTCAGTCCCTGCTCCTGCCAACCTAGCAGTTCAAAAGCACGTCAAAGTAGAAAAAGTATAGAAAAAGTATAGAAAAAGTAGGAGAAACTTGGAGGCTGCAGAGTTATGAAAAATTAAAGAATAAGGTGCAAAATTGGCTTCACTATGCTCAAATTCAAGAGGTTTTTAAGCTGGACAAAAGAACAGGATTCCAGGTGGAAAAATCGAAACTAGAGACAGAATTGTTGGAACCAAAGACCAAGGTACTTTCGAGAATGTATATCTTGCTGCTTAAATGGAACACTCAGGATGAGACAGTCAAATCAGCCATGATAAAATGGGCTCAGGACATTGGGTACAACATTATGTTTGAAGACTGGGAAAGGTTATGGACCACTGGTATGAAATTCACGGCATGTAATGCCTTGAAAGAGAATATTATGAAAATGATATACAGGTGGTACATGACCCCAGTCAAGCTTGCTAAGATATATCATTTGTCTGATAATAAATGTTGGAAATGTAAGGAGGCTGAAGGGACATTCTTTCACCTCTGGTGGACTTGCCCAAAAGTGAAGGCCTTCTGGGAAATGATCTATAATGAGTTAAAAAAAAGTGTTTAAGTACACTTTCCCCAAGAAACCAGAGGCCTTCCTACTGGGCATTGTCGGTCAGAAGGTGTTAAAGAAGGATAGAACCTTTTTATGTATGCAACTACAGCAGCAAGAATTCTTATCGCAAAATACTGGAAGACTCAAGATTTACCCACACTGGAAGAGTGGCAGACGCAATTGATGGGCTACATGGAATTGGCCGAGATGACTGCCAGGATCCGAGATTTGGAGGAAGAAGCAATGGAGGAGGATTGGAAAAAATTTAAAGATTATTTACAAAAATTTTACAAGTTATATGAATGTTAAGAATTCGCATGATTAGGGAAATTCAGCTCCAGCAATAAGATTAAGGTATGGGAAACTAAGCTAAATTAATGAAAGGACTAACGTTTAAAAGAACATTATATATATTATTAGTGTAAATTGACAATAAGCATTTTAAACGCAAATCATAAGTATTTGAAAGAACAAAAGAATGCACGAAATAAGGTTATAATTTGCTGAAAAATTTTATTGTAAAGAACGCAAGGTGAGGGGGACGGGGGGAAGTCCGGTTGGTTATGGAAAAATGCTTTGAAAAGATGATTTTCTTCTTTTTCTTTTTCTTTTCTGTTATTTTTTTGTATATCTGACCTTGTATTTCTATCTGGAAAAATGCAATAAAAAATATTATAAAAAAAAAAAAAAAAAAAAGCACGTCAAAGTGCAAGTCGATAAATAGGTACCGCTCCGGCGGGAAGGTAAATGGCGTTTCCGTGCACTGCTCTGGTTCACCAGAAGCGGCTTTGTTATGCTGGCCACATGACCCGGAAGCTGTCTGCGGACAAACGCCAGCTGCCTCGGCCTATAGAGCGAGATGAGCGCCACAACCCCAAAGGTCCCTTTACCTTTAAGAATTAGTGAATGGGCTTGCTTTCCTTCCTCCTCCCTCCCAGTCTCCTTTCCTTTTCTGCCGTGTCTCAGACTGTGAGACTGAAGGCAGAAACTGTCTTCTAGAAGATATGTGGATTTCTCCAAGTTGTTTTGGGAGCTGTATTTGGCTGAAGAGCGAGATAACTCACTGGATCCAGGGCTTATCCACAATTACCTTTTGCCCTGCTTTTTCTAGATGCAGATCTGCACTTTAAAGATCTGTGTCCCGTTTCCCACTACGAAACCTGCTCTTTAGCGCTCAATCAGAACAAACGTCAGTTTGGGTTTTCTGAGGATTGACGTTCGCTCTGATTGAGCACTAAAGAGCAGGTTTTGTGGGGAAAGTTCTGGAGCAAAAGCAAGGACGTTCAGACATGGAACTTTAAAGTGTGGACCTGGAAAGATTGGAGGACAGGTAAGTGTGGACATGCCCTCTGAGAAAGGTGCCTTTGCATCCCAATTTAGAAAACTCCAAGGAGACCCATTGGGATCGCTCCAGTATAAATTCTCAAAGCAAGCACTGGTGCAATGCTCAGGCAGATTGAGCGAAGAAATTGAAGCATTCTCTTGCATTTCTTACCTACCGTTCAGGAAATTCTGTCTTTGGAAATGATTGCCTAGAACAGAAAGGAAGAACAACTTTAAGCATCCATTTGCTCCTTTGTCCAGGAGTGGGTGAACAGACTAAAAGGGAAAATGTGATTTCAGTGTCAACAAGTGTGAAGCGATGCACCCTGGGACAAAACATCCTAACTTTAGGCAGCTGCAAAGATCGATGAAATTGTCAGGCCAGCGTGCAACAGCTCTGAAGAAAGGCAAAATCCATGCAAGGAATCATTAGGAATTGAAAATAAAACTACTGGTATTGTGAGTTGAGTTTGGCAGAGACGCTGCCTCTGAATGCTAACCTAAGAGGATGGTGGTGATAATATTAGTAATCATAATAATTTTATCATTTACCGTATTTTTTGCTCTATAAGACTCACTTTTTCCCTCCTAAAAAGTAAGGGGAAATGTGTGTGCGTCTTATGCAGGCTGCACAGCTATCCCAGAAGCCAGAACAACAAGAGGGATCACTGCTTTTGCTGCGCAGTGATCCCTCTTGCTGTTCTGGCTTCTGGGATTCAGAATATTTTTTTTCTTGTTTTCCTCCTCAAAAAACTAGGTGCGTCTTATGGTCTGGTGTGTCTTATAGAGCGAAAAATACGGTAGATGCTACCAATCTGACTGGGTTTCCCCAGCCACTTTGGGCGGCTTCCAACAGAATATTAAGACACCCAAAAAAGCCCTCAAACGTTAAAAATGTTCCTATACAGGCCTGCCTTCAGACGTCTTCTGAAAGTCAGATAGATGTTTATTTCCTTGAGGGTGTTCCACAGGGCAGGCGAATTGTGAACCACCCTGAGTCCTTATGATGAAGGCTGGCATATAAATTTAATAAATAAAATAAAAATAGATATTTCAAGCCTGACCATAAAAACGTAATGTAAACATGCCTAACAAGTGTTTGAAAATGTATTACACATCACGCAGCAAGGCCATGGGTCCTTTACCTGGGGTCTACAGATCCAAATTCAAAGTTGAACGCTAACTGCTTAAGTCGAGACATCTTCAAACAGAGAGCATAATGAGGCCCAGGTGTTTCCACGTTCCAGGTGAAGGGAAGAGGGTCTACTTCCACAATCCTGTCTTCAACATACTGACGGTTCATCTCTTGAGAAATACTGGAGCAATCTTCTTTAAGAAAGGAGGAAAAAAGACATTTCTCTCTGTGTGTGTGTCTTCCTAAGCCCAGTAAGAATAGAATCACAGAATTGTAGAGCTGGAAGGGTCCATGTGGGTCATCTAGACCAACCCTCTGAAATGCAGGAATTTTTTGCCCAGTTGGGGCTTGAATCCATGACCCTGGGGACAGAGCAGTCTTTACCTGGGGGTGTAAGGGGTGCTGAATTCTGGGGGGCACAAAATGTATACCTACTATATACCGGTCCCTCTTGATTGGTGGCAGTGAAAAGCAATGGAGCAAAAGCCCCTTCCCCCTTCACTTCGCAGTTTTTTTCTGCTGTCAGGTGAGAGATTCCTCCTCCCAAAAAAGCTCAATAACTTTGAGTTCGCCCCCCAAAAACTTTGGCTTCCTTCCTCCCCCCCAAAATTGGGGGGCGCTGGGCAGATCTTTGCACCCCGGTGGCGCATATGCTAAAGACAGCCGTGCCTGGGGAGAGCATTCCACAGACGGGGAGCCACTGCAGAAAAGGCCCTGTTCTTGTGTTGCCATCCTCCAGACCTCTCGAGGAGGAGGCACACGAAGAAGGGCCTCAGAAGATGATCTCAGGGTCCAGGTAGGTTCATATGGAAAGAATATATGAATACCTTGAGGTATTGCAGTCCTGAGCCGTTTAAGGCTTTATAGGTAAAAACCATAGGGCCCGGAAACTAATTGACAGCCAGTGCAGGATCGGTGTAATATGCTGAAACCGTCTTGCTCCGGTGAGCAACCTGGCTGCTGAATTCTGCACTAACTGAAGTTTCCGAACCGTCTTCAGAGGCAGCCTCTAGCCATCTTGACGATCAGCCACGGAAAAGCAGAAGATAGATTGCAACTATCACGCTCAGCGCTGACCTGCAGCCAGACCCAACTCCTTGCAGGACCTCCCATTGACCGAAGACTTGCAGGAACAGGAACAGTCCGCCATCACCAGCCCTAGAGACCCACAGCATCTGGGGGGTGCCCCCAGAGCTGACCTCTGCTCTTGAGGGGCCTTTGGGTTGGGTCCCAGTCTGCGTGGCAGTGGGTGAGCCCCTGGTGGACTCCACTGGAGCAGCTGAGCCCCCTCTGATCCATTGAGAGTGCAGGATCAGGTCTGGGACACAGCTGCTTGACAAATGACATGCCTGAGAGCCCAAAGTCGCTGGGCATTTCGGGATTAAAAGATCCCGGATGGGAAAGGGTGTTCCTTTAGATCAATGGTTCTCAAAGGGTGTAGCGAAGCCCACACTGATGTGATAAGAGAGGATGGAAGTGAGGCAGGAAGAGTACAAGGCAATCAAAGAAACATTTAAACATTTCAGTGCAGTATCATATAGTATCTATATAACTATATCTGAAGCAATCAAACCCATTTGCAACTGTGCGGCCCAGTTTTATTACGAAAACAGAGGACTCCCCTCACATTACGAAACCTTCTGGTTAACTTCAAACTGCTTATCAGCTTCTACAGATAATAGTTTTTAGAAAAAGAAAACACTGATTCATGGGGGCGGGTGAATTCTGTGTGTTTTGGGGACCCATGGGTGACACCCCGAAAACTGACAGGAAAACCTTGCCCTCAGATTCCTCCCTGTTTGCACAAAAGAACCTCTAGGGCAGTGGTGGCGAACCTTGGCCCTCCAGATGTTTTGGAACTACAACTCCCATCATCCCTAGCTAACAGGACCAGTGGTCAGGGATGATGGGAGTTGTAGTCCCAAAACATCTGGAGTGCCAAGGTTCGCCAAAACTGCTCTAGCGTCTAAATTCTTCGCTCGGTTGAAAATCCCATGACTTTGTGCTCAAAACCCTGTTATGAAGCCTCTGATTTGAAGCCGAGATGCCCCTCAATTAAACCTTGGCGGGGGTCAGGAAGACTGGGGGGGAATCGGCCTGGACGCCACAGAAACCACCCCGTTCTCAGACCCAGTGAAGGGAAAGGATTTTGAAACATGCAGTAGGTAATTGAACATGAAGGCTCTGACGCCTGCCTAGCAAAAGTTCACCACCTCGCCTGTGATCTTTCACTTCAGACGTATTAGACCGAAATGCCTCCGGGGAGGTTTAAGTGCTGTACTATTAATGCTAAAACAAAGGAAATAACCGCCGTACAACGCCACAGCTTTAGGGTTTCCTGAAGCGGGAAAGAACAGAGGAACGGCCTTTAATCTCAAACATCCCTCAAAGGCGTTACGTCGACGGGGTTCAAGCAGTTGGCTTACCAACCTCCCATGGCCTCCAATTCAAAAACGAGGGAAACTTTATTGGTCCTTTGTCATGTGGACCGTGCCAGGCGCTGTACAGAGCAGAAAATTATGAGAGGCCCGGCACCAGAGTGAAATGTGGGATGGGACCGATGCGAGGATCCTTGCACTATTGAAGATTTGAGCGCCTCAAGGGGTTTGCAGCAGGGCAGGCTTAGTAGCACACTGTATCCTGCTGACAACATAACGAGTTTTGCATGAGGCTAAAGCATCTTAAAAAGCAGAGACATCACCTTGCCAACAAAGGTCCGTATAGTAAAAGCTATGGTTTGCCCAGTAGTGATGTATGGAAGTGAAAGCTGGACCATAAAGAAGGCTGATCTCCGAAGAATTGATGCTTTTGAATTCTGGTGCTGGAGGAGACTCTTGAGAGTCCCATGGACTGCAAGAAGATCAAACCTCTCCATTCTGAAGGAAATCAGCCCTGAGTGCTCACTGGAAGGACAGATCCTGAAGCTGAGACGCCAATACTTTGGCCACCTCATGAGAAGAGAAGACTCCCTGGAAAAGACCCTGATGTTGGGAAAGATGGAGGGCACAAGGAGAAGGGGACGGCAGAGGACGAGATGGTGGGACAGTGTTCTCGAAGCTACCAGCATAAGTTTGACTAAACTGCGGGAGGCAGTGGAAGACAGAAGTGCCTGGTGTGCTCTGGTCCAGGGGGTCACGAAGAGGCGGACACAACTAAACGACTAAACAACAACAAAGCATGGGTAGGCAAACTAAGGCCCGGGGGCTGGATCCGGACTAATCGCCTTCTAAATCCGGCCCACGGACAGTCCAGGAACCAGCGTGTTTTTACATGAGTAGAATGTGCCCTTTTATTTATGTTGATGTCAATCAATATTTGATGATCTCCTTCTACTGGTCCACAATAGAAAGTGTCCTTTCATACTGCATCACGGTGTGGTACGCTGGTTTGACATCAACTGATAGGAAGAGCCCACAGAGGGTGATGAATACAGCACAAGATATTATGGACTGTCCCATGAATCCGCTGGGTGAAATAGCGGAAGAACGTTGCCTCAGGAGAGTGAGGAAAATTCTCAGGGATGATTCACACCCTGGCCGGCACTTTCTTGGTCTCCTGCCCTCAGGCAGAAGATACAGAAGTATGATTAGTCGCACCAACAGGGTAAAGAACAGCTTCTATCCATGGGCTGTTAGGCTGCTGAATGAAAAGATAACAACAGGGCAACTGACTTTCGGGTTTGGTGGGTGTGCGTCAGTAAATGAGGGGAATTAAGACTAAGAGAGCTGAGTGGGGGGTGCTCGTGTAATCTCACTGTATACAAGCTGCACAAGTGACAATAAAGTATTTCAATTTAAAATGCATCTCTGGGTTATTTGTGGGGCACAGGAATTCATTCATTTCCCCCCAAAAAATATAGTCCGGCCCCCACAAGGTCTGAAGGATGGTGGACCGGCCCTCTGCTGAAAAAGTTTGCTGGCCCCTGGGCTAAAGGGAACCCGGAGAGGCTGTGCAAAGAAGCTGAATGTTGGAAGGCTCAGGGATAGACAGGAGAACAAACTTCTTCACATAGTTAAATGGCGAACATAAGAAGAGGCTGCAGGATCAGGCCAATGGACCATTCTGTCCAGAATCCTCTTCCAGTTGTGGGAAACCAGTGAGCAGAACATGGTTTCCAGCAACTGGCATTCACAGTGGGGCAGGAGAGCTGAAAACAATGCCAATGTATTTTAGGGCTCACATACATCCGGAATTTCCCGGCCATATTTGGGATTCGTCCGCCAAAAATAGCATCCGGGTGGGATTTTCAGAATTCGGTTAAAATGTCCAAGAGAATATGGCAGTCCATATTGGAAGAGTGGATTTTTGGGGGTGAATTTCCTAAAAAAATAGCTCAAAAACTTTTTTTGCGGGGGGTGGGGAGCGATTTTGCAAAATAAAAAGTTCTACAACTTTGCCCCACCCCCACCCCAGCAACCCTCAACAACTTTGCCAAAGTGTTTAGGGAAGTTTTTAATGTTTGATGGTTTATTGTGCTTTTAATTCTGTTGGGAGCCGCCCAGAGTGGCTGGGGAAACCCAGCCAGATGGGTGGGGTGTAAATTTATTATTATTATTATTATTATTATTATTACAAAATAAGCTCAACAACTTTTGTGTCCGGATTTTCACTTTTTGAAATATGGCAACCCTAATTCACGTCTGGCAACCAATGCACTCCTTTGGTTTCAGATAGTACATGGGTAAAGGTAAAGGAACCCCTGACCATTAGGTTCAGGCGTGGCCGACTCTGGGGTTGCGGTGCTCATCTCGCTTTATTGGCCGAGGGAGCTGGCATACAGCTTCCGGGTCATGTGGCCAGCAGGACTAAGCTGCTTCTGGTGAACCAGAGCAGCGCACGGAAACGCCGTTTACCTTCCCGCCAGAGTGGTACCTATTTATCTACTTGCACTTTGAGGTGCTTTTGAACTGCTTTTTTTTAAAATGATATTTATTACTTTTTCAAAATTTCCAACACAGCACTACAAACAAAGAGAAAAGGGGAAAAAAGAAAAAAAGAAAAAACAATACGAATACAATACAAAAACGCTACATGGACTAACAAATCAAGCAAAAACAAACAAAAACAATTTAAAAACACCTCAAACATTTTCAATATCTTATATTTCATTCACTTATTTCCAGCGACTTCCTCACACCTCCCTTTTTGTATTCCACTTCTATTATTTGTTTCAGCAATTCCTTTCCATCTTACTCTGTTTTCTGATCTATAATTATCTTAACACATTCTTGCCATACTTTTCCTTTAATTTTCTATTAATCTATTTATACTTAATTCCTTATGACATTTCTACTAAAGCCATGTAATTTCATTCCAACATTTTTCTAACATTCCTTAATTTTACAATATTTCTATAAACAGTCTTTAAACTTTTTCCAATCTTCTTCCACTGACTCTTCACCCTGGTCTCGGATCTTACCAGTCATTTCCGCCAATTCCCTATAGTCCATCAACTTCGTCTGCCACTGTCCAACACTTCAGTGTTTTCAAGAAGCAACCATTCTCTCAACCAGCAAAAGGCAGATGGTTCACAACGAAGTTTAAAGGTCTGCTTTCGAACTGCTAGGTGGGCAGGAGCAAGGACCGAGCAACGGGAGCTCACCCCGTCGCAGGGATTCGAACCGCTGACCTTCTGATCAGCAAGTCCTAGGTTCTGTGGTTTAACCCACAGCGCCACCCGGGTCCCTAGTACATGGGTAGATGAGTCCAAAAAGCCCGGGAGACAATTTTTCATGGCTCTCTAGTGGCTATGCTGGCTCATTTACCGGAAGTAATGTATTTAGCATTAACTCTGGATGTGTTTATTCGATTCTGACCAAACTAAGCCTCCCAGATCACAACATACAGGTGCGTTGATGCACTTTCGAAGACTGATTCGAAGCTCAGAATCCGAAGAGGGTTCAAGCCATTGTGAAATATCCTACAGGCTGTAAGGTTCACCCGTCTGCTGGCTAACGGTGCTGTCGAAGCCAAACATGGACTGGAAGGGGCGACATGCGAAGGGACAAGTGGTATTGGGCTGTTTCAAGCGACGCCGGCGTGTGCCAAGGCTTGCTAAAATAGAGGACCTGGAGAAATACCAACTAAAGAACAATGGCAAGAGAAGTTGATGAACTATGCAGAACTGGCAAAAATGACAGAAAGAGAAAAGGACAACAGAGACTTTGAAAAAGATTGGGAACCATTCGTATTATATATGCAGAAACAGAGAAAGGCAATAGACTTGATGGCAGGATTTAAATAAACACCCACATTATTAGCATCAGAAAATGTTTGGAAGATAGTGAAATAAGATGGTGTATTTAATTTTATTTTTATGTTTTTAAGGTTTGATGTTTTGTTATTAATAACTTTTTCCATTCAGATAGCAAAGCGGGTGGAAATAGAAACAAACCGGAAACACAAGTTGGGGGAAGTCTTGGAGGGGAGGGAGGGAGGAATATATAGTAAATGTTAAGAATTTGAGATGTATGTAATGAACGAAAATGAAATATGTAGAAAAAATTTTTAAAAATAAAATAAAGGACCTCCTCTCGGCCTTTTCGGATTCTTGGTTCTAATTCCAGAGGGTCGAGGGATTCAAAAGCAGTTAAAAAGAAGCAATTAGCAGGGTGGCTCTTTGCCCATGGCAAAGCCAAGGGGCAACCCATTTATTAAGAGAGGCGGGAAGAAGGCGAGGGTAAAAAAGGAAAGCAAGACTGCGGAGGTTATTAATGTGAGGGAGAAGCCGAGAGATCCATCATTCTGACCTGGGAAATTGTCATTTAATAAATCCAGGCCGCTCCGGAACGTTCCAAAAGGGTAGCTTTGTTCTTTGTTCCTTGCCAATGGGCTGTGAGATGCTTTAATGTCGCAAGCGGGGAAATCGTCCAACCAGAACTGCCTGGTTCTCTGTTTGTGGCAGGAATGTGCCTGCAATATTGGGCAGCCCAAGCCCCTTCAGAGGCAGAGTATCCGCTTTGAGTTCACCAAGGTCCTGGGTTCAAATCCCGGCATCCTGGGAGAGAACCCTGCCTGAAATGTGGAGAGCTGCTGCCAGCCAGTGCAGGCCATATGGAGGTGGGTGGGCCATTGTTCCTACTCCTTATAAGGCGGCTTACTAACTAGGAAGGGCTGTAACTTGATGAAACAGAGCACTTGCTCTGTATGCTGTTCAATCTCAGCATCTCCAGTTAAAAAGTGTCAAGCCACAGATGATAGAAAATACCCCTTTCTGCCACGTAAATCTGGATAGCGCTTCCAGTCACAATGGAAACCGCTGTGGTTGACCTCTTTGGATTGCTTCTTCCAGCTGACTGGCTTCTATATTTGCAGATTAAATCGAGTCTGCATTAAATAGCAGCTCATTTTGGAATTATATGTTGACTGTTGAGCAGGTATATACTGACAGTATATACATTTAAAAAACAAAACAAAACCAAGGCAGAGCCAATTGCGTTGCAAACTTAAACCCCAAGTTTTATAGAATTGTAGAGTTGGAAGGGAACCCAGGTGGGTGTGGGGGACTCCCTGGTCCTGAATGGGGTAACTGTGCCCCTGAAGGACCAGGTGTGCAGCCTGGGAGTCATTTGGGGCTCACAGCTGTCCATGGAGGTGCAGGTCAATTCTGTGTCCAGGGCAGCTGTCTACCAACTCCATCTGGTGCACAGGATGAGACCCTCCCTTCCCACAGACTGTCTCGCCAGAGTGGTGCATGCTCTGGTTATCTCCTGCTTGGACTACTGCAATGCGCTCTACGTGGGGCTACCTTTGAAAGTGACCCGGAAACTGCAACTAATCCAGAACGCGGGAGCTAGACTGGTGACTGGGAGTGGCTGCCGGGACCTACGTACATTGGCTCCCAGTACGTTTCCAAGCACAATTCAAAGTGTTGGTGCTGACCTTTAAAGCCCTAAACGGCCTTGGTCCAGTATACCTGAAGGAGCGTCTCCACTCCCATTGTTCAGCCCAGATACTGAGGTCCAGCTCCAAGGGCCTTCTGGCGGTTCCCTCATTGCGAGAAGTGAGGTTGCAGGGAACCAGGCAGAGGGCCTTATCGGTAGTGGCGCCCGCCCTGTAGAACGCCCTCCAATCAGATGTCAAGGAAATAAGCAGCTATCCTATAGTGGTACCTCAGGTTACAGATGCTTCAGGTTACGGACTCCGCTAACCCAGAAATAGTACCTCGGGTTAAGAACTTTGCTTCAGGATGAGAACAGAAATCGCGCGGCGGTGGCACAGCAGCAGCGGGAGGCCCTATTAGCTAAAGTGGTACCTCAGGTTAAGAACAGTTTCAGGTTAAGAACGGACCTCCAGAACGAATTATGTTCTTAATCTGAGGTACCACTGTATTTTTAAAAGACATCTGTTTAGGGAAGTTTTTAATATTGAATGCTGTATTGTTTTTAACACTCGATTGGGAGCCGCCCTGAGTGGCTGGGGAAACTCAGCCAGATGGGTGGGGTATAAATAATAAATTATTATTATTATTATTATTATTATTATTATCTAACCCAACTCCCTGCAATGCAGGAATCGCAGCAAACGAATTCCTGACAGAGGGCCTTCCAACCTATCCAGATCTTATCATCCTTTACTGGCAAGTTGCTCCCCTGATGTGCACGCCCCGAGCCCTTGCTAAATGGGGTGAGCACCCCAAACTGTTACAACTGGCATGTAAGCACCCCTGAGAATGGACAGTTTAAGACAGCTGTTGATGGAAAGGGATTTGCAGTCCGTGACTTTATACAGGATTAACCCCTTGACCCACCTCGCTTGTGTGACTGAGAACTGCTTGGACTAAAGAGGAGCCTGCAAAAATCTCCCAGTCTATCAGTCCTGAGTGCTCAGAAGGGGTGCAGGGAGCGGTTATGCATGTGTTACTGTAATACACTCTCCACAGGGGCTGCCCCGAAGACAGTTTGAAAACTTTCAACTGGGTACAAAATACAGCTGCGCGGATGCCATTGAGGACAAAGCACATTATGCCAGTTTGGGTGACCAGGGCATTTCTGAACACACCTCAAGGCACTGGTGCAAACATTTAAAATCCTAAAGAGTTTAGGGGCACTTTATCTAAAGTATTGCCCATATGATCCTGGCCAGTTATTAAGAACTACAGAGGCCCTAGTCAAGGGCCACCCAGCGCAATCTCTTAGGCAGGTGGCAAAAGGGACCAGCAGGGCCTTTAGGGTGGTGGCTCCACAGATGTGAACCTCCCTTCCTTCTGAACCATGAACAGCCCTATGATGACAAAGGCTCCTCTCCTCTCGCCTGCCCCTCTTTAATGTTGTACTTCCAAGACCTGTCGCTTCCTTACGATTCTGGGATTTTACCATTCCCTAGTGTAGTTAAAAGAACGGCACATCAGCCAGCCACTTTCTCATGGCCGTAACCGCATAGAAGTCAGCACTTAGATAACTTTAAAGTGAAAATAAAGTTTGTGCAAAATCTTTGCATTGTTTGGGCGCATGTGAAATAACGGGACGAAAAGCCCCCAGTTTGCAAAAAACCCCAAAGAGGTTTGGCAATGCCAATGGCATTGCAAACTTAAACCACAAGTTTGTGCAATGTCTTTGCATTGCTTTGGAGCATGCAAAATAAAGGGACAAAAAGCCCCCAGAGTTTGAAGAAACAACAACCCAAGGCAGATCCAAGAGCATTGCAAATTTAAACCACAAGTTCGTGCAATATATTTGTACTGCTTGGACGCATAGGAAACAAATGAACAAAAATCCCTCAGAGAAGAATGGAGGATGAGATTAATGGACTATGCAGAATTGGATAAACTAACAGGAAGGATTCGAAACTGGTGGGACCAGAAATTCACAGAAGACTGGAGTAAATTTACGGACTATCTGAAAAGTATTTATAACGATCTGACTACGTTTGTAGGTTTGCAAGAAGTTTTGTGAGGAGTATTATTGGAATTATTGCTAAAATGGATAAGGGGGAGGATGGTAGTTAAGACACTTAAAGGTAATATGAATTTAAGAAATGCATAAGAAGTGACTAAAACGGTGGATCATCAGAGGTGCTGATGGAAGTCCAAAAAGATTGTTTAAGTGATAAAGTTCTGTGGTATGTACTATAATTTATATGTTAAAATAAATAAAAAATATTTTTTAAAAAAGGAAACGAATAAACAAAAATCCCTCAGAGTTTGCCCCTTTTGCAGAAAAAACAACAACCCCGAAATAAAGGGCCATTTACCTGGCGCAGTTTAACAAAACAACGCTCTCTCTCTTGCAGGGGCTTAGCGACCAACCTCCTTCCTCCGTCCCCAGGTTTGCTTACATAGCAACCTGCCCGGGACCAAAGCTGCGAAGACTACGCTTCCCAGAAGCCCCTTGACGCGCGCGAGGGCCATTGCACAAGGAGCGGCGGCCACGCGTCCCCGGCGGAGGCGGCGCGGAGCATCCTGGGAGTCGTAGTCCCCGTCGGGCGGAGGAGCCGTAGAGCTGCGCGGCGGCGGAGGCGCCCGGGAACTACAGCTGCGGGGCGGGCGGGGATTTGGAGCAGGAGGAAGCGCGGGCGGAGGAGCGGCTCCCTGCGCCGGCTGTGCACGGGGCTGGGTTGCTGGACGCCCGAGGGGGTCTCTGCGCAGGATGCATCCCGGGCTGGCCGTGGGGCTGGTCTTCGGCGGCTGCTGCAGCAACGTGGTTTTCCTGGAGCTGCTGATCAGGTGAGATGCTGGGGGGGAGGAAGGATGGGGAATCCACCTTCCAAGATCGGGGTGGGCATCCCGAGAGGCGCAGAACCGTGGGATTGTGCATTGGGAAGGGGGCCCCCAAAGGTCATCCATCCCAGCCCGCCGGCATGCAGGAAGCACAGCTCCACAGCCCCTGGCAAATGGCCACTCAACTTCTCGTTTAGAGCCCCTTAGAAGCAAAAGCAGCGGTTGACTATTTGCTGCTGCGTAGCCGGGGAGGGCAGGGAGGCAGCTGTCCACATCTGCCCCCCCTCCCCAATCAAGCAAGATAAATTAAAATACTTAACCAAAAGTATAAATAATCAGAATGATTGGAATTGGGAGCAAGGAGTGGGGCAGGGATAGGGAATCCACTTGCCAAGATCGGGGTGGTGTGGGCATCCCGAGAGGCGCAGAACCGTGGGATTGTGCATTGGGGAGGGGGCCCCCAAAGGTCATCCATCCCAACCCACTGGCGTGCAGGAATCGCAGCCCCACAGTCCCTGGCAAATGGCCACCCAACCTCTCGTTTAAAGCCTCCTAGAAGCAAAAAAAGCGGTTCACCATTTGCTGCTGCGTAGCCAGGGAGGGCAGGGAGGCAGCTGTCCACCTCTGCCCCCCCTCTATAAAAAATAATCAAGTAAGATAAATAAAAATACTTACCTGAAAGAATAAATAATCAGAATGATTGGAATTGGACGCTCGCTGAGCTCAAAAGAAGGTAATTTAGAACAACTGTTTGCGGAGACGTCTCGTTCCGAATCTGCTAGACAGAGCCAGGCAGGGGGTGGTGACAGGTGGGGGTATATAAACTATATATTCTGTATCATTATGCTATTAGTATATAAAGCCCTTAACAACTCGGGACCAGTTTACCTGCGAGATTGCATTTCTCAGCGGAATTTGCACCATTACATGTAATCCCTGTTCCACATTTGTAAGAACTGGGTCGTTTCGTGTGGCATGACTCACTGCTATCCTTCGGAACTCCCTGCCTGTTGGAATCAAGCAGGCGCCTTCACTGTGCTCTTTTCCAGCACCTGCTGAATGCGTTCTTGTTTAGAGAAGCCTGAGCAGATGCTTAGAAAGTCGAGTTGATTTTAATCTGTTTTAGTGTGTTAACTTTGGCATGCTTAAAAGTAGGTGATTCCCCCCTCCTCTTTCCATTTTGTAAACCGCTTTGAGGCTTTTTATAAACTAGGTAAAGGTAAAGGGACCCCTGACCATTAGGTCCAGTTGCGGACGACTCTGGGGTTGCGGCGCTCATCTCGCTTTATTGGCCGAGGGAACCGGTGTACAGCTTCCGGGTCATATGGCCAGCAGCATGACTAAGCCGCTTCTGGCGAACCAGAGCAGCGCACGAAAACACCGTTTACCTTCCCGCTGGAGTGGTACCTGTTTATCTACTTGCACTTTGACATGCTTTCGAACTGCTAGGTTGGCAGGAGCAGGGACCGAGCAACAGGAGCTCACCCCATCGCAGGGATTAAAACCGCCAACCTTCTGATTGGCAAGCCCTAGGCTCTGTGGTTTAGACCACAGCGCCACCCTTTTATAAACTAAGCGGCGTATAAATGGATTGAATGAATGAATGAATGTGCTGGCTTTGCCAATCCCTTTGGTGCTTCTTGAGGAAAGTCCAGTGTGTGGATAGTACTAAATTAAATGGACTAATGGTGTAAGGCCTCTTACCTCTGTTTCCATGGAACAGGTGAATCTGAGATTTATTTTTATTTTTTAAATGCATCTAAGGGTGGGAGGCAGATATTGGCATTTCAGCTGTGAGGAAAGCAGCAAGCCGGGCCTGTTGTCCTCGAAATGTTTTTCAGGATATTAAATTTCTGTGTACAGCCTCTCAGACTCCCTTTCCTTGTTGCATGAGGGGGGAAAGAGCAGGGATACCCTGCGAATGCTCTCTGAATTCTCTAGGGAAGCTGAGGTGCAGGTCTGGCTGGGTAGAGGTGAGTCATCCATCTTCAGATTGCGTCGTGGCAGCGAAACCGGCTTGGTTTTTTTAATGTTTGATGCTGTGCTTTAATTTGTTGGAAGCCACCCAGAAGGGCTGGGGCAACTCAGTCAGATGGGCGGCATATGAATAATAAATTGCCACCGCCCTCATCTGTATGGTTGCCCTGTGGGTTCACATATAAAGCCAAAACGTTGGCACAGCTCCTTTGCGGATCCTTTCTGGGCCCGCCAACCTCCTCTTTCATTCCCCTTGAAAGAGTGCAATCCAAACTCCTCAGAGCCCTTCTACAAGTTCCTAGATGCTTTTCAGATACATGGGTCAGACTAGAAACAGGCATGATCCAAGTCGAAGCTCATATTAGTCTAACATCAGTATATACTGTATTTTTCGCTCCATAAGACGCACCTGATCATAAGACGCACCTAGTTTTTAGAGGAGGAAAACAAGAAAAAAATTTTCTGAATGAAACAGTGGTTGTATGATTTTTGTGGTTCATGCTGTGGCCACAGACATGATATGTGATTTGACGGTGAATTTGGGGTAGCCCAATGCAAAAATCCTGAGGATCCATGTGGATCCATGCTTTGTAACCACGTTTTTGTGCCATTGCGGCCCGACGAAACAGTGGATGCATGGTTTTCTTGGTGCAGGCTGTAGCCATGGACATGCTATGTGATCTGATGGAGAATTTGGGGTGACCCAATGCAAAAATCCTGAGGGTCCATGTGCTTTTAACTCCCCCCTCCCAGGCAGCCTCCTTTATCTCTAGAGTCCCTTATCTCCTTCCCGATCGCTTGCTGATCGGCGGCTTTGTTTCAACACCCCCTTCCCTCTTTCTAAAAATAAAAGCGCAATCTGCTTTTTGCCCCTGGGCAATTCGGCTCCAGGGACCACACATTCACTCCATAAGACGCACAGACATTTCCCCTTACTTTTTAGGAGGAAAAAAGTGTGTCTTATGGAGCGAAAAATACGGTAAGCGGCTAACTCTGAAACTGCTTCCCCAAGGAATAGCCCCATTGATTCTGAGCGACCAGTTTCAGTCTGGATGGCACTCTTAAACACTCTTCAGAAACTGGGCCTTACTCCCCAAACCTTCATAATTATGGGCCTGGGCCAAGCTAGATTAGGCAAAGAATCATGGACATAGAGAGACAACAGGACTGTACGAGGGTCCCCGATTATAAAATCAAAGAAAACGGGAGATACGTAGCCGCTCCAGCAACATATCTCTATTTCCTCACATCCAGAAACGCAAGAAGGGCTTTTCCTCTTGCTAGAAGCTCGACCTTGCCCTCACTGGTTCTGGAAGGCTCCTATAGAAGAGTCCCGTACGCACAGAGACTTTGCACCTGCCTATTAGGGGAAATAGGAAGCCCCAAACATATATTTTTTAAGATGTCCTTTTTATGTTGAGATTCGTAGAGACACCATGGATCCCTTGCTGAAGAGGCTCTCCAATCTTTCAGACAAGTCTAAACCGAATCCTCTCCTCTTAGGCAAAGATCACAAGACAACCTGGCTAGTAGCCAGATTCTGCGACCAGATTTGTAGGCACAGATCATCCTCTAGAATAAAATAGCTTACTAGGGAAATGCTGAAGTCACCCTTCAATTTTTTATGGTAGCCCAAATCTCAGTTGTACGGGTGTATGTATGTATCTCAATTTTAACTCATGAGCTATTGCTACAATCTGCTCCGATTGTATATTTTATCTTTATGAACGCTGTTTTTATTGTGTTATGTTATGCGAGCTGGTCTTTGACCGTAATAAATTATCTATCTCTCTGTGGGTTCACATATTCTGGAAAGGAGGGAGGGTGAGAAACTTGGATTCTCAGCTGCTGTGAATGCTGCCATCGTGATCTCTCTGGGGCTTATTTGGCTAGATCAAACATAGTGCACAGTCCACAGTGGGGACATAGATTTCTGGGCAGGAGCTGATCACGGTGTGGATTTGCCGAGCGTGTCTTCCTCCTTTTCTTCCTTACATCCTGAATTTGAGCGTCTTCAAAGTCCTTACAAAATAAAAAAAATTCCTTCCAGTAGCACCTTAGAGATCAACTACCGTATTTTTCGCCCTATAGGACGCACTTTTTCCCCTCCAAAAATGAAGGGGAAATGTGTGTGCGTCCTATGGGGCGAATGCAGGCTTTCGCTGAAGCCTGGAGAGTGAGAGGGGTCGGTGCGCACTGACCCCTCTCGCTCTCCAGGCTTCAGGAAGCTCTGCGCAACCCTCGGGAGACCGACTCCGAGGGTTGCGCAGAGCTGCCTGCAGTCCCGGGCTCAGCGCAGCTCTGCGCGGCCACCGGGAGCCGGGCGCGAAGTCCCGCCCCGCTCCGGATGGCGGCGCAGAGCTGCCTGCAGTCCCGGGATCAGCGCAGCTCTGTGCGGCCATCGGGAGCAGGGCGCGAAGTCCCGCCCCGCTCCGGATGGCCGCGCAGAGCTGCCTGCCGTCCCGGGATCAGCGCAGCTCTGTGCGGCCATCGGGAGCAGGGCGCGAAGTCCCACCCCGCTCCGGATGGCCGCGCAGAGCTGCCTGCAGTCCCAGGATCAGCACACTTCTCCCCATCGCCAGCCCCACAAGCTCGGGGGACAGCGGGGAGGCAGAGCGCACCTTCCCGCTGTTTCCCGACCTAGTTCTTCCAGCCCCACACCTGGGGGGGAAATAAAAATATTTTTCTTTATTTCCCCCCCAAAAAACTAGGTGCGCCCTATGGGCCGGAGCGTCCTATGGAGCGCAAAATACGGTAACTGGGAAGGTGAGCTTGGGACTTCCTGCGTTCAAACCTGCAGCCCTTCCCTTCAGCTCTTGCCAAGAATGCAGGAGCAGGTGGACTTTGTTAAGACGCCATGTGGGGCTCCCGAGATACGAGTATCCCCTTGGGATCACTCTACGCAGGTACGTTGCTCTTTAGCCCGGCGTTGTAAATAAGCTCACCAGCATGCAGATTATTTTAGCAGCTTGCAAAGTCTCCATCTGCACCTTACATTTAAAGCAGAATCGTACTACTTTTCGCATTCACGGCCTTCCCAAAAGACTCCCAGGAAGTTGGAACGGCAGTTTGTTAAAGGTGCCAAGAGTTATTGGAGATCCCTCTTTCCCTCAGAAATCTATGTTAACAGAGAAATCTGAGGGCTCCCTTGGACAAAAAACAAGGACACCAGCCAGGAATACCAGAGCAAAACAGCAGCCAGTAGGCTTGGTCTTTATTGAAGACTGTCGCAACAGGACTCCCACCTGCCACCAGGTGGAACAAGATGGAAGCCCCAAACAAAAGAGAACCCAAACTTTTATTAGCTGCTAATCCCCATGTTACACCCTCCAAACTACATTACTAATACATCATGAAAGGGGAGGTCTGGTGGCAGGAATCTGAGCATCTTGGACCCTGCCCCATGGTTCCCCTTGCCCTCCACCAAACACCCATCAAGTGTAACAAAAGAGATATTTACATTTCCTTGTTTCCCAGCCAAGTTAATCACACCCTTTTGTCTTCATCTGGGTTTGTTATTTCTGGAATAGCTACCTGTCTGGCACTCAGGTATCAGGATGCCAGGAATTATCACTCAGGCAGAGGGGCTGCTGAGCAGCTGAGCTCACATGTCTATATGAATTTCTGACCTTTTCCCAGTGAGCCAGTACATAGATAAATGTATCAGTGAATTCTTACATTTGGTATCGTGCAGCAAAGGACCTTTGTATAGTTAGGAAGAAACTGTGATGAAGTGTTTTGTGGGGACAAATCACAAAAGTGATTCTGCTGATTTTGGTAGTGGGCTGCATGTGCATGATATCTGCTGGAGGGGCAACCCCCCCCCAAACCCATACATAAATTCCTGCAACAGCTACAGTTCCCAAAGTGAATAGAATAACAAAGTTGGAAGAGACTCCAAAGGTCATCTAGCCTAACCGGCTGCCTTGCAGGAACCTCAACACGCGGTCCCCCATCTAGTCTGAAACCAGACCGGACCCTGCTTAGCTTTGCAGGCGTACTAGCAGTTTTATTCTTGCGCCACGAGCTTTGAACATTCGGTCCCCTTTCCGCTCTGTGAGACGCAGCTCTCACATTTAAGAAGTCATTTTGAACTGACCCTTTAAAAGTGCTTGCGGCCAGGACGGCCCTGGTTTCTGTCGTGGCAGGTCATGCTATAAACTCTCTTGCCGTAGGGCGGAAGTGTGACCAGCAGTAAAAGTCCTCATTTAGAATAACTCTTGATGTAGCTGGGTAGACAAAGCTGCTTTTATGTTTGCATGAATGTGACTGCCTGCGAGGATTGTTTGTGTTGAGTGTTGACACAGGAGCGGATGATGGCTCTTTCAAAATATGTTTAGGAGCTTGTAAACCTTTGCAGCTTGAGATTGGACTATATAAGAAGGACCCCCCGGGAGGGAGAAGTTTCTGGGATTCACATAAGACTGGTCTGCTTCTTCTTACATAGGTTGATTCTTAGCCACGTTGCATTGCATATAAAGTGACGTTAATTCCTTCCAGGTCCTCGGTTTTTCCCCTCCTTGGAAATGCAATCGTTTTATTGTTTTAACTCTTGGTTGTTGCCGTAATTAGAAAAGGGTGTGAGGTTGTTGGATTTTTTTTTTTAAAAAAGGAAATGTAAAACATTTAACATGGCACAAAACCCTGGATTCAATCACTTCTTTTTGCCTGTCTGATTGCCTTTCACTGCCGTCTCACAAACAAGTACACATTTGGGTTTTGGAGCCTTATAAAGACGCCAGCCATCTTGGCAAGGCAGGGTCTGAAATCTGAGCACAGCAAAGTCCTTGCAAAAGTACTGTATTTTTCGCTTTATAGGACGCACCTTGTTTTAGAGGGGGAGAACAAGAAAAAAATTCTCCCCCTCTCTGCTCAGCGCCCCTTCAGCGAAGTGGCAGGATAAACGGAGCCCCTTCTATTTCTCCTCCCGCTTAGCTGAAGGGGCGCTGCGCAGCTCTCCCTCTCTGCTGAAGCTGGGAGAGTCTTGCTCTCCCGGCTTCAGCAAAAGGAACCCGAAGCCTTCGGAGTGCGGCGCGAGTTCCCGCTGTGCTCCAAAGGCTTCAGGTGGCATCCCTGAAGCCTGGAGAGCGAGAGGGGTTGGTGCGCACCGACCCCTCTCGCTCTCCAGGCTTCAGCGAAAGCAACACGTAGCCTCCGGAGCATGGAGGGAGAGCTCCCTCTGCGCTTCGGAGGCTTTGCGTTGCTATCGCTGAAGCCAAGGAGCCTGCATTCGCTCCATAGGACGCACACACATTTCCCCTTAATTTTTGGAGGGGAAGAAGTGCGTCCTATAGAGCGAAAAATAATTAGAAGGGTGCAATCTTTTTCTTTGTTTTATGTGTGGTTAGGGACGGAGTTTTCAAATATAACTTCTTCTTTCTTTCTTTCTTTCTTTCTTTCTTTCTTCGTTCCTTCCTTCCATCCTTTCTCTCTCTCTCTCCCTCCCTTCTCCACTTCAAACACAGGGAATTTCCAGGATGTGGGAACCTGATTACCTTTGCCCAATTCTTCTTCATAGCCATCGAGGGTTTCATCTTCGAAGCCAATTTTGGACGGAAGCGGCCCACTATCCCAATCAGGTACAGCCACTCTCCTCAAGATGGGAGCCAAGGTTATGTGGGTCCGGTGAAACTTGGGGGAGCACAGAATATTCCCCATCCCTGGCTTATGGGTATGTGTGTGTTCATGGGGCCTGCTACAAAACTGGTTGCAGAGATTGCGTACCAAGACCCCGCAACCACCGCCTCGTTGAAGAATAAACACACAGGACACAAATATTAGGTTAATGTTATTGGGCAAATTTTGGCCACAACTTTATTGATTACAAAATGTGAGCAGTATTGGCTTAGGCATTGAATCAACCCAATCACAGTTGTACCTCGGGTTACATACGCTTCAGGTTACAGACTCCACTAACCCAGAAATATTACCTCGGGTTAAGAACTTTGCTTCAGGATGAGAACATAAATCGTGCTCTGGCGGTGTGGCAGCAGCAGGAGGCCCCATTAGCTACAGTGGTTAAGAACGGACCTCTGGAACGAATTAAGTACTTAACCTGAGGTACCACTGTGTATCTGACTCCTGCCCGTTGCGCAGGGAGTCTGGTAAGGGTAAACCACCAGAAAGGGGAGCCCCGTTGATGCAGACCAACTTGAGCTCCCTCAGGTATTCCCGACGGGATTGTGTCATGGCCCTAGCCCTGCCCTGTGCTTCGGACAAGATCCACACACCCCGGATTCCTTTAACGGAATACCCTTAAGCTTGGAGGGGCAGGTGATGGTCACCCCTCCCCTCTCCCATCATAAGGTCAAACAATTCCTAACCACCACAAGGCTCGCCGCCAAATACCCTCACACCTATAACCAATGCCTGAAGCCCTCCCTCTGCAAAATGGTCCCAGCTATGCCCCCGCCAGTCAGCTGGATTGGCCGGCTGGTCAGTGACGTGGCCGGGATCCCCCGGGCAACGCGGGACTTCGTACCCCGCCCCGGAGGTGAGTGGGTGGCCACACGGTCCACCGCAACTGCTCCCCACAATGAAGTGGAGCGGACTTGTGGAAGGAAGGCATTCACTGCCATCGACCCTGCCTGAACGTGTTCGAGTTGCATCTATTGCCTATTGTTTGTCATTTCTGGTGACGTTCATAGTTCTGGAGCTCAGCAGGTTCAAGGGGGGACAGGAGGCGGGCGGGTGTGGAGGACTCCCTGGTCCTGAATGGGGTAACTGTGCCCCTGAAGGACCAGGTGCACAGCCTGGGAGTCATTTTGGACTCACAGCTGTCCATGGGGGCGAAGGTCAGTTCTGTGTCCAGGGCAGCTGTTTACCAGCTCCATCTGGTACGCAGGCTGAGACCCTCCCTGCCCGCAGACTGTCTCGCCAGAGTGGCGCATGCTCTGGTTATCTCTCTCTTGGACTACTGCAATGCGTTCTATGTGGGGCTACCTTTGAAGGTGACCCGGAAACTACAACTAATCCAGAATGCGGCAGCTAGGCTGGTGACTGGGAGCGGCCGCCGAGACCATATAACACCGGTCTTGAAAGACCTACACTGGCTCCCAGTACGTTTCTGAGCACAATTCAAAGTGTTGGTGCTGACCTTTAAAGCCCTAAATGGCCTTGGTCCAGTATACCTGAAGGAGCATCTCCACCCCCATCATTCTGCCCGGACACGGAGGTCCAGCTCTGAGGGCCTTCTGGCGGTTCCCTCACTGCGAGAAGCCAAGTTACAGGGAACCAGGCAGAGGGCCTTCTCGGTAGTGGCGCCCGCCCTGTGGAACGCCCTCCCACCAGATGTCAAAGAGAAGAACAACTACCTGACATTTAGAAGACATCTGAGGGCAGCCCTGTTTAGGGAAGCTTTTAATGTTTAATAGGTTATTGTATTTTAGTGTTTTGTTGGAAGCCGCCCAGAGTGGCTGGGGAAACCCAGCCAGATTGGTGGGGTATAAATAATAAATTATTATTATTATTATTACTCCATGCTGGGCTTACGGGGCAAATCCCTTTGCGGTTCTCCTTCCAGGTACTACCTGATCATGGTGGCCATGTTCTTCACGGTCAGCGTGGTGAATAACTACGCCCTCAACTTGAACATCGCGATGCCTCTGCATATGATATTTAGATCGGTGAGTCCTTTTGCTTTATTTTAATATATAATATTTATTAAGTTTCCATTTTATCACATTGAACCAACTCCTGGGCACAGCAGAAAGCAGGCATCCCCAAACTCGGCCCTCCAGATGTTTTGGGACTACAATTCCCATAATCCCTGACCACTGGTCCTGTTAGCTAGGGATGATGGGAGTTGTAGTCCCAAAACATAAGGAGGGCCAAGTTTGGGGGTGCCTGGTGTAAAGAATCTGATATGTACCCCAAATCTTCTTATTTTTCTATAATTCATTTAAACAGCCTTAAAATATCAATGACTTCCCTTCTTCTCTTCCCATGGTTCATTTTGCATAACATAAATCCCTGCATATTTTACATAAACTAAACCATTCAGGATGCCATCATTACATCCATCCAAACTTATTTACACTGTTAAATTTATCTTAAGGCTCCCAACGTTTTCAAGTGTACGCAATTTCCCCCCATATATTCAATAAATGTTTTCCAATCTTCTTTAAACGTATGTTCGTCCTGTTCTCTTATTCTATATATTAGGTCCGCAAGCTGTGCATATTCCATCAATTTAAGTTGCCATTCTTCTTTAGTTGGGACCTCGTTCGTTTTCCATTTTGTACCCAAATCTTCCAATCTGTTGTAATATAGCCCTCATCATCCCTGACCGTTGGCTGTTCTGGCTGGGGTTGATGGGGAGTTGGAGCCCCACAACATGTGGGGACCGCAGACTCCCCATAGCTGCTCTTCAACATAACAGTTGCCTGGCTAGATCTTCACCTAGCCTGGCTCCCCTTTCAGCCAGTCCTAACAATGTATTTCAGGAGCGCTGCTAATTAACAGCTGAAGAAATTTATGGAACAAAGGTCCTTATTACGTTTGGCAAGGATAAATGCCGTGAGCTATCTCGGTATTGAGCAATAATGTTTAATTTAAAAAAGAAACATAAAGGAATTCTGTGTGCTCTTTACACTTAGTTTGTTTTGTTTAACAATAAAGCAAAATTTATTTAAAACTAAAAAGTGCCAAGTGCTGTTCTCATAGGAACAGCATTTCCCCAAGATGTCGTTTGCAGGTGATATTAATAGACAGGATTGTAAGTTGTTTTTATATGCAATGACGGCAGCAAGAATATTATTGGCACAAAAATGGAAGCAAGATGAAAGAAGAATGGCGGATGAAATTAATGGACTATGCAGAATTAGATAAATTAACAGGAAGGATTCGAAACCTGTGGGACCAGAGATTCTTAGAAGACTGGAGTAAATATATGAATTATTTGAAAAGCAATTGTAATGAACAGATTACGCTAGTAGGACTGCAAGAAGTTCTGTAAGGAGGACTATTTGAAATGTCGCAAGAAAGACTATGAAGAGAATTATGAGTTAATGATAATTAAGAGTAAAGGAAAAATTAAGAAATTCAGAATAAGTGGTAAAGAACGGAAAATCATCAGAGGTTGTTGATGGAAGTCTAAAATATTGTATAAGATAAGAAGTTATGTTAAATGATTGTTGGAACCAGGCAGAGGGCCTTCTTGGTAGTGGCGCCCGCCCTGTGGAACGCCCTCCCACCAGGTGTCAAAGAGGAAAACAACTACCAAACTTTTAGAAGACATCTAAAGGCAGCCCTGTTTAGGGAAGCTTTTAATGTTTAATAGGTTATTGTATTTTAGTGTTTTGTTGGAAGCCGCCCAGAGTGGCTGGGGAAACCCAGCCAGATGGGTGGGGTATAAATAATAAATTATTATTATTATTATTATCAATAATTACTATTACTATTATTTTTTAAAAACCCCAATAAAAATGTGTGTGTGTGTATAAATATATATAGAGAGAGATATCGTTTGCAGAAGTCCCCTAGAGAGGTGCAATATATAAAATGGTAGAGTTGGAAGGGACCCCAAGCGGTTATCTAGTCCAACCCCCTGCAATGCAGGAATCACAGGTGCAGAATCCTTGACAGGTGTCCATCCAACCCCTGCTTAGAAACCTCTGACAGGGTCCACCAATTCGTCTTGTACCTCCGATACCCCAGGGCCTTGCCATATACAAACCCTTCACCTGAAACCTCCTCACCTGTCTATAATCACTGACATCATTTTAGCTCTTATTCAGTGTTAACCCACTTGGCTTTTTCCTTCTTTCCATGACCCTCTCCGGCTGTCTGGCCTCTTCAGGGATCTCTGATAGCAAACATGGCTCTGGGCATCATCATTCTGAAGAAAAGGTACGTCTTCTTTATTTTGCTGGGGCTGAGAATAGTCCAGAGTTGAGGTAGCGGACGGGATGGCAAGGGAAGTTGGCGTGCTCTCTTTCGCCCACTAGTGGCTGACCCACAAATGGGACCATGGGTTGTTTCTTCTGGCCTTTCAAAAGACAGGTGGCTAATCGGTTGCAACTCTTAAGGCACCATCTTCCTTATCTTGTACCTACAGGACCGCCTCTCCTGGTATGTCCCACGGAGGACCTTACGGTCCTCAAACAAAAACATCTTGGAGGTCCTGGGCCACAGGGAGGTTAGGCTGGCCTCAACCAGAGCCAGGGCTTTTTCAGCTGTGGCCCCGACTTGGTGGAACGCTCTGTCACAAGAGACCAGGGCCCTGCGGGACTTGACATCTTTCCGCAGGGCCTGCAAGACGGAGCTGTTCCACCAGGCCTTTGGCCAAGGCACAGCCTGACCCCCTCCTTTGGCAATCCTCATAGCACTCTAGCCCAATGGTTGCCATTAATTTGATTCTGAATTGATTTTAGAATGCTGTGTTACTTTTATTGTTGTTAGCCGCTCTGAGCCCGGCTTCGGCTGGGGAGGGTGGGATATAAATAAAATTTGTTGTTGTTGTTGTTGTTATCTGGCACAATTCAGCACGGCCAGCAGTTTGGGATGATGGGATTTGTCGTCTCAACAACATTAGGAGGGCACCGGGTTGGGGAAGGCAGTCCAAGAGGGTTGGACTGGATGACTGCTGGGGTCCCTTCCAGCTCTTGTGATTCTGTGAGATGGTGAGTGTGTGTGCATGCCAGTCAGTCAGTTTTATTGCACATAGCCAAAGGCTGCCGCAATGTACACAGAATCATTCAGCAATTAAAAGAAAATATACTGGATTAATACAAAAAACTTAAAACATTTATACTACCAAGACGTTACTTACTCTAAACAGAGCTATAAAAGTACCTTAATATACAAGTTAAGACATTAAAACAATAAAATTTATAAGCTAAAATTATCACATGGCCACTGATAGATTAAAAAACAATGTTAATTAATACAATGTGCAATTATATTCGGAGTTTGGTGATAAAGATAGAATATAGCTTGATGTAGATAGGGTCAAATAAGTTCATCTCCTTTGCAGTTGGTGGCTACCTTGGCTATATAATTTGCTCTAATTTTCCTAGCGGCAGTTGCAAAGAGTGCTACACGCCAGGTCCCATACTTATCTGTGTCAGCGAGGAGATATAAAATCATGTCAGAAGGGTTGTGGCCAGGGGACCTTGTCATTGCTTTGGTTATGTGATATCTACGAACCATGAGGACTAGGAGAATGCATTTTATCCTTCCTCTTCTGGCTTACTAGCTGGAAGCCGAGATCCTCAAGGCATTGCCAGAGCTGCCGGGTTCTGCCGCGGAAGCCCAGTCTATGCAATGATTACATTAACACAGCAACAAAGGGCATCGTTCCCTGTAAGGTGGGCTTCCTGCACGGCCCTGGTTCTCCTGAAACCCTCCCTATCCTCCACCTGTACAGGTACACCATCTCCAAATACACCTCCATAGCTCTGGTGTCTCTGGGAATCTTCACCTGCACCTTCATGTCAGCAAAGCAAGTGGTAAGGACTGCTGCGTTTCCTCCTCCTTCGCCATAGCTGTGTGACCACCAGCACTTCCTCTTCCTCTTGTACGCAAATCGCTGTTGGAAAGAGCGCAGTTCAGTTCCTTGGCTTAAAAGCAGGGTATTCCCTCTCTAAAGCAGGAATGACGAAAGGATGGGCCATATCTGGCGTCCGCCGGATTCCTTGTGGCACCAGGGATGGGCAGCTGGCGGCCTGTGGGCCTTGAAGCAGTTTTATCTGGCCCCTGTGGCCTTAGCTGGTTGTCTTGCCAGTTTGCTATGCGCAGGACTGATTGGCCAGCGTCTGAGCCGTCACTAACTCGCCCCGCCCCTTTGGGGTGCTTCCCCACCGCTACCACCTTTTAAAACATGGATTATGTATGGAAAAACGTTTGCCCACTTGTAAGGAAAAGCGGGAAAGAGATTATATATAAAGGAATAGAGTCCTTGGTTATCTTTAGGTTTTGTGCATCACGTCCCTTGATGCTCAAACACATGTGTTTCATAGCTGTGAATCCCACACACCTAAGGTAGCGTTGGCTGTGTTTTAGAGCCTGTTGCTAAGGTTCTCTGGTTCTGCGGCAAAATACATTTCCCTTCCCCAAGTTGTCTGTCCCTGAGTTGAAGGTTGTCTCCCATTTCAGAGGAAGGCTGGCCGCAAGCCTAGCAGGATTTGGTAGGAATGTTTTCTTATTTGAGTGCACAGGTTGAATTTCTCTCTCTCTTTCCCACTTCTGCGTCCTTAGAGTTCTATGTCAAGCCCAAGTGAAGATGAAGAGAACGTCTCTGCTTTCATCTGGTGGCTGCTAGGTCTGTAACTGCTAATACTTTTATGGTTGTGTTAGTACTGGCTTGCCATTCAACAAAAAAAGCCCAATGTGCATAGCACTGATTGACCAGCGCTTGGGATGTGGCAACCCTACACCTCTCCCTTCTTTTTAAATGGCTTTTCCACCTTGTCTTTAAATAACATGAAAAACAAATGGTCCAAGCTGTTTGCCATTTAATGTGGGATGAGTAAAAATCGCCTCTATGTTACTAAGATGGAAAGATAAATGGGTATAGTTTTTTATCTCTCTTATGGCACAAACGACTAACATGTGCAGACAGGAGGCTAGAAAACCTTTTCCTGGGCTCTGTTTCTAGAGTCCCTCCAGAAGTTTTGAGCCATAACTCACATCAGCCCCAGCTGCCCAAAATATCTAGATGGCACCAGGATACAGGAGCGGGATTTTTATTGTTTTGGCAAAGTTGTTCCAATTCGGAGGCTGCTTGGCTCGGAACAAGGTGTGATGCACCGGAGTGGAATCCAGACTCCAAGCCAAACTCCGTAGCCTGACTCACCTGTACAGACCCTTTGCAGATATTGCGTAATGTTAAGGAGTGTTCAGACATTCCCATAAATGAAGTTGCCTGAAGCTTTTCCCCCCTTCCATGGATCAAGCCCTCATTTTATCTCCCCACCTTCATCATGGATTCGACAGATGCGCTGATTCACTCACCTGTCTCGTTCCTTTCGGCAGGCTTCTCCCTTCGACTGTCTTGCCTTTAATTAACCACATAATTGCAACACTTATTGGCAGAGATGCTGCCTTTACACTTTAAGTATACCTTCAGTATACCTGAAGGAGTGTCTCCATCCCCATCGTTCTGCCTGGACACTGAGGTCCAGCTCCGAGGGCCTTCTGGCAGTTCCCTCCCTGCGAGAAGCGAGGTTACAGGGAACCAGGCAGAGGGCCTTCTCGGTGGTGGCACCCGCCCTGTGGAACGCCCTCCCTTCAGATGTCAAGGAAATAAACAACTACAGTGGTACCTCAGGTTAAGAACTTACTGCATTTTTGCTCTATAAGATGCACCCAGTTTTAGAGGAGGAGAACAAGAAAAAAAGTGTTCTCTCCCTCTCTGCTCAGCGCCTCTCCAGCAAAGCGGGAGGAGAAATGGAAGGGGCTTTGTTTCTCCTCCCACTTCGCTGCAGGGGCGCTGCACAGCTTTCCCTCTCTTACGCAGTGCCCCTTCAGATCCCTCTTGCTCTCCTGGCTTCAGTGAAAGCTGCGCAGCCTGCATTCGCTCCATAAGACGCACACACATTTCCCCTTACTTTTAGGAGGGGAAAAGTGCGTCTTATAGAGCGAAAAATACAGTAATTCATTCTGGAGAGCCGTTCTTAACCTGAAGCACCACTTTAGCTAATGGCACCTCCGCTGCCGTGCGATTTCTGTTCTCATCCTGAAGCAAAGTTCTTAACCCGAGGTACTATTTCTGGGTTAGTGGAGTCTGTAACCTGAAGCATATGTAACCCGAGGTACCACTGTATCTGACTTTTAGAAGACATCTGAAGGCAGCCCTGTTTAGGGAAGTTTTAAACGTTTGATGTTTTGTCGTGTTTTTAATATTCTGTTGGGCACCACCCAGAGTGGCTGAAGAAACCCAGCTAGATGGGCGGAGTATAAATGATACATTATTATTATTCTAATAAATTAGTATTAAGAGAAAAGCACCGTATGCAGTTAAGCCCAGCCTGTTCACCCCACTGTTGTGTTTGCAGGTATCCTCGCGCTGACCTTTGCTCTTCTCATGTCGGCCCGGATGGGGATATTCCAAGAGACCCTCTATAAGAGATTTGGCAAGCACTCCAAGGAAGCACTCTTCTACAACGTAAGTCTCTGTGGTCCAGATCGACTTCATTCCTTTCTTGATAGAAGGTAAACCGGACAAATCCACCCAGGCGTTGGACGTGGGACGATGAAGTTCAGGGAAAGTTAGACATTCGGTTTAAACCAGTGCAGTTTGGAGCAGTTGGTACCCAAACTTTCTCTGCCCACCATAAGCGCATTCCCAGTGCCCCCTACCCTATAAAAAAGTGGTATTCAGAATAGTGCTTTTACGCAATCCACTCCGAAAGATAACAACACAATAAAATTCGAAATTATTTGCACGTTTGTTCAAAATCCAAGGAAAACTGTTTTGCTTATTCATGACCAAATGATACCAGGTTTTCAAAGTCTGATAGTCATTTACATCTCTGCTGCCCCCCTGCCCCCCCTTTCCTCTTAGGGCCCCCCACCCCGGTATTTCCCACCCCCAGGAGATGGTACCATCCCCTTTGGGAACCACTGATTCGTGTGTGTCAGGCTTCCTCAACCTCGGCCCTCCAGATGTTTTGGGACTACAATTCCCATCATCCCTGACCGCTGGTCCTGCTAGCTAGGGATCATGGGAGTTGTAGTCCCAAAACATAGGGAGGGCCGAGATTGAGGAAGCCTGGCGTGTGTGCTGCAACAGCCTGTGTAGACCCACTTTGTGCATTCAGCAGACTGAAACAGGAATGCACAAGCTCAGGCTATTGGAGGGGCAACAGGGTGTGTTTCATGTCTAAACGTCGTTTCGTGGCGATGGGATGCCCTGTCCGTTGCAAAACAGCTTCCTGCAGTCATCCGTGAAGCTTCTGCCTTCTAGCACAGGCCCAGTTCAGATGCAATGCTTAGCTAAACCGTGGCTTGACAGAAACATGCAGGCTCCAAGTGAGAAGGCTGTGGTTCCTCCAGTCTTCTTGCTCCTGTGCTGCTTTGAGCTAGGCCACATTTTGGCTTGGCATTGCACCCAAACCAAGACTTGTGGTTTGGGGTGAAGCACACCTCTGGGCCAAGAAAATAAATACAACCCAGGTGGTTAAGAAAGCCCAACAGAGACTCCATCTCCTCGGAGTATTGTGAAAGAACGATGTCAATCAACATTTGATGATCTCCTTCTACCGGTCCACAATAGAAAGTGTCCTTTCCTACTGCATCACGGTGTGGGACGCTGGTTTGACATCAACTGTGCCTGCAGAGGGTGGTGAATACAGCACAATATATTATGGGCTGTCCCGTGAATCCACTGGATGAAATAGCGGAAGAACGTTGCCTCAGGAGAGTGAGGAAAATTCTCAGGGATGATTCACACCCTGGCCGGCACTTTCTTGGTCTCCTGCCCTCGGGCAGAAGATATAGAAGCAGGATTAGTCGCACCAACAGGGTAAAGAACAGCTTCTGTCCGTGGGCTGTCAGGGCAACTGACTTTCGGGTTTGGTAGGTGTGCGTCCGTAAACGAGGGGAATTTAGACTAAGAGAGCTGAGTGGGGGGTGCTCGTGTAATCTCACTATGTACTGTACAAGTGACAATAAAGTATTTCAATTTCAATTCAGTTCAAGAGCTAAGCTGCCTCTGGTGTGTCTTAAAAGCCATTCTTAAAAACAAGTCATCCACACAATTCCATGTTTACATGCTCTTCCGTTCCTCCACAGCTCTTAGAATGGTCGGCCGATCGTTTGTTATTATGATTATTTATTAAATTTATATGCCACCCTTCATCGTAAGATCTCAGGACAGTTTGCAGAGTAAAATACAAGGAAATTAAGATTCAGTGCTTGGCAGCCAGTGTGGTGTTGAACTTGTATCCCGAAGAACCAGGTTCAAACTCCCACTCAGCCATGAAGCTCACCGGGTGACCAGTCCCTGTCTCTTAGCTTAGCCTACCTCACAGGGTTGTTGTGAGGCTAAAATGGGGAGAGGGAGAACCCTGTGCACCAAAACCTGAGCTCCTTAGAGGAAAGGCAGGAAGCAATTGGAATAATAAGTAAATAGTTTATTTTTTTAAAAGGAAATGCTGGTTATAATAATAATAATAATTTATTATTTATACCCCGCCCATCTGGCTGAGTTTCCCTAGCCACTCTGGGCGGCTCCCAGTCGAGTGTTAAAAACAATACAGCATTAAATATTAAAAACTTCCCTAAAGAGGGCTGCCTTCAGATGTCTTCTAAAAGTCTGGTAGTTGTTCTTCTCTTTGACATCTGGTGGGAGGGCGTTCCACAGGGCGGGTGCCACTACTGAGAAGGCCCTCTGCCTGGTTCCCTGTAACCTCACTTCTCGCAATGAGGGAACCGCCAGAAGGCCCTCGGCGCTGGATCTCGGTGGTTATTCTGTTAGTGCACAAGTCTTGTCCCTTTTTCCTCTGGGGCATCTCTCTCAAGGTCTTCTTTCCTCCTCACAGCACGCCCTCCCCATCCCAGGTTTCCTGCTTCTGGCTCCTGACATCTACAGACACGCCCTTCTCTTCAGCCAATCTGGTAAGCTGGGCGCATTTCTCAATATTGCTTCTGGACAGCTTCCTGCTATCGGCCAGGAAACAAATTCAGCTCTGCAGGGTGAAGCCAGTGTCCCGTCTATTCCGGAATCCTGCTCTTACATAATCCCGCCCATTATGGGAAACCCATAAGCAGGGCCTGAGCACAACAGCAGACTCGCCAACCTATAATGCCCAGAAATTTATATTCAGAGCCATACTGTCTCCAATATGGAGTGCGGCTATTGTGGCTGGCTGCCATGGACAGCCTAGCAGCAGTTGCCCATCCTTACCTCGCTCCGTAAGCTCTCCAGTTACCAGAGATGACGTTCTCGCAGTGTGTGCCTTACATGGAGAGGAGGACGTGTTGCCTTAGGCCACATTCGCACCAGGCATTCAAAGCAGCTTTCGTACCACTTTGTCATGGCTTCTCCCAAAGAATTCTGGGAGCTGTACAGTGGTACCTTGGGTTAAGAACTTAATTCGTCCTGGAGGTCCGTTTTTAACCTGAAACTGTTCTTAACCTGAAGCACCACTTTAGCTAATGGGGCCTCCCGCTGTCGCCGCGCCGCCAGGGCACAGTTTCTTTTCTCTTCCTGAAGCAAAGTTCTTAACCCGAGGTACTATTTCTGGGTTAGCGGAGTCTGTAACCTGAAGCGTCTCTAACCCGAGGTACCATTGTACTTTGTTCAGGGTACTGGGAGCTGTATGGAGGCCCCTGTTCTTCTCCCACCCAACTACCATTCTCTTGTAGTGAAGGAATGTGGCAGTGGCATAGCGTGGGTTGCCAGTGCCCGGGGCTGTGCGAACCGGGGTGGGAGGGAGGGAAACAGATGGAGTATGCATGCGCATTCAACTGCCCTAATGGCGTCTGCGTCATTGCAGCTGCACAGATAAGAAGAGTCATTCCGTTGTCTGGAGAGGTTGCTCCCTGGTTTGCATGGAGCCCAGTGACGGAAGCGTACAGTTGTATTGAGGCAGTGCCGGGTGCTGAAACTTTGCGCCCCTAACAATTTTGCACCCGGGGCAGCTGCCCCAGTGTCCCCGCACTCGCTATACCGCTGGAATAGGTTGTCTCTGCCTGGCAGGAAGTAGTATTTTTTTTAGAGAATATGCCTGGAGCTGGGACAACCCTATTTTCTGCCCACTCCAGTGCAGGTCGTTTTGTCAAGGTCAGGCATAGGCAAACTCGGCCCTCCAGATGTTTTGGGACTACAACCCCCATCATCCCTGGCCACTGGTCCTGTTAGCTAGGGATGATGGGAGTTGTAGTCCCAAAACATCTGGAGGGCTGAGTTTGCCTATGCTTGCTCAAGGCACAGAAAAAGATGGGAACACCATCTTGGAAGTGGTGTTTCATTTTACTCGCTTTTGTCTGTTTGATCCTGGGAGGATAAGGGGTGTGTGGCTCTGTAGAATACAACTTCCTGTGCTCACATCAGTCTGGATAATGTGCCTGTTTTTAATCCAAGATTTTCCTGATGATGTCATCGGCGCACTGCTGGCTTGGGTGGGTTTAAATGACCAGGGCTCAATTCTGATCTGCGTCTTTTTCCGTGTCCTTGACATTTGGGCCACGAGTGGCTCAGCGTGGGACAAGTCCAGCAGTGCCTTGGCTGGGATGGGCTTTTCTCATCACCTAGGCAACCTCACCTGAGACACACCTGTCTGGGCTTTGGGAACATGGACCTCTCCCAACGACACGCTTGCCATTTTTACTGCTCTCACCTTCACTGCTGCTTTTAGTTTGGGGTTGGGATCTGGGTTCGGTTTGCATTTTTTTGGAGTAAAGCATAACCAGTGTTATGAAGGCCACAGGCGCGAGACTGAAGTGAATCAGATCAGCTCTGAGTCCCACATTGTAGGGGGTTGGAAAAAGTGACCCTCCACTATAATTCTGTGATTCTATGAAATCATGCTTTGATGCATGATACCATATAAAAATAATACGAATTTTGAAGAAGGAGAAAAGGGGGTTACTGACAACACCATCTGTTAAGAAACGGATAAGAAAGATGTGGGAGTTACTGTCTAAATTAACTGATTGTGTAATATTTAAGGGGGGAAAGACAGTAACCCAATAAACGTATCCTGTGTAACAAGACACACAGGTTGTTGCCTAAGTCAGGCTGTGGCTTTACAACGTACTGAAAATTTGAACATGAGCTTGTCAAGTGAGGTAGAATTTTGTCTGGTTTTTAAAGTTATTTGTATATGTACGTAATTATCTTTTTGTTGTTGTTTTTAGTAGATCCGTGAAGGACTCTAGGTAGATTAATGTGTTTCCCAAACTTGTGTCTCCAGCTGTTTTTAGACTACAACTCCCATCATCCCTAGGGTCCAGGACCCAGTGGTCAGGGATCAGAAACAGCTGGAGATCTAAGTTTGGGAAGCACTGGTGTATATGTATGTAAGCAATATCTGTGTACACTATGACAGAGATCCAGGTTTTTCAGAATTCCTGTGCATTTCTGGTCTTAAGAGTTTGTGCATTTTGATTTTCAAAATAATACATACACACACACACTCAGGTACCTCAGGTTACATACGCTTCAGGTTACACACTCCACTAAGCCAGAAATAGTGCTTCAGGTTAAGAACTTTGCTTCAGGATAAGAACAGAAATCATGCTCCGGCAGCGCGGCAGCAGCAGGAGGCTCCATTAGCTAAAGTGGTGCTTCAGGTTAGGAACAGTTTCAGGTTAAGAACAGACCTCCAGATCGAATTAAGTACTTAACCCGAGGTACCACTGTGTGTGTGTGTGTGTGTGTGTGTGTGTGTGTGTATTAGGAGACCCCCTAGTCCCCTCCCAGAGTTAAAATCCCCAGAATTCCTTATGAAGAGAGACAGTGATTGTTCAACCACGCTGACAATTGTCGTTGTGGGAGGTGAGCAAGCATCGCCTGACCTAATAGCTTCCACTACTATAGATTTTCCTAGAAATGGCAGGAGATCTATGAAGCTGTGCATTTGCGTGTCTCTCTCAGTCACGGAGTTGCCTTCTGCTGAGTCAGACCTTTGGTGAAACCGAAGCCTGCAGAGAAACGACCAGAGGGTCTCTATGAATTCACAAGACCGGTTCTTTCTAAAGCAAGATGGGCAGCTGAGAAGAACAATATCCTTCTTGGTCTGTTTCCTGGCTTCTAGGAAACACTTGCTGTGGAATCATAAACTAGATGGGGAACCTTTGGCCCTCCAGGCAATACTGGACTACAAGTCCCATCATCCCTGACCGTCGGCCATGCTGGCTGGGGTTGATGGGAGTTGTGGTCCTACAATATCTGGAGGGTTACAGGCTCTCCATCTTTGGATGAGATGAATCCTTGGGGGCATCTGCTGCTGGGATGGTTGATGAGATGTGTCCTTGGTCAGATCCAGTGGAAACCTTGTTTTAGAATGGTACATTTCAGTGCACCTAAGAGCAACACCTGGAGGGAGATAGGCAGTCTGGTGAGCTTGTCCCTCCAAAGCCGGCTACGGATCCCTCACCTTTCTTTTTCTTCCTTACTTTGCAGAACCGTTCCAAGTCCCAGTTATTGGGCTCACGTTGCCCATAATGTGGTTCTACCTCATCATGAACATCATAACTCAGTATCCTTTTTGGAACAGGTTCAGCGGGTGATGGGCTTAACCTTCTCTAAGGCTGGTGCATGGGTTGTCTGAATGTTGCATCTCGTCTAGAAAACTAAAGTTTGTTTGTTTGTTGCTTGCCCCTTCCTTGAACATTTTCAATCCCAGAGCGGGGAGCAAAGTAGTAAAAATAAATAAATGGAGGAAAGCAATATACAAAAACAGCAATATCATATACACGACTAATAAGGAACTTCCCAATCTAGCAGTTCGAAAGCACGCCAGTGCAAGTAGATAAATAGGTACTGCTGCAACGGCGTTTCTGTGCGCTCTGACTTCTGTCAAGGTGTCCCATTGTGCCAGAAGCGGTTTAGTCCTGCTGGCCACATGACCCAGAAAGCTGTCTGTGGAAAAAAGGCCGGCTCCCTTGGCCTGAAGCGAGATGAGCGCCGCAACCCCGTAGTCGCCTTTGACTGGACTTAACTGTCCAGGGGTCCTTTACTTTTTTACCTTTTTACAGACCATGTACAGTAATACCTCCACCATGGCGACCATCCATTTGGCGAATGTCGGCAGCAAACCCTTTACTTCCAGGTTTGCCGCTTGCACATGCGCAGAAGCACTAAATCGCGCTTCACACATACGGAGAAACACAAACCGCTCCGCGCACGTGCGCAGAGCAGCACTTTGTCGAGCATCCCTTTCGTTGAGCGTCTGGGGTTCTGGAGCGGATCCTGGACTCAAAACAAGGTACCAATCCAAAAACGCTCAACCTGAAGCAACTTTAACCCGAGGAATGACTGTATGTTGTCTTTGCAATTCTGACAACTTTGGGAGCATTCAAGATAACCATTATTACCAAAGAACTATCCATGTCTATAGGGGGGGACGTGTCTGTGCCCTTTCGTGCAGCCAACAAACTCTCGTTTCCAGTCCAAAGAAGAATTCCCTCACCAAAGGCCACATCCTCACCAAAATATATCTATTTTCCCCTTTTATTTAAATACGTGGCTGTGCCTATGCAGCCCTCTTATTTGCTCGCTGGCTTCAAAGCTTGTATCCCTTCGTTTCTTCTCTTGCGTTCTCCCCATCTTAACTCCTCCCTCAGATATGTTTGCATCCGGGGCGTCTTCATCCTGACCACAGAGTGCACCTCCCTGACGGTCACACTGGTGGTGACCCTGAGGAAGTTCATCAGCCTCATCTTCTCCATCCTGTACTTCAGGAACCCCTTCACTGCCTGGCACTGGATCGGGACCCTCTTTGTCTTCGTGGGGACTTTGATGTACACAGAAGTGTGGAACAATCTGGGGCCTCTGCTGGACCGGAAGCAGAAGAAACAGGAGGAGAAGCAGGAGTGACGGCCGATGTCCCTGGCTGGGAAAGCGGATGTCTTCTCCACTGAACCACAGAGAACCACGGTTTTCATTCGCGTTTACTCTATATGGTGCCGAGCAACAGAAGATTCCCTTCTCATGGAAGCGAGGGGTTGATTTTTGTAATACAAAAATAACTGGTTTTGGCTATGCCAAGCGGATGAATGGATTCCCTGGAATGGGGAAATCCCCTTTTATTTTATTTTATTTTATTTTTTTGTCTGGCTGCTGAGGTAACAAACTGAGCTTGGGTGAGGTGAGGCCTGCCACCATTCTACGAGATGGGCCTGTGTGTTGTGGTGCCAGCTGCATGTCTGACGAGACGCCGTGCGATTCACACAAAGCGCAAATTCTGGGTTGAGAGGCCTCCGTTCATCTTGTAGCCCCAGTTGCCATGTTGAAACGCCCAAACAGCAAAGAGGAAGGAAGGCCAAATGGTCACGTCCCAGAGATTTAACACGGGGAAGTCACCACGAGGTGACTTTCAATACCTGTGTGTGATTCTTTGTTTGGAACTGAGCCTCACGGAGTGCGGAGTGGCGTTCCACACACCAGTTCAAGCTCTCAGTTTGAGGCTTACATGCATGGCGGTGGATAACCTCTCTTGCAGCAAGATAAAGAGTGAGATTTTTGTCAGACCAGCTCCAGGTTTGACGGTGAGACCCCCGTTCTAGCTGGGTGGCTTCTCATGGTGGGCTGCAGCCACAGCAGCACCCCAAATCGGGACACGGCCACAGCAAGCCACCATTAACATTTCCCACAGTGCCTCTGACATAGCATCTCTCTGGGGCATTGTGGGAAATAAAACTGGAAGCTCCCGGAGCCAGCTGCTTTTTTAAAGGAGGGTTCAAGGCATGCTTTGGAGGTTATCCCTGCCAGAGTTCTGGGACCTGCCCGACTCTGCCCCCTCGTATTGCTGCTTTGTGCCCTGCCGACGCTGGCCCTGCCTTTCTCCTCAGTAAACAAGTGGCACATAGGCTTGGCTCACATGTAACAACAAACCATGGTTTGCCATTGTGTGAAAGAGCCTTGTTCGCCTGCCTCCTCTCAATGCACTCCAGTTGCACCCCGTGCTTCCTCTTAATGTGGCAAATGGATTGCACATCAGAAATTTGAAACCGCAGTCTAGCTGGTTTCCTGTTCTGGTTTTCAGGCAAACTCATGACAAAAGGGGGGGGGGAGAAACTGCCCACAAAACTATTTTATACAAAGTTCTTTCTTTTTCTTTGTAAAAACATTTTTTGCAAAACAGCTTGATGATTTTGTTTCCTATTTATTAGCCCCAGACTTTGGAAATGCATTGTACTTCGCTGTCTCGTTTCCTATGCATCTTGTTTGCTATATTTGTATATTCCCTTGCCTAAAAGGGAAGGTTTTGTTCTGAAACATGTCAGGCCTGGAATAAATATTATTTCAAGCACCTGACATTTTGCTGCAGCCCCCCTGCTTTTTTTAAAAAAAGGAAGCAGGAAGAAAATCTTAGCCCATGTGGGAAAGAGGGAATATATAAGCCTTGGGTTTCATTCATGTAGCGCCAAACCATAGTTTACCCAAACGCTTGCTGGGACGAGTTTGTCTTGCAGGGTAACTGGACACCATAAAGTTTTGAACAACCAGGCCTTCCTCAGGGGAGCAGCCAGAGATGTGTGATAAGCTTGGAATGTGGGAAAATGCACATTTACTGGTTTTTAAAAAGAAATGGTTATCCAGCTTGTTTTAACAAGCAAAGATGGCAGCAGGAAGGGGCTAGCACAGGAGAGGGAACTTGCTGGACCACCAGATGTTGCCAGACTACAGCCCTGGCTGGGACTGAACATCTGGAAAGCTGCAATATTAGCCCTCCCTGGGTTAGTCAGACTTTAATGCAGAACATCCCCCCAAAACTACATTTCTCAGAACCTTTCGTAACAGTTTGCAGCATGAATGTGCTCAGAAGACTGATCTTGGGCAAAAGCGAGGCTGTGGAGGCCCAATCCAGTGTTAGAGTAGCAGTTTACATCCACACCATGCATCTAGAACAAACTTATGCCACTTTGACAGCCATGGCTTCCCTCAAGGAAACTTGGGAACTGTGGTTTGTTATGGTGCTGGGAGTTGTTAGGGATCCCCCCCCCCCCAGTCATAGCTGTCAACGTTTCCCATTTTTTAAGGGAAATTCCCTTATTCCGAATAGGATTCCTCACAAGAAAAGGGAAAAGTTGACAGCTATGCCCCCAGTCCCCTGCAATTCCCAGAGTTCCCTGGGAAGAGGGGATGGATTTTGTTAAGCCATTTTGGGAATCCTAGTTCTCTGAGGGGAATAGGGGCCTCCTTGCTCTGCGCCCTTAAACTACAGTTCCCAGGATTCTGGCCGAGGGGTAGGGCAGCCATGACTGTTCAAAGTGGTATGATACTGCTTTAAATGTGTGGTGCGGATGTGGCCTTACTCCCCATATCTCCCAATGGGAGCGGGGCAGGCCCTCCCCACAACAAGGAGGCCTGGCCTTCGAGGGGGCAGCCAGAACCAGGTCTGCTAACTTGGTTTGATGGGCCTAATCCCGTGTTAAAGTAGCAGCTACTTCCCAGGTGCTTTTGTTTGTTTGTTTGTTCACTCAAAGTTTGAAACCCTTCCAGTATTGAGGCTCAGGCCTGGAGGGACAGGAATGCTAATGGGAAGCCTTTGCGGTTCAAAAAGAAACTTAAATTATATTCTGAAAGCAGCTATTGTTGACAGAAACATTTAGTGTGACGGCGTTCGTCTGTCGCGTTAAGCTGTGAAGCTTCTCCCTCTGTTACAGGCCGTCCCCCTCAGACAATTATGTGAAATGAACGGGAACTTGAATTGTTCAGAGTTTTAAATGTCTGGGTTGTGCCTCGACCTGATCCATCCTTCTGCACTGGTTCTCTTTGAGGTTTTTTTATTTTTCTGTGTTAAGCTTCTCTCCTCCCAGGTAACATCCTCACCACGTGTGTGCATATTTATCAGTAAACGTATTTGCAAGTCGGTTTGAACGCTGTCTTTTAGATAAGAGCAATCGCTTCCCCATGCTCAGCGCATTGAATGTTTGGTCGCGTATTTGCATTTTGCTTCCCATGTTCCACGGAGCCCTGTGCGTTTTCTTGCATGCTGTACTATGCGCATCCTGTGTCTGTGGCATCCTGGCATGCCAGGGGTGCAGCAGCCCCTGTCCATTTCTGGACCCAGGGCTCATTGGAAATCCGTACATGGATGTGGGGATTGCTTCAGTTCTCAAAAGATGCATCTCCACGTATGTGTTCGCGGCTGGAATAGCCTCCTGTGATCGCCTGCAATGCCCTCTTTTGCTCACCCCACACAAGGGCTGATGTGTTGGCAGCTTCAAAATGAAAATGGGATCACCTGACCTTTGGGGCGCCACCTGTCACTGTCAGCGGGTGCACAGGTGAGTGCCCCCAGGTAGCCTCTCAATTTAGGAACTGCCCGACAAGGACAAAGGGTATGTCTCTTTATCATCATCATCATTATTATTTTGCTAGAGGTTCCTCTCCCCCAGTGGAATTAGGATTTTAGAAGTTTCTTTAGCGAGTTCTACCTCTGCCTTACGTAAATCTCATTGTGGAGGCACTGGGTGAAGGACTTGGAGGTTAATAGATTGGAGGGTGGACACACACCCCCTCCAGTGTTTTCGGCAAGAAACAAGCTTTACTAGACATTTGAGAATGTTATCGGTGACTTGGATGAATGTGTGTACAGAGGAAAGCTAGAGGAGATAGCAGCTCCCTGCTTGCTTACTGGAAATGGGGATAACTTGTAGGGTTAAACAAAGAACGTTTTTTTTATGATGACTTCCTTTAGTTTATTTTGTGTACCTCCTGCCCCTCTTCCCCCCAAATAAATTTTACCTGGATATGTTTGAGGACTCCTCTAGACTTGTTTATTGTGCATTTGTCCAGATTTGCCGGTGCAAAGTTTTAGTGGAGGTTGGAGTATATTCAGTCTTGATTGAGCACTCGTCCAGATTTGATTATGGGGTGTTTATTCATCTTTCTGTCCCAATTGTTCATTCTACTCTTCTCATTGTGTTTTATCATCACTTTTCCAGCTGCAAAAAGTCCACTTCCTTTTAAAAATTGAATTTATTGCGCCTCGCCTTCAGCTGTGGGTACGGACTCATGGGGGGTGGCCCACGGCCACAACAGGAGAACTACCGCCCTGAAAATATATAGTAAAAGATTAAGAAATTGGTCCCCAAATGCATTTTCAGTTAAAAGTAGGTCCTGGGTCTGAAAAGATTGAAGTTACCTGGGTTGAAGTGGCAGAGTGCTTGAATACACATTAATTGCTCAAACCTACATTTCTCAACAAGCGCCCTTGAATCGCTCCTGCAAAATACTGACAGTCTGGAAGAGCCTTGAAACTGGTTTTAAATGAAGGCATGAGTTGGGTTTCATCTTGAAGGTATGTACCCCTTCCCACACTCTGCTTGACCCGCAAACAATTTAAGGCAGAGCTTTCCAAACTGTGGGTCACAACACGCTAGTGTGTCGGCTGCACTGTGTAGGGCTGCATCTACACAGCTATAAAAAAACGCTCCGAAAATACTCGGGGGGGGGGGAACCGTTTTAAAGCTCACAATGGAAAATTTCAGGTCTACACCGCCACCTGGTGTCACAGTGTTGTAACACATTTATAACATTTTTATTTATATAATGTAGCTGAGTCCTAGATGTGTCTCGCAAATTCTCCCTGCGCTCCTCCCGGGGCTGGAAAGAGGTTAGTTTAACCTCCGGCTTGCTGGTAAAACTGAATTACTGTGTCGTGAAATGATGCATGTCTCTAAAATGTGTCACCAGTATGAAAAGTTTGGAAAGCTCTGATTTAAGGTATGTCTTTAAACTAGCGAGAGTCTCACCAAATAAAGAGGATGGGGAAATGACTAAAAATCTGGGTGGTAGTTCACTAGGGTGGGTGTGGGGCAGCCATCCCCATCTGTTTCCCTTTCCTGCTCTTGGCTTGGATTTTTTTGGGTGTGGCTGCCCTTCTTCCTCTTGGTCTGGAAAATGTGCATCTTACCAGATTGCCCAGTATCCGTAGAACCGCAGAACATTCAGTATCTGCACATGGCATCCTATAATACAGTGGTACCTCGGGTTAAGTACTTAATTTGTTCCGGAGGTCCATTCTTAACCTGAAACTGTTCTTAACCTGAAGCACCACTTTAGCTAATGGGGCCTCCTGCTGCCACTGCGCCGCCGGAGCACAATTTCTCTTCTCATCCTGAAGCAAAGTTCTTAACCCGAGGTACTATTTCTGGGTTAGCGGAGTCTGTAACCTGAAGCGTATGTAACCTGAGGTACCACTGTACATGATTGCAACTTTTGATATTTGGTAGTGGATATGTGTTATTTTGATGGGACGCAGGTGGCGCTGTGGTCTAAACCACTTAGCGTCTTGGGCTTACCGATCGGAAGGTCAGTGGTTCAAATCCCCGCGACAGGGTGAGTTCCCGTTGCTCGGTCCCTGCTCCTGCCAACCTAGCAGTTTGAAAGCACTTCAAACTGCAGGTAGATAAATAGATACCACTCCGACGGGAAGGTAAACGGCGTTTCCATGCGCTGCTCTAGTTCGCCAGAAGCGGCTTAGTCATGCTGGCCACATGACCCGGAAGCTGTACACCAGCTCCCTCAGCCAGTAAAGCGAGATGAGTGCCACAATCCCAGAGTCGTTCGCGACTGGACCTAATGGTCAGGGGTCCTTTACCTTTATCTTTATGTGATATTTAGTCAGATGGTATTTGATCATGGAATACAGCTGCGTTTAGTATTTGACCACTTAATATACGTCATTTTTTTAAAAATGCTTGCCAAACTGAAAGAGACCCACCATCACAAGAATGCCAAATTTTGGAAGTCAGAATTTCATTTTAAAATTCTGGAGCAGCAAAGCTGGATGATTTTTCATTTTTGCAAAGATCGAATGCAGCTCTTAGGCACATTCTGTTGTGCAAGTTGAGAATGGTGTAGTATAGTTTCCGAGTCCCTCTCTCTGCTGGACTGTTTATAAGGTCCCTTTAATTCCTTTTGTGGCATCTTATTTGCCCTGTTCAGTGGGCTTGAGAAAAGAGGAGGGGGCTGCTGGAAGATAGATCTTCAAGTTCCTTTGGATGTCTAGTTGAATCCTCATTGCTTTCAAAGTGCAAGATAGATGCTTTTGTCACCCAAATTAGATGGAATGGCAAGGGGCTCTTTGGGGTGCTGTAAAGATGTCTTTGTAAATCACCAAACACACTTTGGGCAAGTTTCCCGGCTGCTCTCCCCTTTACAGTAAGCATAAATCGTCTGCTATGGAAACCAGGGTAAGGCAAAGGATGGGGGGCAAATCCCTGTTAAAAAGAGAATTCAGGTGGAAAGGGAAATTAGTTTTCTGGCTCATGTGAGGGATATTGAGTTTTTTCTTGGCTGTTGGCCTGGTCTCCAATACACTGAAACAAAGAACTTTAAGTGGCATTTGATGGTATTCTAATCAGCAAGCTTTGACGCTGGATTTATTTTACTTTTGACTAGAGCGGAGTCTGGAAACAGAGGAGTTATAATTCAGTTGTAAAAAGCATGCACTTTATCCAAGGCTCATTCCTGGGTGACTTGGCTGACAGGGCTGAGAAAGACCTCTTTGCCCCCGAGATCCTCAGAGACTGCAGCACTCAGAGTAGACAATACTGATTATATAGACCAGGGTTTCCCAAACTTGGTTCTCCGGCTGTTTTTGGACTACCATCATCCCTAGCTAGCAGGACCAGTGGTCCAGGATGATGGGAGTTGTAGTTCAAAAACAGCTGGAAACCCAAGCTTCAGGGATACTTAACTTGCAGAACTGGGATATTTTAGGGCATTCCCACTAATCTCTACTATCATAAAACTTTGTGGGTCTTCAGCTGTGGGTCTTGCAAATACTGGTTAGATCAGCCTTTCTCAACCTGTGGGTCCCCAGCTGTTGTTGAACTACAACTCCCATCACCCCTAGCTAGCAAGGCCAGAGCTCAGGGATGATGGGAGTTGTAGTCCAATAACATCTGGTTGAGAACCGCTGGGTTAGATGAACATGTGCATTTAGTGTACAAGATGTGGGGGATGGCTATATTCCGGCCCCTCCCAAAAAAAAGAAACAACCACCTAGAACATTAATTCCTGAAACACCATTCTAGTAAATGAGATGAGAATTTGATTCATTGGCCAAATCATGGGAATGCTAATTTAAAAACTGATGGATGTGCAAGTTGCAGTGTTCAGGAAGCTCCCGAGAATTGGCTGTGAGAGCTCTGGTCTCTTTTAATGAAGTTGAACCCTCATTACCTATTAGCTGAGCGGTTGTGGTGTTTCGGAATGGGCACCCATCCCAATGGCCACCACAGCCAATACAGTGGTGCCCCGCAAGACGAATGCCTCGCAAGACGAAAAACTCGCTAGACGAAAGAGTTTTCGTTTTTTGAGTCTTTCCACAAGACGAATTTCCCTATGGGCTTGCTTCGCAAGACGAAACGTCTTGCGAGTTCTTGCGAGTTTGTTTCCTTTTTCTTAAAGCCGCTAAGCCGTTAATAGCCGCTAAGCCGTTAATAGCCGCTAAGCCGCTAATAGCCGTGCTTCGCAAGACGAAAAAACCGCAAGACGAAGAGACTCGTGGAACGGATTAATTTCGTTTTGCGAGGCACCACTGTACTGAATGGCTTAGGAGAGGTGCTGCAGTGTAGGAAAGCGAGAAGACGGCAATAACCACTGTGCTACATAAAGGGTTGTGTGGTGTTGTTTTTTTGCAGACCATCACTTGCTAGCTGTAAAGCCGTTAATGGCCAGCACACGCAAAAAAATTGTGAAGGAATCGGAACCTACTATGATCACAAACAAATTAGCACATTTCTTTTGAATGCGATACAACAAAGCTCATGTGTTGTCTTGTTGCAGAACTGCTGTGCCAGTCTGACCCATACCGCTCTACCAGAGAGATTTGTGAAGTGAGCTTTTTATAGCAAAACAGTTAAATTTGCATCAGCGTTTTTTCCCAAGGTTTCAGGTGCCAGCTGGCACAAGGCTCAGCGGCCTTGAATCATGCCTACAATGAGAATGAGGTGCAGAGCAGGTGCAGATGTCTCTTTTTTTAAAGCTCTCCAGTTTGCTGGGTGCTTTTCATTTCACACATCCGAAAGCAACCTGCTTGGCTAATGGCTCCCAGCTGGTTCATCTATAACTCTCTTTCTTGGTTGCTGGAGATTTATGTCTCCTTCTCGGCTGCTGGGAGATGAAGCTGGTCTTTCAGAGGGTTAAAGACATGTCTCCAGTGCTTTGGGTGCTTAGACTAAGTGGTGATTTATTTTCTGTGGGGTGTTTCAATTGCTGACGTTTCAAAGAGAATGTCCCAAACAGAATGATCAAAAGATTGCATTTTATTATTTTTTATTTGGATGCTAAAATGGTCTTCCTTCTTCCAAGGTAAATGGGACCACTTTTTATATTACATGTCTCTTAGAGTCTACTTCCCATTATCGTACACAGCTAAGCCATTTTGACCTAACCTTTCCACTTGGGTCCGAAGGATCCCATCACAATTTTCAAATAGCTGCCATTTGAATGTAGAGTGTTTCTAGGACTATCACTCACCTAAAGCAATCTCAGATGATTCTGCGTCAGTGTTTTAACTGAGGAATAAATTGACTAAACTGGCGTATTTCAAGGGCTACCAACTGTAAACAAACGCTTGTTTGAAATAACGCAGTAGACACGTTGGCTGTTCAGATCTTTTATAGTGAAATGAGAAGCTACTTTTGTTCCTTGGGCGTGTGGGGGAAAATAAGAGCTCTGATAGGCATCATAATCAGCTGAACCATCCGTCACCCCCATAAAGCCTGCGATTTAGAAATATCTACCAAAACTAAAACAGCCTGTCAAATGGCTGACCATAGGGGGGACTTGGATATTCCGAGACGTACATATAAATTGCGAGGAATAGCCCACCAACTGCCCTCCGAATGGCTCCCATGTCACCCAAAACAAGCATCCTGTTATGAGTGGCTTGTTTCCTGCAAGAGGCGTTCCAAGTGAGCTGCAGGCAGATCTCAGCGAGAAGGAGCACTTGGAAGCGAAGGAGTCTTGTGCGGCGTTTTCCCGGAAGGGGCTGGGGGTGGAGGGGACAACGGCTACGACGAAGGCTTTGGGTTAGACAACAGAGAAGAGGGTTGCCCTTCCGCTGCTGCAGGTTTGTTTCTTTTCCTCCCGGACGGAATGGGAGGGAGTACTGGCTTGGTGTTGGAACCTGGACGGTCTACGAGTTGGCGGACGGCGGGAGAAGGAGGCTTGGGCTTGGGCGCTTTCTTCTCTTTGGACTCGGGAGAAAGGGTCACCTCTGCAAGAAAGGAAAATGGCATTTGTCAGCAGTTCCGATGAGTAGGAAGCAGCTGCCGTTAGAACAGGAGTAGCGGCTGTGGGGTTAAGACTCCAGCTGCCATCAGCCCCAGCCAGGGAAGATGGGAGGAGAGTCCTGGTTCTAGCAGACACCCAACAGCGAGAACCTTAATGAAACACCCTGTTCAAGGAGAACCGCTTCACAAAGGGTCTTCCCGTTTGTGCAGCGCCTAACTGCTGCGTCATGAAATATGCTCATTCTTTGCCATGGGTGAATTGGGGTTCGTGTGTCAGCATTTCCGATGCATGGACTTGGGCGTGACGTCGTCATTCACAATAAGCAGCACACTTCACTGCCACCTAACTGCTAATGCTGGATTTGGCCCGAGATGTGTTTAGTTTGATATTGGGGCTGGTCTGCCAACTCCTTTGCAGAAGTTCACAAGCACAGCGCAGCAGGGATTATTTCCTTTCCCTGCCATTTGCCCCTTCTCTTTTTTGTATCCCTATAGCTTTGAGTCAGGGACATACTATGCAGAACCGCTCTGAAGGCTCAGGACTTGCTCCAGGGAATCCTACCAATAGCTGGCTTCGCTACTGGTCTCTTTAGAGCAGCGGTGGGGAACCTCAAGCCTGGGAGCCAAATGCAGCCTTTTGGGGTCTCCACCTGGCCATTGGAACACCTCCCTAAGCCATGCTTCCTCTTCCTCCTTCTGCCACAACCCTTTCCCCGCTGTCCTTGAGTGCCTTTACATGGCTGGAATGTGCTTTGAACTGTGGCAATATCTCTGGAGATGTGTGTGCATGGGGGGGGGCAGTGGGCTAGAAACTTCAGTATGGCTGGCATGCAACCCACACCGAAGCAATTTAAGGCCTGCTTTTGAGCTCCACAAAGTTGCCCTTTTGAGAATGTGTCCTTCCGATTGAAAAAAGGCTCCCCAGCCCTGCTTTGGAAATTGAAAACAGCAGAGGGGGTTCTGTGTCTGGATCACAGGTGGGTGAAAGGGCTGCCTAACCAGCCCCCATGGGCTGTAGATGTGCTGTTTCCATCTTGGCCCAGCAGAGCTCATGGCCAAAGTTTTTGCTCCACTCCCACCTTTCCTGTTTTCCTGCTCACCATCCTCCTCGGCTGACGGAACCGGGGCAGCGGGCGGCAGCTGAGAAGCCGTGCTTCTAGATGAAAGTGCTCCTGGCGAAAGGCTGAGCGAATATCTTGGTGTGCCGTGTGCCTCTCTGGGGCTGGGAAAGGAAAGTTTGGTTCTCATGAACAAAACAGCAAACAAGCAAGCAGAAGAAGAAAACTGATACGTACTTTGCAACTCGGGCGACTTGCAGAATCTTGCAACAACACCCAAGTCTGCCTGAGACGTTACACCCCTCCGACTTGGCACTGCCACATGAGTGCCAGGGTGTGCTCAGAATAGTCTGTGCCAACCTAGTGCCTCCCCAGATGCTCTGGCCTACAACTCCCATCAGGCTCAACAAAGCACGTGGTTGCGGGGTTGATGGGAGTTGTAATCCAAAGCAGCTGGAAGGCGCCAGGCACTCCATACTTAGATCAGCTGTGCATAATCAAGAGATGTGCTCCAGCCAGCTGGGGAGCAGAGCAAGGGGATCCTGCTGTGGACTCCTTGGTTCACTTCTGCTTCACTGGCACCCCCAGATCTATTACCAGGGTGAGTGCCGAGATTTCTTCTGCAGTCGAACTGACGCCAGATGTAGAACTGCAAGCCTTGGTAAAGTCGAATGAGCAAGTGCCACAGGCAGGGATACCTTAAAGCCAGTCCCTCCCTCCCACCATCGCCCAGTTCACTGCCTGGAGCTCCTTTTTCCTTCCTGCATTTCCCATCCTACTGAGCCAATGGAGATGGGTGAATCTGGCAATTTCGGTTTCTCTCAGGTTATTTTTCCAATCGTAAGCTCAGCTCTCCAGGAATCCACACCAGTTTCCATTTTTCAAAAGATTTATCAGAATTCTAGTGTTAATTTCTCCTATTGCACATGTTTGTGTATGGAATTTTGCCTAATCACATTTTTGCAAAGCAACATTCCCTAACATAGCACTTATTTTTGCATATTTTCACTAACATAACACAAATTTTGAAACATGGCCATGTTTCGACTTGTGTATTGCTTTGGAAAGTTTGAATGAGGTGTGCTCTTAAATGCAATCTAAATCCATTTCCCTCCCCATCCCTAGTACATGTACTGTGCAGGAGCAATGGAGCACCCATACGACGCCGCATCCCTCGCTCTCTGCATCAGGAACTCCAGGCTTGGAATTATGACCCTTTGGTTTAGAAAATGCTGGAGGCTCCAAGATTTTTTGTGTGTGGGGGGGAAGAGACCCACAATTCCCCAGGCAAGCCGCGCAGGCATGATAAAAATAGTTCACAAAACAACAACATCACACCTCTATTAACAAGCTTCACATCTTCGCATGCTTTCGCACAAACTTACCAGGACTGATTTTTTGTTTTACTTGCTCTTCAGTCCCAAGCAATGGAAGCATGAAATTGAAAACGAAGGGTGAATATGTTGATTAGGAAAGGGGTGCTTCCGACTGGCAGCTTGCAGGGAGCTTGGTGGTGCCTGGCTGGACAGGAGGCAGGACTGGCCATTCTTTTGACCCAGCATGGCTCTCCCTGCATTCTCAAATGGGATGAGCCACCCTCTCTCTTGCTCCAATCAAAACTCACATGCAAAGTAGAAGACAGGAAGGCTGAATATTCTGCATCCCTTTGGCCAGCTGTTGCACCACCTTAGGGTGCAGATCTTCACTTTGTGGAGCACAAGTTCACACAGCAGTTGGGACACACACACACACACACACACAATGAATGAATGACTGAGTGCATGCAGCCTGCTTCCTTGCAAGCTTGGCTCACAGTTGATTTCTCACAAACAATTAAGAGTGCTAAGTGCAGGCGCTTGCAGAGTTAAAACACCTTAAGGTGAGGAAATGGAAAGGAAGGAAGGTTTTGTTTCCCCAGATACAAACAAATGCAGGGACCTCCCGCATGACGCAGGCTTCAGCCGGCTTAGAGATCTTTACAGCTGGCAAATTTAAACTGAGTAAAGAGAGCAAGAAGGCAGAATGGGCCAGAGAAAGGAGTTGTCATGGAGATGTGGGGATCATCGGGGATTTCCCTGGGCACCCTTCCTGCCCTTAAGGCTAGTAGTAGCTTCAACCAAGCCAAAAGAAGCGTGCCAGCCCTTCCAGGTGCTGGCCTTGGTAGGTTACAGAATGCATTTATATTCAATTACAACTCAAGTCATGGATTGCATCAGATGAAACGGGATACTGTCTGTGACAGCTCATTCCACACTAAGCCAGTTTGGTTTCTGTGCCAAAGCCGCCTTTTATTTTTTGCTGCTCCAGACTGGCTGGGCTGCTCCTCTGAAAGGGGTTTCCACAGGGAAGAAATCAGTCCCTGATGAAACCGGAGGAGCCATTAGGATCCAGGCATGCACTCCAGGCAAGGTTCTATGGCAGAACCTGCCTGATGGGGAACCTGCCCACCTCGCCCCTTGTCAACGAACACTTTTGCCCTTACCCACCTTCGGTCTGGGCTAGCGGGTGGGACACCACGATCTGGGCTGCTGTCTTTTCTGGGTGACAACCTCGAAACCTGAGATGGGGGTTCCAAAAACCGAGCATGTGATAAGCCAACTGCTGCGGAGGTGCCGTCAAAATAGCTGGAATGACACATAAGGAAGTATATGAGGACTTCTCTCTGTTATGTGCATCGGAGAGAAAGTCAAGATTCATTCCCTTCTTTCCAGTGTGATGACCCCTTAGCATAACATCCCCAATTCACAGTGACAACCCTGGCCCCTCTTCCCTATGTTGTACCAATGGTGTTGAATGATATGGCTCCCAGGGTCTCCTACAACCCAGTGATTTTGTAGGTGTTATATTGGATTCTGCAGGGGGGAACGACTGCTAAAGAGATCAAATAGTTTGGACACGTTTAGCCTAATGACAACGATGACAACAACAACAATTTATTATTTATACCCTGCCCATCTGGCTGAGTTTCCCCAGCCACTCTGGGCAGCTTCCAATTGAGTGTTAAAACAATACAGCATTAAATATTAAAAACTTCACTAAACAGGGCTGCCTTCAGGATGTCTTTTAAAGCTAAGATAGCTGCTTATTTCCTTCACATCTGATGGGAGGGTGTTCCACAGGGCAGGCGCCACCACTGAGAAGGCCCTCTGTCTGGTTCCCTTTTGTTGGGAGAACAGAACATTGGGATTTACTAGATAATTTCATTTTCTGCAGTGGGTGGAGGGGGCCTATGGAGGGGCTGCAGTGCGGTATCCCCAGACTTATCATGGGTGCTCTATGCCTCTCCATGGTTCTGGAGGAGACTCTTGCGAGTCCCATGGACTGCGAGAAGATCAAACGTATCCATTCTGAAGGAAATCAGCCCTGAGTGCTCACTGGAAGGACAGATTCTGAAGCTGAGGCTCCAATACTTTGGCTACCTCATGAGAAGAGAAGACTCCCTGGAAAAGACCTTGATGCTGGGAAAGATTGAGGGCACAAGGAGAAGGGGACGACAGAGGACGAGATGGTGGGACACTGTACTCGAAGCTACCAGCATGAGTTTGACCAAACTGTGGGAGGCAGTGGAAGACAGAAGTGCCTGGTGTGCTCTGGTCCAGGGGGTCACGAAGAGTCGGACACAACTAAACAACTAAACAACAACATGCCTCTCCAAGCTTTTCTGCAAGAGCAGTTTTCATCATTCCCATCAGTTGGGTAGCACAGCCATCTTCTTTCCAAACAGCGATTTTTCTGAACCCTTACATAGGGCTTGTCTACATGGAAGGTAGCGCATCTAGGAGAAGGAAGCCTCTGCTGCCTTGCGGGACATCCTCGGGAGAAGAAAAGGCTCAGGAGCCAAACCCTACACAAATCTTGAGTGGAGTCCCTAAGGCGGTTGGATGCTGCCTTGTACAACTCCTTCTGGCAACTGCTGCAGCCAAGCTGGTGCCAAACGCCTCGCTCCGCTTTCCTTTGGGCCACAACAGCAAGGCAAAGTAGGGGGTCTTGTCGCCTGGGCAGCCCAGGACCTCCAGACATACTGCCCAGGCTGGCGCCCCAGTGAGGTCACTTTGGTGCTGACTTCACCCTTGAAGGCGCACCCCATTGTCTTTTGAGACAGACAGATGCCAACAACATCATGAATGGGGAACCTGTGACGCTCTGAATGCTGCTGGATTCCTCCTCCTTGATTACTGGTGATGTTGGCTGGGGCTGATGGGAGTCCAGCATCATCCGGGGGGGCTCAGCTTCCCCATCACTGCCCTGCAAGGAGGCAAAACATTACAGGGCCATGTTGGTGACACAAACATTCTTCCAGAGGGTGACAGAAATGGATTTTAAATGTAAGAATATAAGAATATAAGCCCATTGGATCAGGCCAGTGGCCAACCAGATGCTTGAGGGAAGCATCTTTCCATAGGAGAAAGAAATAATTACTAGCAAATACATTAAGCTGACAAATAATGCTATTTCTATGGACAGTTTGAACAGAGCTATAGGCACGTCAACAATTTACTATTCCAATTGCCCCAAAGGTGCCTTGGCTTAAATTATTTTAACTAAATTGCGTCAAACTGAGTTCTCTGCTTTGAAAAGGCACACTGGGGCCACGTTGTTGTAGTTGGGGCATTTGTTTATATCCCACCTTCCTCTACCGCAGCTTAGAAAACAAGCGAAAGGATATGGGGGAGAATGCAGAGGTCCGCTGGCACCGCACACAGAACAGATTCGCAGAAACCCCTGTGCTCTTTCCTTTAGCAGGCAGATTATTTCCAGGCGGTCACAGGGGAGGTGAATAGCTGTTTATCCAAAGACAACAGTTTGTGCTTCTCCATGGTGCTAGGCAAGTTAGTAAGCTTGCATGGCTGTCCATAGGGAACGCTTTGCCGCTGCTGCAGTCACTCATACGAATGTACAAAGAGCCCTGGTAGATCAGGCCAAAGTTTCCCCCCAGCTCAGACTCCAGTTTACAGTAACCAGCCAGGTGTCTCCAGGAAGCCCACAAGCGGGAATGGATGCAAAGGCAATCGCCCTCTGCTGTTGCTGCTCCCCAACAACTGATGCTTCTCTGAACATAGGAGATTCCAGGTAGCTGTCACAGCCTATGTCCATTAGTGACTCCATCGACCACCCATGAATTTGTCCAGTCCCCCTTTAAAGCCAGCTGGGCTACTTACTGGACGCCACAGTTCAAGGCAGAGAATTATTATTAAGAAAGCCATAAATTAACTACAGGCTGATTCCAACAATGTTTCCCTCCAAGCAGACACACTCAAATTAATGGACCAAGCATAGTCATGTCTATCAGTGTCAATGGTCTACTCAAGAGAAGAGGAAGAGGAGGAGTTTGGATTTGACATCCCGCCTTTCACTCCCTTTAAGGAGTCTCAAAGCGGCTAACATTCTCCTTTCCCTTCCTCCCCCACAACAAACACTCTGTGAGGTGAGTGGGGCTGAGAGACTTCAGAGAAATGTGACTGGCCCAAGGTCACCCAGCAGCTGCATGTGGAGGAGCGGAGACGCGAACCCGGTTCCCCAGATTACGAGACTACTGCTCTTAACCACTACACCACATTGGCTCTCTGAGTAGGTCTAACGCCAGAGGGAACCCTATGCATGGCATATAATTGCACGCTTTATGGTTGTAGAAGCTGGGGGAGCATGGCTGGCTGGCATGTTGGAAGATGCCTGTACTACTGCTTGTGAGGACGATGTACTCATTCCAAAGGGTGCCAATCACCTCCAGTAGGCTGGAATTGCTACCAGGCATGAAATTACTACAGTGGCATAGTACGGGGAATACTATTAATACTTGCTAACCAGCTTTGCTATCGTGGGGAGAGATCAAATGGTGTTCACACTTTTGATCTCTTCATGAATTCTGATGCTCAGGGTGGCCTGAGGGCAAAGGAAAAGATAACACCCCCCCTGTGCACACACAAGAGCCAACAGGGTAGCAGTTGAATTTACGTCAATACTCCCAGCGAGAGGACAGCATCTTCCAGCACAGACTTGACCAGGCATAGGCGAACTCTGGCCCTCCAGGTTTTTGGGACTACAATTCCCATCATCCCTGACCACTGGTCCTGTTAGCTAGGAATGATGGGAATTGTAGACCATGCGGCACACAGCTCTACCTTCCAACAGAGGGGAAGGGGGGGGCTCAGGCCACGACTGGCCCCCAGGATCTAACCCCTGCCTAGTGAAAGGCCAGCAGCACTGAAGCGGGTATCAGCATTATCATTTGTTAAATTTACACCCCATAGGAACTCTGGGTGGCCAATGCAAAACCGTTAAAACAGTACAATTAAAATAAAATGAACATGTGTTTTAAACATCAAAAAACAATCATATGACCACAAAGCTTATAATATCAAGGTTGCCAGGAGCAGCATTTTTCAGTCATCAAATGCCTGGATAAACAGGAGCATTTTTGAGTTGTTCCTGAATGTTAATAATGCGTGAGATTGAAGCATCTCCCCTAGGGAGGCCACGGGGAGCCACCACAGATAAGGCTCTGCCATGGGTCAGAGCCAACCAGCCAGTGTCTCCCTTGTCTCCCCCACCAATCGTAGGGCCTGAGTTGCTTGATACTGGGAGAGACGCCCTTTTAGGTACCTGGGTCCCAAGCCATTCGGGCTTTGCATGTTACTACTCACACCTTGAATAGAGCTCAAAATGCAAACAGCTGCCCCCCTCAGCCAAATTTGCACCCACCCTGCGGAATCCAAACTGCTGCATTTGTTTAGGAGAAAACTGGCTGACTTTCAACAAAAGTGCACGAGAGAGACGACAGCCATCCCTCTTCAAGGCGGCGGAGACCTTTTTACACGGCGTTTCTCAGATAGGTGTGCAAAATGTTTTTCATTTCCCACTTATGTTTGAAGTAGACATGACCCTGCGGAGGCAGCCTTCTCTTTAGCCCATTAGCACCCTGACTAATCAAGTGACATTAGATTCGTTCTGTGCTGCGGTGCCCACAAGGGACAGGGAGAAGGAACTCAAACCTTTGTCTTGCAGAGAGCTCTCGATAAAGAAAGCCGCCCCTCTGTCTCTTGGCAACAGAATGGCTGGATGGAGAACCGCGAAGCCACTGAACTCCAGGAGCAAAGAACTATTTTCCGTGAAAGAGGCCATTGTGTTCTAAATCAAAGCAGATGATTTTTCTTCCCTCCCCCCCACCCCCCAAGAGCTCAGCCAGGGAAAGGAGAAAGAGGGGAAAGGCAGAGATCTATTGAGGCTTTTTGCAATTACTTTTCAGAGAGACGGACTTCCTCTCTGACCCCCAACGTTCACAGAGAGTGCTCCAATCAACCAGAGTCTCGGGGAAAACAAATTCAAAGCAAGAGCAGCTTTTCTGAATAAGAGAGCTCATCAAAAGCTGGCAGTATTTCGTGCCTGCTAGGTTTTGCACCAAAAGGAAGCTAAATTTGGCAACAGGTGTAAGTCAGGTTAATGGCACGGAAGGGCAAAGATGCTTTGCTGCCTGAGACAGAGCAGCACATAGCGCCCCATGGCCACCACCAAGGTAAAGTGTACAGTGCCAAGGGCTGCTAAGTTATTTGAGCATCTGAAAATCCCGTAAGTGCATCTCTCCCTACCTGGCAATGAGAACCTAAGTAGCGGCTACCTCACTCTGCCTAATGGTTGAGGTGTCCCTATCCTGCAGCACTTGCTGAAGTTGGTTCCTTCCCACTCCATCAGCACAAAGCCAGGAATGGATGGCTCAGTCAGTTTTGGTTTCTCTGTTTCCTATTTTGCCAGTCTGAAACAGCGTCTCCACCCCCATCATCCAGCCTGGACACTGAGGTCCAGCGCCGAGGGCCTTCTGGCAGTTCCCTCACTGCAAGAAGCCAAGTTACAGGGAACCAGGCAGAGGGCCTTCTCGGTGGTGGCACCCGCCCTGTGGAACGCCCTCCCACCAGATGTCAACGAGAACATCTGCCAGACTTTTAGAAGACAGCTGAAGGCAGCCCTGTTTAGGGAAGCTTTTAATGTTTGATGTATTACAGTATTTTAATGTTTTGTTGGAAGCCGCCCAGAGTGGCTGGGGAAGCCCAGCCAGATGGACGGGGTATGAATAAATTATTATTATTATTATTATTATTTTGCCAGTCCTAAATTCAGTTCTGCACATTCCTGTAGCAATTTGTGATTTAAAAAAAATATTATTCATGAAAACTTGTCAGCATTTTAGTGCAAATTTCTTTCAACACACCCATTTTTAGTTGCCGTTTTCTCTAATATACAGATTTTGGCAAGCAATTCCCCATAACGTGTGTGTGTGTGTGTGTGTGTGTGTGTGTGTGTGTTTTAGCTTCACTAATATATGTATTTTTGTACATATTGTTTTACTGGAGAACGGCATTGCAGAATTCGGTTAAGTGCACATTTTGAAGGGAGGCTGTGTGTTGGTCCATCTATTGCATTTGGAAAGTGCAGATCAGGTAGTTTCTCATGAAAATGAAACTGAATTTGTCCTCCATCCCTCCTGATGAAATGTAGCCCTCTTCCCAAGCAAGAAATGTAAAAATGAGAAAACAGACAGACGAGGGAGACTCCTCTGTGTTAGAATCCAACAGAGAGAGTGGCTGGGGCAACCCAGTGAGATAGGTGGGGTACAAATTAATTGTTGTTGTTGTTGTTAATATAATTGCTATTATTGATCGTTGTTGTTGTTGTTGTTATTTCTGAATACATCTTTTAAGAAATCAAATCCCACCACAAGTTTTGTCCTTCATGTGTTCTGAAAAATATTTGGAAAACAAGCAGTTTGTTGTCTGCAAAAACCTCGAAGGGATCAAGACTTCAGCACCTCCGACAAAAGTGGTCGGGAATTAATAGTGCAGAGTGTGGCTTGGGGTGTGTGGTTGCCAAGCTCCCCAGTCAATGAGCGTAAATACTTCACTTCCTGGTTTCTTAGAGCTCTGGGATCACGGAAGACGCCTCCTTCCCGCTCCAGCTCATTGCAGCCCCTTCCCATGCCTTTCCTTACCTCTGAAACAGTTGGCTATAGGAACTCACAGCCTTCCCTGTCAGTCCCTGCTTGGCCGTCTGCTGCCGCCTCTGAAGAGAAGCCTCCTCCTGAAAAAGAAGCACAATCAACTTAGAATCATATAATTGTAGAGGTACCCCCAGGGGTCATCTAGTCCAACCCCCTGTCATGCAGGAATCACAGGTAACTTGTTAGAATAAAACTTGGGAGGGGCTGTGAAACAGCAGAGAAGCCCCTCTCTGCCTAAAACCAGAGAAGAGACAGCGAGACCTGTTTCTGGGTGAGAGGGGGCTCACGCAAAATCAATCCTTGAACACAGAAACCTAGGTTATCAGGGAGATGGCTAATCAGCAGCCCTGTTCCCTAACACCTAATTTTCTGTGTGGAGGGATTTATTTATTGTATATTTAGCTATTTTTAAAATATTTCTAGGCTGTCGTTTTTGGCAGTGCTAATCACAATGTTTGATTGCTTAATGTTTGATGCTGTTGTTGCTCTGAGGACCCTCTGGTCCTCTCACTGCAAGAAGTGAAGTTACAGGGAGCCAGGCACAGGGCCTTCTTGGTAGTTGCGCCCTCCCTGTGGAACACCCTCCCACCAGATGCCAAGGAGCTAAACAAGCACACAACTTTTAGAAGACATCTGAAGGCAGCCCTGTATCGGGAAGTCTTTATGTGCTACTGTTGTTTTAATTTGTTGGAAGCCGCCCAGAGCAGATGGGGTAACCCAGTCAGATTGGCAGCGTATAAATCATAAATTATTATTATAATTATTATGTTCAAGGCATGGGTAAGGGGTGGGGAGCAGTTGCCCTTCCTATCCCTACCTCTCTCCAGAGAAACGAAAGCCTTTTGCTAATTGGTGGGTAACGGATCGGTTTCCGGCTTCTCTTCTCCATCTGGAACTCAAACTCCAGAAAACTGGGGAACAAATCTTCTAAGCAATAAGGCATGATGGTAATAATTCCATAGCTGCCATGCCTGCTGAGCTCAGACTCAGCATTATTACACACCATCATTCTAGAACGTGTGTGTGTGTGTGTGTGTTAAAAAACAGCTTCCATTGGATTTCCAACTCCTTCCAGCTGTGATACGGGGAGGATTAGTTGCACAAGAATATATAGGAAGCTGGCAAATAATGGATCATTTATCCACGTAGCTCAACACTGACTACTCTGATGGGCTGTGGCTCTCTAAGTCCGAGACAGAGTTGTTGTTTTTTACCATCACTTTTTTTACTTGATCCTTTCAACTAGAGGGGGAATGACTGAACCTGGGACCTCTCTCATCAGAATGCTACAAGTCGAGGTCATCCAAGGAAGCAGGATGTCAGCGGATTCAGGGCAGATAGCAGGCGTGGTACTCCTTCGCACAGTGTGCAGTTAAAGCCACGTGCACAAAAACATTAAACTACATATGGAAATATTAGAATACAGGAAGGAAATTTTAAAGGGAAAAACTGAGGCAGAGTTAATAAAATTCATTTTTAAAATAATTTTTTTGTAATTTTTTATAATTTGACATTATTATATATTTTTTATAATTTGACATTATTCAATTCACTTTCAATATAATAAATCCTTACATTTTGGCTTCCCATCCTTACGTCCGGGATGTTCCTATTGTATTCCTTTATCTGCTGCCATAACTGCCATTTATTTTCTATTGTACCTTATATTACAATCATTTATTTATTCTCCTTTCCTTGTCTCTTATTCAAATCCTGCTCACAATTTCGTTTGGCTATCGTTTTCTCTCTCTCAAATAGGACAGATATAAAATTCTAATATAGTGAGATATAAAGGTCTGGGAGCGGGCCTTTAGGTCTTTTAAAAGACACCTGAGCATCGTCAGTGTTGGCACTTGCCAAAGCTCAGGGAGAATTTAGAGACACTGCAGCAGAAAAGGCCCGCTCTCCTGTGGCCGCTGATTGCCACTTCCATGGGCTGCAACACAAGCAGAATCAGCTGCTTGTAATGATCATGTAGGGAACCCTTGGTGTAAGTAAGACTTTGGATATGATTAATCATAAGGGACGCGGGTGGCGCTGTGGGTTAAACCACAGAGCCTAGGTCTTGCCAATCAGAAGGTCGGTGGTTCGAATCCCCGCGATGGGGTGAGCTCCCGTTGCTCGGTCCCTGCTCCTCCCAACCTAGCAGTTCGAAAGCACGAAGTGCAGGTAGATAAATAGGTACCGCTCCGGCAGGAAGGTAAACGGCGTTTCTGTGCGTTGCTCTGGTTTGCCAGAAGTGGCTTAGTCATTCTGGCCACATGACCCGGAAGCTGTACGCCGGCTCCTTGGCCAATAAAGCGAGATGAGTGCCGAAACCCCAGAGTCGGTCACGACTGGACTTAATGGTCAGGGGTCCCTTTATCTTTACCTTTAATCATAGTCTCTCTCTCTCTCTCTCTCTCTCACTCACACACACACACACACACTTACCACTGGTGTTTTCTCTGCTGAAAGTCTGGCTGATATGACGGCAGAGTAATTTTTGGCCGATGAGTCCAAAAACTCAGTGGGGGTGGGCGATGGCGCTACCCCATCGGTTCCTTTGACGGAGGCTGTTTTCAGAGGCACTGTGCTCATCCCGTTTGGAACTGAGAAAGAGAAGGTGAGCTCACTTAGCCTGGCAAACGGAATCGGCAGAAAGGCCAGCGGGAATTAAGGAGTTCTGGGGACTTGCCATTCTTGAGAAAGCACGTCACGGAAGACGACACTCACCTCCGGGCCTCTCGGCCTGTTCTAGAATCCCCCTGCAGCAGGGAAGGTGGGGGTGGCCCTTCAGTTGCTATGGGACTGCAGGACCCATCAGCCACTGCAGCCAGGGATGATGGGAGTTGTAGTCCAGCGACACCTGGAGGGTCCCAGGGTCCCCACCTAAGCTATACAACTTCTCTCTCTCTCTCTCTCTCTGCTTCCCTCCAAGAAATGGACAAGGGGAATGGAGCCCAGGATTAAGAACGTTGCTTGCTCTGTTCTAAAATGGCTAATGAAGTTCAGCCTAGAATGCAGAATCTGGACACTGGAAGTAGGTTTTCATAAATACCCTCAAGGGTTATCTACTGGGTTTTCCCCCTCATGGGAATGGGTTTTAAGCTTAGCTCAGGCCCTCTTGACTTCCTGGGCCCCAGAAAGCTCTCCGTGGGCCCACAAGGTTTTCGGTGAAAGCCCTATTAAAAAGGCCTGGAACTGTGAATAAATGTGCGAATGGGCCTTGTGCAGGAAAATGGCATTTCTGAACATCATTTAGGATTGTTGTTCCCAAACCCAAAATATGTTTTGGGCTGGAGCTGGCCAAGGGGAACAATTATGGCACCTCCATCACTCTGCTTGAATGCCACTTCCAGCCACAGCTGCCTCTTTGCTCTCTGTCCATTAGCAAAAGCTCACGGATGTCTGTTCATTAGAAGAAGAAGATTTTTAATAGCTTCCCATTATATCAAACATCCAATCTCCCCCTATTACGATCTTACTGCAAATGTTCATACTAAAGAGTCAACCTTGAGGCAAGATTTCGCCCTCTCCTTCCTAAACAAACAAACAATTTCCCCTCATCCATAAGGAAAGAGCAATCTCTTCCTCCAAATACGATCATTACTTTAATTCGGAACACCTACAAATGAAACTCTAAATGAATTTAATGGAGCGTAGTAAATTTCAAAGTTACTTTTATGGATGGTGGAATTGCCCAAACTCAGCGCTCGTAATGAAGTTGCTGTGGCTGACGAAGAAATGCAAATTGACAGGACGGCAAAGACATTAGAGGCCATTAAGAGCTCCTGCAAGGAATATCAGATGGTTTATGGCACAGCATAAAATGATAAGGGGGAGGAGGGCTCCTTTTTAACTCCTCTGCCCTCCTTAATCATTGGATCCACCAAGGAGGCAAGAAAGAGAAAGAAAGAAAGAAAGAGCCTTTCACGTTTTGTGAACTTTTGGCTTACATGCCCAAAGGCCTCTGTTGAAGGTGACTTTCTGCTGAGCACTTGGCAGGTTAAATTAAAAGAGGTGGCAGAGAAGCTTTCAATTGGATGTGTGGGGGTCAGGAAGCCAGCAGGTTCATGATTATGAGCATTGAGACAAGGATAGCAAGGGCATATGACAGCTATTCTGAGAGGCCAAAGTGCCACAGGGCAAAACACATGCAGCAGAGACAGCTGGAGACATACTCCTCATGTACAGGTGTTTGATGCTGATGCTGGGAGTCTCTGAGCCAAGATGGGCAAGCTGGAGTGCTTGGTCCCAGAACAAGATATAGCAAGCCTAATGGAAACCTGGTGGGATGGAGAGAACAAATTGATACAAATTCTATAGGAAGGACCAGGTCTAGGTGGTGTCTGTCTGTACATCAAAGAGGATCTGGAGTCCAATAAGATAAAAATCCTCAAGAGGCAGACTCCTCCATGGAGTCGTCGTGGGTGGGGATCTCAGGTGAGAAGAACAATTTACAGTGGTACCTCGCAAGACGAATGCCTCGCAAGACGAAAAACTCGCAAGACGAAAGAGTTTTTCGTTTTTTGAGTTGCTTCGCAAGACGAATTTCCCTATGGGCTTGCTTCGCAAGATGAAAACGTCTTGCAAGTTTGTTTCCTTTTTCTTAAAACCGTTAATACCCAGGGTGCATTGCTTGAAGAGGTGCAGTTGCGACTTGACTTCAAGGAGCAACTCATAGCACGTGGTGTGGTAGCCTTTTTTGAGGTTTTTGAGGTGTGGTAGCCTTTTTTGATTTTCAATGCATTCCTATGGGAAACCGTGCTTCGCAAGACGAAAAATTCGCAAGACGAAAAAACTCGCAGAACGAATTAATTTCGTCTTGCGAGGCACCACTGTAGTGCTGAACAAAATACATTCTGAGATGGAGAATGAGATCAAACTGGCATTGGACAGGAAAAGTGCTCTAGAAATGGGTGAGCTCAATTTTGCGCAAATGGACTTGATGCACAAGCACCCAGAAGAGGTAACATTTCTAGATTGATAGCCCAGAATACCTGGGCATGAAACCGATCAGAGGGGCGTAATGCTGTAAAAATGCCGACTTCAAAGCCAAATGGCTGGCAAGCCTAGCACAGGACCTCGTCTTTCAATGATGAGTGCAAATGCTTGCATGGAGCAAGCTATCTGTGGCAAATTCCCATTCTGTTTCCTGGAAGCAACACAACTGTCAGGCTATACCTGGGGGGATCTGCAATGCCATACCTGAAAGGAGATTGGTGTCCGATGCGGAACCTCTGACCTCGGTTTCCGACGGCTGCTTTATCCCAAGGAACTCCTCAATTAGTTTGCTCAGATTGGTGAATGCTTCGTCAAAATCATCTGAACGTGAAGGGATGCACATATGGAGAGAAAGAAAAGAATTAACAGGGCCAAATCCTGGAAGACCTTCAGTCGCGACAATTTGGATTGCTGACATTCTAGAATGTGGCAAATTGCCCTCCTTGAAAAGGTATCTCATAAACTAAAAGTAGCTAAAGGGCAGAATTTGCATGACCATATTTAATTGCTAAATGGCATGGTTTTATTTCTTATAGTATATATTATTTCTTATGTTAAGGTGCCCAGTCACTTGGCACCACCAGTATATGCAAACGTCTGGCTCATCTAAGACTTTATAGAATCTTTATTCTCAGTAGTTATGGAACTCACAGATGGACAATACTTTTATTCTTCATATATTATTTGAAAAGGGAATTATATGTATGAGTCAATTCTTTATCCCTTTGGAGCTGCACCGTAACTTTGTAATTTTGTCCTTCCGGGCTATGACGCTTCATCATTATTACATTTATTTATTTATATCCCACCTTTCCCCCAAATTGAGACAAGGCAGATTACAGATTAAAAATACAAAACGCAGATACAATAGAAAAACAAACTAAAAACATTAAAAAGATAGTCATTAAAAAGTAATTAAACAGACTTCCGGGGTGGCGCCATCGGTAAATGGCGGATTCCCTCTGACTCGGAGGGAACCGGCTCTGCGGAAATCGGGTCTGCACCGCTACGGCGAAGCGGGGACCCTTCAAAAATCACAGGCCGGTGAAGCCTGTGACCATGGGACTCGGCGGGCACCTTTTGCGCCCCCCCCAACTTGCAAAGGAGCCCGATTACGGGTTCCGGAGCGGAGCGGGGAAGTGGCGCGGTGCTGTGAGTCAACTGCTTCTTCCGTGGAGTGAAGCCGCACAGCCGTTACCGGAGAGCGCTGCCTTTTTCCTGGGACAATTTGGCTGCAAAACAACGATCCGTGAGTAGGCTAATTTCGGAAACAAAGCAACTAAGAAATAATTTGGTACCGAAGCGGAGCGGCATAAACAGGAAGTCTGCCTTCCGTTTTCTGTAAATGGAGTAAAGCAATGAACTTGTAAGCAGAAACCTTGAAAGACGTTGGAAAAGGATTATAATTCGAACATCAAATAAGTGACTTTCCCCCCTTGATTGCAGGGGAGGAGGGGGGAAAAGGTCTGAACTGTATTTCCCTGCAAAAAGAGAGAAAAGGAAGTTAAAATTCACCGCTCAAAAACCTGGGAACGGGTTGCCAGTGAACAGTAAGAATGCTGTATTGTGAAATGCGCTGTTGCTGAAAGTGCTTTTTGACAGTTAACTCTGCATCTGAGATACAAGTAAGATACAATATTTCTGACTTGCTTCTCCTGGTTTTAAAGTAACAGGAAACAATTGGGATAGAAACTGTCGTCCTTTCTGTGAATTGGGGGGCTAAAGGGAAAAAAGTTAATTACTCTAAGACATTTTTGACTGCTACTGTGTCCCCCTAGAGGAAGTTTGAAATTGTTACAATAGCAGCTGGGCCAGGGGAATTTTCCACTTCAAAACAAATTCTGATCGTGAGACTGACCTTGGACCTTATCTAGAGTGTTATGGCAGATGGAAAGGAGAAAATAGATTTGCTACAGGAAAAAGCAACGAGGTCTGGCAGAGTATTTCGTACAGACGGTGGGCTGCAGCGAAGAGCATCGAAATCTGGCCCTTCTGGATTACCAACAGGAGCCTCATCGGCACAACCTAAACCCAAAGGAATGGCAGCTGAAGATGCTTTGGCTCAGGCACTTGGTAAAATCAACGAATCTTTGGATAAAATAAGTAAACAAGTAGCCGAAGCATCGGGCAAAATTGACCAAAATACTACAAGTATTAATAATTTGGGACAGAAGGTAAATACCAATACAGAAACTATTCAGAAATTACTACAGGAATCTACCTCGACACGAAAGACAGCTGAAGAGGCAAAGGATATAGCAACTGCTTTAGAAGAGAAGATACCACCGATACACAAACAACTTGAAGACCACAGGTCAATATTGTCTATGATTGAGTTGAAGGAGAAGCAAACCAATTTAAGAATCAGGGCTGTACCTGAACTTGAGAAAGACAACTTGATTGATTTTCTTATGCAGGAATTTGCAGACTTTTGGAACCCAGATTTGGATAAGGACAACTTCAAGATAGTGGGTGCTTTTAGGCTTGGAAGAGGAGGGAAGAAGAACAGGGTGAGAGACTGTTTGATCACCCTCCAAACGAAAGAGGAGAGAGACAAAATCTTGAGTCTGCATTTCCAGAAGACTTTGGAAATTCATCAGTCAAAAGTAGAGATATTTAAGGACATTCCGAAATATCTTTTGGACCTTAGGTCCAACTATAGAGATTTGGTCACCCTGTTGAGAAGCAACGGAGTCATTTTTAGGTGGGAATTCCCCCAAGGCCTATCCTTCAGCTACAAAGGGAAGAAGATAAAAATAAGATCAGAGGACAACAAAGATAGATTTTGGAGAGACCACGGAGAAGACTTGCAGAAGGAAGCTGCAGAAGAGTTAAGAGCACTAGTAAGTGAAACTTTAGACATACCAAGACTACCTCCTGAACTAAAAGACCGTCTGGAGAAGGTGATACCACCGACAGATCAGGAACAGGCACTGGGTGCAGTTGGAGGAGAAGCAAAGTAACTACATCATGGCTCTGCAACTATTAAGCTGGAATTGTAATGGTTTGAACTCCCCTCAGAAAAGGAAATCTGTGTTTCATTTATGGACTATATGGAATTGGCGGAAATGACTGGCAGAATCCGAGACCAGGGAGAAGAGTTGGTGAAAGAAGATTGGAAGAAATTTAAAGACTATCTACAGAAATATTGCAAAATTAATGAATGTTAGAATGATGTTAGAATGAAGTTAGGTGGTTTAAGCAGTAATGCTATAAAGGTGTATGTAAAAATGGATTGATAACAGGTGAAAATTTAAAGTTATAGTATATTAAGTTAAAGGATTAAGAGAAAATAAAGAGGGAAAGAAATTGCTGAATTAACTAATTGAATTGGAATACAAAAAAGGGAGGTATGAGGAGGTCAGGGAAACAAGGATATGAATGTAAGATATGGAAAGATTGATCTATTTTTTTCTTTTTTTAAGTGTTTTTTATTCTTTTATTCTGTATTTTATATTTTGTATTTTTCTTGTATTTTTACTTCTGTCTTTTGTTTTTGCTTTTCTTGTTTTTATGTAATTCTTTTTTCTAAAATTTTAATAAATATCATTTTTTTAAAAAAGTAATTAAACACTAACAGAATTGAAACCATGTCTGTCTATCAAGATCCATGAAAAATGCTGATATTCATTGTGTTAAAAAGTTTGAACTTTTTAGCAAAATCAGTGCAATATTAAATACGAGAGAGAGAGACAGAAGAAGTATCGCCTATGGCAGAGATCACTCCATTTGTTTAGGCTTGTGGGCACATCTGGATTTTTGACTAAGTGTTGTGGGCACCAGCTACTCTGGTAACTTCTCTCCCACCCCCCAGATACAGAGAATGAATGTTCAGGCAATTTATCTTGTGTTCCCCCCCCCCCCATCACATGGATGTTGGCGCATGTCCTGGCAATCTCCTTTAACCCCATGAGCATCTCGTGCAGGATGGGAAAGTTAGGAGTTATAATAATAATAATAATAATAATAATAATAATAATAATAATAATAATTTATTTATACCCCGCCCATCTGGCTGGGCTTCCCCAGCCACTCTGGGCGGCTTCCAAAAAATGATTAAAATACTGTAATACATCAAACATTAAAAGCTTCCCTAAACTGAGCTGTCTTCAGATGTCTTCTAAAAGTCTGGTAGTTGTTGTTCTGTTTGACATCTGGTGGGAGGGCATTCCACAGGACGGGTGCCACTACCGAAAAGGCCCTCTGCCTGGTTCCCTGTAACTTGGCTTCTCGCAGTGAGGGAACCGTCAGAAGGCCCTCGGTGCTGTTAGTTAGGCGAGTTAGGAGTGCTTGTTATGATAGTTTGGATGGGCTGCGCAAACTCTGCTTCTTCCATTTGACTGCCTTCCCAGGAAGACTGCAGTAGAGACCTTGCCAGTAGAGGAGACTTGGGTTCCAAAGGGATGGACTCACCGACGTTGATGACCGCGTCAAAGAACCCTGGGAAGTCCTGGTTCAGTTGGATGTACATGCCCACCCTGCGGACTGCTTCTTCGATCTCTGCCCTACTGAACAGCCCCATCCGTCGCAGCTGACCCCCGTATCTCTCTTTGTTCACTGGGATCAGTAGGATGTACCGAGGTTGGAAGTAGGAATTCTTCAAGCTTCTAACACCCTTTAAAAAACAGAGGTACTCGGTTATCATTCACTTCAAGGCTTCACAGGCCTTGGCTGAAGTTGTTAAATCACACACAGTACCCCAGATCGACACAAAGGCTGTAAGGACTGTTTAAGCAGTAGAGTCGTACCTTGGTTCTCAAACGCCTCGTGACTTGAACGTTTTGGCTCCCGAATGCCGCAACCCCGGAAGTGAGTGTTCCGGTTTGCAAATGTTTTTTGGAAGCTGAACGTCCGACGCTGCTTCCGATTGAGCGCAGGAAGCTCCTGCAGCCAATCGGAAGCCGCGTCTTGGTTTGCGAATATTTTTGGAAGTTGAACGGACTTCCGGAATGGATTCCATTCAAGAACCAAGGTACAACTGTACTGTCAAGACTGGATTCTCCTGATTTTAGGTGCAGTGCCAGCAGTCTGGATTGTGGGCATCTCTCAGTTGAGAGATTGATCGGGCATCTGATTAACTTCTTATTAGAGGACAGGTCCTCTTACACCTCTAAAAAAACGGCCTGTTTTGGAGCAACAATTTTAAGGCGAAAATATTGTGGAATGCTAAATTAAATTGTTCAGGGGAGCAATCCTACAGAATGCCTGGCTTTAATAATTATTTTAACTGTGTAATGTATTTTATTCTGATTTATGTATCTTGTCTTTTTTTTTCAATGCCTTCAGCTGCCCAAATAAATAATATTCATTCGTTAAATGGATCTTGAACCTCTTTAGTGGGGCAGTGAAGCAAGGAGTAGGGAAATTGTTTCAGCTCAAACGAGGTTCTTGCTTTGAGTTCATGTTTCTGGGAAAAAAGCATCTAATTAATAACTTAGCTATTGATTATATAACTAACAATTAACTTATTATATAACTCTACCATTCTATGATTCAATGAACCACAGCTTTGGATCTAGCGCTTGACACAGGCCCAGCTCTTGGTTTATGATAAAAACATACTGTATTTTTCCATGTATAAGACAATAGTTTTTCCTTAAAAATAATAGGCAAAAATTGTGGGTCATCTTATACATGGACAGCAGAGGGGGGAACGGGCGATTGGTGTCAGCAGTCAGCAGGAGATTGCCAGTGGCGACTGGGCGTGTGATTGGTTGCTGCGGCAAGGCCTGCTGACGATTGGCTGTGGCTGTGGTAATTGGACGTTGATATACTGTATTGACAAGTGGTTTCATCGAGTTCACAGACGGGCTTTTGGTGTCGAGCGTGCAGACGATTGTTGGATTGTTGGCTGCGGTGATGCGTGCAATTTGCTGTAGAGCAACTGGCGGTGGTGACCCCCCCTAAAAAGCTCAATAACTTTGGGCAATCCCCCTAAAAAAAATTTAGTTGTGGTCCCAAAAATTAGGGGTCATCTTATACATGGGGGCATGTTATACATGGAAAAATACAGTAATTACACGGACTTTGCTATGGCTTAAGGTGCTTCCATCCCCATCGTTACCTCTATTTCCATATGAATGCAGGTTGCAAGTCCCTCCCTAGCGATGGACTCGATTGTGTCCCGGCCCATTCCGTAGTAGAAGCCGCTGTACTTAAAAGTTGCAATGAATTTCCCCTGGAATGAAAAGAATGAAGCCTGGGCAACAAGAACAAACAAGGGGAAAGCTCTCGCCAGAAACTATAATCTAGATCCCAGAATCTAATACTCTGACATGCCGCTCCTCACCTCAGATACATGGCAGCTTGATCTCTCCTGCTGTGTAGGCAGGAAATGTAGGGTTGACGCATGTGCTGACTAGGAGCTTGTGCAAAAGGGTGGGTGAGAGATAGAACTATGAACCAGAAGACCCCACCATCAAAGTATTTATCTTCTTCTCCAGCAGGTCCCAGGATGGGTTATAGCAATGGGAGGACCGAAATAAATATGGGAGAAGCAATTCCGACGTACCCCTGAATTTATCTCCTGCTTCTAAAAACAGCAAGGCAGTATTGGTCATGCTGTGAACATTGCAATGCACTTGATAAATACTAAAGTGATGTTGTCGTTAATTTCATTGACAGAAGTTCCAGCCCATCTGGGACACTAAGGTTGGATTTGCATGTTAGGAGGAAGCACTGGTTATTGGCACACAAAAAATAGGATAATTGCGTCGGGCTTTCTAATTCAGCCCAGGTGGGGATGATGGGAGTTGCAGTCCAAAAATACCCGGAGGGTGTCAGGTTGATGAAGATTCTTCTACCCCAGTTATCCCACCAGTCTTCTAACCACAAAAAGCCAGACAAGGAAAGTGATGGAAAACTGCACTTCTGGGAAACGTGCAGAGTGACAACAGCTAGCTGGCAGTGCCATGCAAAGTCTGTGTGAACAGATGGGGACGGATGCTCATGGAAGAGGCAAAGTTGTATAACCTCGTCCCAAGTTTCGTGCAAGCATATCAGCAGGCTTGCTCAATAAACAGCCCATCTGGGTGCTCCCCACGCAAGAGAAGCTCTCCTGTGGCGACGAGATGTGTCAGCTCAGCCTATGGGCATTTCTCCACAGGGAAGTCACATGAATTTCTCCTGCGCACGCTATCCTAGGAGTGCCATAAAAGACGGCCCATTTGTGCTCCTTCCTCCAGCACTTTTTCAAGACGCACTATCTGAGACCCGCACGGTGGAAAGACAAAATTCCCTTCGGCCGGGATCACAGAAAAAGAATGCCACATCAGGTCGGGTTCTCAAGTCCAGCATTCAGTTTATTTGCTTTGTTTTATTTAGTTATTGCAGTCATACGGCACCTTTTCCTCCAAGCAGCTCAAGGTAGAGAGCACGGTTCTTCCCCTTTGTCATTTTATCACAACAACCTACTGCGAGGTAGGTTAGGCTGAGAGACTGAACCAAGGTCACTCAGTGAGCTTCATGGCTAAGTGGGGATTTGAACTCTGGTCTCCCAGGCCCTGGGACGCGGGTGGCACTGTGGGTTAAACCACAGAGCCTAGGACTTGCCGATCAGAAGGTTGGCGGTTCGAATCCCCGCGACGGGGTGAGCTCCCGTTGCTCGGTCCCGGCTTCTGCCAACCTAGCAGTTCGAAAGCACGTCAAAGTGCAAGTAGATAAATAGGTACCGCTCCGGCGGGAAGGTAAACGGCGTTTCCGTGCGTTGCTCTGGTTCGCCAGAAGCGGCTTAGTCATGCTGGCCACATGACCCGGAAGCTGTTTGCCGGCTCCCTCGGCCAATAAAGCGAGATGAGCGCCGCAACCCCAGAGTTGGTCACGACTGGACTTAATGGTCAGGGGTCCCTTTACCTTTACCTCCCAGGTCCCAATCTGACACTCTGGGCTCTGACAGTCTGACCACCACTGGCTCTAAGCATCAGCCAGGCACATGATCTTGGAAACATCACAAAGCAGAGCATGAAGATCACAAGCAGCAGCCCATCTGGCTTGGGTGCAAGAAGCACTTTTACGACTTGACCAGAGGCTACTCTGCTGAACAATGAGGTGAACCAGCATTTTCTGGGAGGACAGAACGCATTAAAAAAGAAAGATTAAAAGCTCAGATTTGTTGCTCGTGTGCATAACCCTCTCACAGAATGAAGAGAACAGCACCCTTTGAAAGTGAGCTAGAGGCTCTTCAGCAATTAAGGAACAGCTAGAGAGATTAAAAACTATTCAGTACATGTTGACCACAGCAAGCTATGGCAAGTTCTTAAAGAAATGGGAGTGCCTGATCACCTCATCTGTCTCCTGAGAAATCTCTATGTAGGACAAGAAGCTACAGTTAGAACTGGATATGGAATAACTGATTGGTTCAAAATTGGGAAAGGAGTATGACAAGGCTGTATATTGTCTCCCTGCTTATTTAACTTATATGCAGAATTCATCATGTGAAAGGCGGAATTAAGATTGCCGGAAGAAATATCAACAACCTCAGATATGCTGATGACACAACCTTGATGGCAGAAAGTGAGGAGGAATTAAAGAACCTATTAATGAGGGTGAAAGAGGAGAGTGCAAAATATGGTCTGAAGCTCAACATCGAAAAAACGAAGATCATGGCCACTGGTCCCATCACCTCCTGGCAAATAGAAGGGGAAGAAATGGAGGCAGGGAGAGATTTTACTTTCTTGGGTTCCATGATTACGGCAGATGGTGACAGCAGTCATGAAATTAAAAGACGCCTGCTTCTTGGGAGAAAAGCAATGACAAACCTAGAAAGCATCTTAAAAAGCAGAGACATCACCTTGCCAATAAAGGTCCGTATAGTTCAAACTATGGTTTTCTCAGTAGTGATGTATGGAAGTGAGAGCTGGACCATAAAGAAGGCTGATCGCTGAAGAATTGATGCTTTTGGATTATGGTGCTGGAGGAGACTCTTGAGAGTCCCATGGACTGCAAGAAGATCAAACCTATCCATTCTGAATAAAATCAGCCCTGAGTGCTCACTGGAAGGACAGATCCTGAAGCTGAGGCTCCAAGACTTTGGCCATCTCATGAGAAGAGAAGACTCCCTGGAAAAGACCCTGATTGAGGGAAAGATGGAGGGCACAAGGAGGAGGGGACGACAGAGGACAAGATGGTTGGACAGTGTTCTCGAAGCTACCAGTATGAGTTTGGCCAAACTGCGGGAGGCAGTGGAAGACAGGAGTGCCTGGCGTGCTCTGGTCCAGGGGGTCACGCAGAGTCAGACACGACTAAACGACTAAACAACAACAACATGTTTTTGACAGGCAAGTTAGACGAGCGGTCCCACAGTTCGTTTTTTTCTCCAATAGCTCAATCCTCAATGGATTTCCGCACCCTCACCCTTTAGCATGATCTGTGATGAGCTGCCAGGCATCCTCCCCTCAAGCGAAAGCAGGACAAATCAGCTCATGCCTTACCATGGTCACCATTTTGTCAAACTCCTCCTGGGAAACAAAATAGTAATCTAATCTGTTTTCTTCTCCAAAATAAGCAGTCCTCGTGGTGTGGCAGGGACTGAAAGATAAGCCAGACAGAAAACAGAATAAGCAAGTGAAGGGAGATGACACTGTTAAAGAACTCGAGGACAATCTAGTGCACATTTACTCAGGACAGGAGTAAATCCTATTGATCTCAGCATGCATAGTGTTAGGCTGTAAAGGATGTGTGTTTGTGTATGTATATATATATATTTACATATGAACATAGCAAAGGTTGATAAAATTATGAATGCGGTGGAGACAGAAATCTACCCCCTTCAGATGATTGGCAGTAAATCCAGGACAGAGAAAAGATAGCCACACAATGCATCTTATACAACAGAAATTAATACCTAGAATTTATTGGACTCCATTACATTTGTATGGAAAAGGACTGTCTAATGCAGGCATAGGCATACTCGGCCCTCCAGATGTTTAGGGACTACAACTCCCATCATCCCTAGCTAACAGGACCAGTGGCCAGGGATGATGGGAGTTGTAGTCCCAAAACATCTGGAGGGCAGAGTTTGCCTACGCCTGGTCTAATGCAGTTCTTTGTTGGAGATGTAATAAAGATAATGGCTCCTTGAAACATATGTTCTTACACTTTCCTGTACTACGTTTTGGGGGAATGTGTTTGGCTGCATGAATATGACTACACAGAAAAACTTAAAAAAAATCAGTGGAAAATATTATTTTGAATTTTACACCAATTGGTATAAACAGAAGTTGACAACTGGGCAACAAAAGTGGATTCTACACGTTCTAACTGTGGCCAAAAGACTGGTGTTGATGAACTGGAAGAACACAGATTTTGGACTGAAGACATGACAGCACTCACTGTTTCACACACTGATGCTAGATGCAGCCAACAGGCCACATTGCAGAGTAAATTAACAAAAGGAATCAGAGAAGAGACATCATCCATGTGAATTATGGGAGAAGGGAACTCGGAGAGTGATGCTTAGGGTTAGAATTTGGCAGGTGTGTGTATGTGTGCATGTTTTTTTTTGTTTTACAAGTACAGAGCATGTCCCTCCCTATTTACATCTGTGAAATGTTGAGTGGTGTGTGATTCTCCCACGTCCTTCAGATGTTATAGTGCCTGTGGGGGAGGCCTAAAAATGCCAGCCAATCCTGCCACAACAACACTCCAGGGAAAGGGATTCAGGAACCATCATATTCAATAACTGTGTCAAATGAGAACCGTATGAGGCACGTGGACCCTATAAAGCTGAAACTTCAAAGGTGTGATTTTCTCAGCAATTTTTATAAATATACACATCTCAAAAGGTCAGTCCTGGGCACTGACCAGATGTTTTGAATGGCCTTCTTTTTTTAAAAAAAAACTTATGTTACAAGCTCCTTTTAACAGCAAGGTCATGTTTACATTTGAAGTTGCCCAGTATCTTCCATAAAATACAGTTTTAACAAGTGGCATGTTGAAAATTCTAAAAGCAGCACACGAAAGCTACAGAAACCTCCTCTGAATAATAAAAATGCAGCTTTGCTTTATGGTAGCAATTTTCTGCTCTGCTAAGACTGCTTTGCTCTCTGTTCTTCACGTGCATGATGCTTATGAGGGAATAAAATATAAAATAAAACACAACAAGGCTCTTGGAAAACTGAAGGTGTTTGGAAAATCCCCAGCAGTTTTCAATTACTGGGAAATTCCAGCCAGGCTTTTCAAACTGTGTAATTTATGAGAAAAAATCAGCTTTCTTTTTGGAATTAGATAATATACTAATGGAATGGATGGACCAGAAAATGACATTGATGGGAGATTTTAATGGGGTGGTGACGCCGAATATGGATAGATTAACAAAAAGACAAGATGGGAAAGAAGGTAAACTACCACGATCTTTCTTCGACATGGTAAATAATTTAGGATTGACGGATGTTTGGAGGTTTAAAACCCTACTGCAAAACAATTCACTTTTTTTCAAATCCGAATCAGAGCTGGGGGAGGATAGACAGTATTTGGGTCTCGAGGGATTGGTACAGAATTTAATTAAGTCTGAAATTTGGCCTCGAACTTTATCTGATCATAGTGCGGTTTCCATGGAGTTAAAAGGTAGAGAGGTTAAAACAGCCAGATGGAGAATGAATGAATATTTATTCAATGATCAAAGGATAGTAAATAAGGCTATAGAAACAATTGAAGAATACTTTAGGTGGAATTTAAATGGAGAAACTTCCATAGAGATGGTGTGGGACGCAGGAAAAGCGGTCATGAGGGGTTTTTTGATTCAGAAAAATACCCAATTAAGAAAAGAAAAAGGAAAAAAGAAAGAGCAGATTTTAATACAGATTATGGAAAATGAAAGAAAATTAACTGTTAACCCTAGTGAAGAGAGTTTAAAACAGAACTTAAAAATACTACAAGCTAAATTTGCTACAATAATTAACCAAGAGATAGAGTGGAAAATTAAAAGGATGAATCAAAAGAACTTTGAGTCCGCAAATAAGATAGGGAAATATCTAGCGTGGCAGTTGAGAGAAAGGAAGAAGTTGAATACGATCAGTAAAATAAAAGAAGGAGATATGATTATGGAAGAACCAAAAGAAATAAAAAGAATATTCCAAAGATATTATAAGGATTTGTACAAAAGAGGAGAGGAAACAGAACAAGAAATAGATCAATTTCTGCAAAAACACCATCTGGAACAAATTGTAGAAGATGAAAGAGCAGCACTAGATGAGATAATAACACAGGAAGAGATAAAAAGGCTATTAAAAAGATGAAAGCTGAGAAGGCGCTGGGACCGGACGGCCTTCCGGCCAAATATTATAAAACATTAATTAACCAAATATCACCAGTGCTGGGAGAGGTTATGAACAATATATTGAGAGAAGGAAAGATACCTAATACCTGGAAGGAAGCCTATGTTATATTGATCCCTAAAAAAGAGGTGGACACTATGGAAGTAAAGAACTATAGGCCAATCTCATTATTAAATAATGATTATAAGCTATTTGCAGACATAATGGCGGAAAGATTAAAGAAGGTCTTGATTAATAAAATTCATGGTGATCAAACAGGATTTCTCCCAGGGAGACAATCACGGGATAATGTAAGGAATTTGATTGACATTATTGAATACCTGGACATGAAAATAGACAGAAAAGCCGCACTGGTTTTCATAGACGCCGAAAAGGCATTTGATAATGTTTCCTGGAACTTCCTAAAGAAGGCTTTGGAAAGGATGGGAATTGGCGAAAAATTTAGAAGAGGCATAGAAGCAATATACAAAGAACAGAAAGCAAAGCTGGTGATAAATAACAATACAACAGAATATTTTAACATTTATAAAGGGACCAGACAAGGTTGCCCCCTGTCCCCCTTATTATTTATTGTAATTTTGGAAGTACTTAATAAGAGACTGAGGGAGGCAACAGAAGTGAAAGGAATTAGAGTAGGAAAGAAGGAATTCAAAATTAAAGCCTTTGCCGACGATATTGTTTTGACTTTGGAAGATCCACAAGATAGTGTAAAAGAAGCATTACAAAAATTGAGGAATTTGGAGAGGTGGCAGGTTTTAAGGTAAACAAGAATAAAACTAAAATGCTGGTTAAAAATCTAACTAAGGAAGAAACGAAAGATCTAGAACAAAAAGTGGAAATCATGGTGGTGAAAAAAGTGAAATATTTGGGAGTGTGGATTACGGCAAAAACATAAACCTATATAAAGATAATTATGAAGTTACATGGAAAAAAATAAAGAAAGATCTGGAAATATGGGGAGGATGAAATTTTCCTTTTAGGGAAGATAGCAGTGGTTAAAATGAATGTTTTGCCGAGGATGTTGTTTTTATTTCAAACTCTTCCAGTTATTAAAGGTCTAAAACAATGTAAAGAATGGCAGAGAACCCTGATGAAATTCATCTGGCAGGGGAAAAGACCAAGGATTAAAATGAAAATACTAATTGATAAAAAGGAAAGAGGAGGTTTTGCCCTCCCAGATTTGAGCCTATATTATGAAGCAGCGTGCCTACTTTGGTTAAAAGATTGGATAAAATTGGAGAACAGAGACCTACTGGATTTAGAAGGTTTCAATAACCGGTATGGGTGGCACGCATATCTCTGGTACGAGAAGGTGAAAGTCCACAGGGCTTTCTTAAACCATATTTTCAGGGGACCAATATATCAGGTCTGGGAAAGAAATAAGAACCTTCTCGAAAGAAAAACACCATGGTGGATTTCACCAGTAGAGGTCTTAACAATAAAAAAACCAACATGGAAGGGAAGACAGCCACCTACGAAGATTTGCTAAGAAAATCAGAACAAGGGCTTAAACTTAAACCGTATGAGGAAATAAAGGATCAATTCACCGGCTGGTTACAATATCATCAGGTGAATGATATGTTAAAACAAGATAAAAGAAAAATGGGCTTTGAGGACAAGAAATCAAAATTCAATATAGAAATAATAGAAGGCAAAAACAAAACATTGTCTAAATTATATGACATATTACTGGAATGGCATACAAAAGACGAGGAAGTCAAAGAGGCAATGATTAAATGGGCAATTGACTTCGGTTATAACATCGAGTTTGAAAAGTGGTTGAAATTGTGGAATAGAGACATTAAATTTACGGCCTGTACGAGTTTGAGAGAAAATGTTTGGAAAATGCTCTATAGATGGTATCTTACGCCGGCAAAATTGGCTAAAATCTATAGATCAGAAAATAAGACATGCTGGAAATGTGGTGAGGGGAGGGAGACCTCTACCATATGTGGTGGCAATGCAGCAAGGTGAAGGTTTTTGGGAAGCAATTTATAATGAACTTAAAAAGTTTTTAAATACACTTTTCCCAAGAGACCTGAGGCCTTTTTGCTGGGAATAATGGGTAAGGAAATAAAAATGAAGATAAAAAATATTTCTCTATGCCACCACAGCCGCAAGAATTATGCTGGCACAAAACTGGAAAATAGAAACTATTCCTAACATAAGTGACTGGCAGGTCAAAATGATCAACTATGCCGAGCTAGATAGATTAACAGGCAGAATACGAGACCAAGACGACCAGAAATTTCAAAAAAATTGGAGTAAGTTTTGGAAATATATTGGAACGGATATATAGGAGGAACTGGCGGTATTAGAAAAACTTTATCAGCTAATAACTATAAACTTTAATAAACTAATTACGCAACCCGGGACTTATTTGATACTTACCAAAAGGGTGAAGGGAAGTCAAAGGCTAAGGAGAGCCTAATGGTTATATTCTTATTTTTGTATGAACATATGCTTTCTTTTTGTATAGTATGAAAATAGGATGAATAATTTATGTTAAAATGTTTATTTTTGTATTTGTTAGTTCTTTTTTCTTTTCTTTATACAAATTCTGAATAAAAATTTACTTGCAAACTGTGTAATTTATTTAATATGTATTGTATTTGATGTCTCTCCCCACCCACTACTCCCTTTCAGCCAGGAGATTTATTTCAAAGTCTTTGATTTACAACACACTGAAACCTCCATTGTGCTCAGGTCCTGCTTCCAGGCTTCCCATGGGCACTGTGAGAACGGGATGCTGGACTAGAGAGGCCACTGGCCTGATCCAGCAAAACTCTTCTTATGTTCTTGGGATGATGGAAGCTGCAGTTCAAGAGCATCTGGAAGTCGCCAGGCTTGCTAATCTTGACATAAGATGACTCTCAGAGTCCCTTACAACACTACAATTCTACGATTCTATGACATACCGGTAGGAAAGTATGTGCTTTAAGGTCTAAGAAGGTCTAAGGTCTCATTACGGGACCGTCTCTCCTGGTCTGCCCCACAGAGGATCTTAAGGTCCATGAATAACCATAGTTTAGAGGTCCCGGGCCCTAAGGAAGTCAGATTATCCTCCACCAGGGCCTTCTCAGTGATGGCTCCGACCTGGTGGAATGCTCTGTCCCATGAGACCAGGGCCCTGCAGGATTTAACTTCCTTCCGCAGGGCCTGAAAGAAAGAGCTATTCTGCTTGGCTTTCAGTTTGAACTTAGCCTAATCTTTTATTTCCCTTCCTTCCCTCCTCCTCCCCTTTTTATGAAGATTACCCGCTCTGGGATCCCACAGCTAATTCTCCCCTGGTCTCCTCGCTGGCCCAAATAGGACTAATTTAGCCAGCTAGCCCTGGTGATTATCTAATGTTTATTGGATGGATTTCCCCCCTAAATTGATTTTTGAATTCTGAATTTATTGTTATTCATGTATTTTCCTGTATTTTATGCTGTTTTTTTGTTGCATCAATTAAGTGTTTTAAATTTGTTGTTAGCTGCCCTGAGCCCTATTGTCCAGTAGCACCTTAGAGACCACCTAAGTTTTTTCTTGGTACAAGCTTTCGTGTGCATGCACACTTCTTCAGATACCTGTAGATAACTGTAGATCAGGAACTGCTAACCTTTGGACAGCTCAGGGAGAGCCGGTCAGACGCCCAAATGGGTCACCCAGGAACTGGAGCTATCCTTGTGTACATTCAGATTCTGCCATCGCCTACCCATAAGAGGCAGGGGGAGTGCAAGGAACAGGCTTGCTTTCTGAAAGGTCCCATAAAGAACCCGAGTGGCAGGGATTCCAAGATGTGCGTGAGAGAGCAGTAAAATTTACACCGAAATCCACTGTATCTTTTCCTTACAACGGAAACGGTAAATAATATTGTATTCAACTACATCTTTGGCTTTCCCTTCTGTTCAGGCCATCAGTCCAATACTGCGATACAGTGGTACCTGGGGTTACATACGCTTCAGGTTACAGATGCTTCAGGTTACAGACTCCGCTAACCCGGAAATAGTACCTCGGGTTAAGAACTTTGCTTCAGGATGAGAACAGAAATCGTGCTCCGGCGGCGCGGTGGCAGTGGGAAGCCCCATTAGCTAAAGTGGTGCTTCAGGTTAAGAACAGTTTCAGGTTAAGAACGGACCTCCGGAACGAATTAAGTACTTAACCCGAGGTACCACTGTATTTGGAAAGCCAACACAAATCCTGGACTCTCTGGACTGCCATGAAACCCTACCCTGGGATTAGAGCCGGCATTATACAAATACAAGTTGCCATGCTCTGAACATGAATGGGGTCAGGTTCTGTAGCTAAGCCATGAAATGAATGTCTAGGTGTAAATATATTTGCAGCGGTGACTGGACAGCTCAATGCAGTTTGCGAGTGGCTAAGTCCATCACACGCGGGTGGCGCTGTGGGTTAAACCACAGAGCCTAGGACTTGCCGATCAGAAGGTTGGCGGTTCATATCCCCACGACGGGGTGAGCTCCCGTTGCTCTGTCCCTGCTCCTGCCAACCTAGCAGTTCGAAAGCACATCAAAGTGCAAGTAGATAAATAGGTACCGCTCCGGCAGGAAGGTAAACGGCGTTTCCGTGTGCTGCTCTGGTTCGCCAGAAGCGGCTCATGCTGGCCACATGACCCGGAAGCTGTATGCCGGCTCCCTCGGCCAGTAAAGCGAGATGAGCGCCGCAACCCCAGAGTCGGTCACAACTGGACCTAATGGTCAGGGGTCCCTTTACCTTTACTTAAGGCCATCACAACCAATTAAACCAGTGGCAAGGAACCTCTGGCCCACCAACCTAATGAATTAGGGCAGCAGCCCTTAGCATTTGGTCTGTGAGGTCAACCCACAGGAACCAGTCCTACACTGGGCATCATATATTATGTCAGGTCAGAGGCAATAGAAGAAGTTGCTCCCTGCTGAAAGTGGGGTTTTCAGACACTGTCAATCATTTACTTAATCAGCGGTGCCTTCAAAGCCCTTTGATTTCAAACTGGGCAGGCAAAGTAAAGCATGTCACCTGGTGTCATTGTGACATCAAATGATTGACTGATGGGTGGTCCCTGCCCACCTGTCAAAATGATCCACGGGGGCTGGAGGAACCAGCTGGGAATGGTTTCACACTGCTCAATTAAACCTTTCCCCCCTGATTAACTTAATCTATGTGGTTATTTTACCAAACGCTCAATATAGCTGCCTTTTGGCTATTTTGAACAAAAAGCAAGATAACTCACAATTTTATAAGTATGTAGTTACTGTTCATTGTTAAGAAGAAAGGTCATTTTAGACCCAGCCACCCCGTCCTTTTAGAGCAACACAGAACTAAAATAGCTTCAAAAAAGAGAGAGCATTTAACTCCATTAAAATTTGCACTCAGAAATTAAAACTGGCCTCTGACAATCAAACTTCTAAATACTTAGAAGTCAGTCCCACCCAATCAAACAGTGGTACGAAAGCAGCCACAATGTACTGATTAAAGCTTGCATTCCTACAATTAACATCAATCTGTGTTTGGTCCACAGCAAGATGGAAAGCATCTGATTTGGATACGTTGCAGGAAAAGAACTCTACAAACCAGATGATTTCTCCCCTGAATTTGATGGGGAGGGCAATATAAGATGATAAGAAGAAAATAAAAGGGGGAAACTAAAACTGGTAGAACAGAGAAGGGCATAATTGCCTTCCATAAAGCTTTTTTTTATCTTTCTGAGAAAACCTGCCTTGTTTTATTTCCAGCAAGTCTCCAAGGACATCGTGAACGTTTATGGACCAGAGGTACCTGTATCTGAAATAGTTGTTGAATTTTCTGCAGAGCCTGTGGCAAAGTTCTCGCTTCCAGCAGGCCAGGGGTCCGGTCAACACCAGCATGGGATAGGGAGCATCGAGGCTGGGTAAGGTGCTGCACAGAGAGAAGGAAAAAGATGCCGCCATTAACCTTCTCACAGGAATTCGGATGCGATACACAATATACACAGCTCCCCTCTAGGTATCTCCTAACCCAGGCATCACCAAACTCAGGCCTCCAGATGCCTTGGGACTACAACTCCCATCATCCCTAGCTAACAGGACCAGTGGTCAGGGATGATGGGAATTGTAGTTCCAAAACATCTAGAGGGCCAAAGTTTGAGGGTGCCTGTCCTAAGCTCTTGTTATGTTTGGGACTTGTAAGGCGCCTGAATTATCTATCTTTAAGCACCACACAAAAACGCTCCTCTTCAACCAGGCCTTGGGCTGATTAATATTCTAAAGCCTTTTAAATGTTTTTTTTGGGGGGGTGGTTGGATTTATCTATTTATTTGTGCTTTTACTTTGGATATTTATCTTGTGAACCGCCCTGAGATCTTATGATGAAGGATGGCATATGTCTAATAAAAATAAATAAACGCATATTTTTTTGGGGGGGGTGTGAAATGGTGGGACAGACTGCTTTTAGATAGATAAATAAATAAATAAAATGATTTGGATATTTTAAGGCCATGATTCTATTCACTAGATCAGAGCTTTCCAAACTGTGCATCTTGACACATTAGTGTGTTGGCTGCGGTGTGCAGGTGTGTCATGCAAACGCCCCCTGCACTCTTTAAGGCAGGCATAGGCAAACTCCGGCCCTCCAGATGTTTTTGGGACTACAACACCCATCATCCCTGACCACTGGTCCCGTTAGCTAGGGATGATGGGAACTGTAGTCCCAAACATCTGGATTGCCGGAGTTTGCCTATGCCTGCTTTAAGGGGTTACCTTAACCTCCGGTTTGCTAGTAAAACTGAATTACTGTGTGACGAAATGATGCATGTCTAAAAAGTGTGTCACCAGCATGAAAAGTTTGGAAAGCTCTGCACTAGATGGAGATGATAGGTTCACCCAAACACCCAAATTAAATATTTCCTATGACTTGGAGCATTATTTATAGACTCAACAGAAGGCGTAGGCTGGCAGCTGTTAATTTAATCCTATGTGATGCCTTGGATGCAACGCACCAGACGAGCAGGGCTGAGCTGCTTGGGAACAGAGCCATCAAGTTCCAAGTACGTGCAAGGGGGAAACTGCCTAGAAAATGCCAACACAGTCGCAATGGATGCCCCCCAATGGAAACGCCTCCTGAGAAATGAGAGAAGGGCTGGTGAAAAGGAGACTGATGGGTACAGATGGATGCTAGAAGAGGGTGAGAATGAGGAGGCCTTGTGAGTGCTCCTCTTGTAGCCTCTGTGATCCACAGCGGGAGGCATGTCCATTTTGCCCGCCACGAGATGCCAACGCTATTGACGGGAGAGAGTTAGAGACAGCCTGGAGAAATTACAGTTGCAAGCACTCGTCGCTGGTAATCGTCGCTGGGTATCGATAAGAGGATTGTTGCCTCTTCGCATCTCTCCGTTTGTGATGTGAGTGGCCATCTGTTCCGACAGATTGTTTAAAAGGAACGGGGCGGTGTGCAATCTGTCTTGGAGCTCCGAGGTGAGCAACTAACTTCGTTTCGTAATCTGCTCAGCCAAGCAAGTTCTGCCTGATTTCCGTCCTGGTACCGACAACAGAGTCTTCTCTCCCCCCCAATGGAAAATGTCCCATCCCTGTGACAGCTTTACCTGAGCGCCACCTACAGGGTGGAAGGGGAACTGACGCCCAGCTTACCTGTCAAAAATCCGCTGCGGCTGGATCATGCTATACATGATCTGGGTCATGTGATCCTGGGCAGCCACCACTTCAGGAGGAGGGTCGTACTTGTTGACAGCAGCAACCTGCTCCCAAGAGGAGAGGGATCAATTCATTAATTACATCAATTCCTTCAGCTTGAACAAGAGTGGCCAAATGAGTTTGTGGTTAGAATTCCCTCCTGATTAATCAATATGTTCCTTCTGGAACTCCACACTGCAACATTTTGTTCAGGCCCCCTACTTATATCTCAATACGAATGAATCAACCAAAAGAGCACGCTTACCTTTTCTTGCACGGTGATTTTCTTATGATCCAGCTCTGTGAGTCGAAGCAGCATGAAAATGACCAGGAGCCAATAATCCTTGTGTTGCTGATATCGATATAACAAAGAGGTTGAAGATTCATTTGAATGGACGATAATTTAAATTCAGCTCTTTGAACTAATACACAAGAAGCCATTTTATCATACTTTTGACACAGGATATTAAGAAAGCAGAAGACATCCACAGAAAATGAGAGAGCAACTCAACCAAAGGAACAGGCTGACAACCCTCTTTTATCACGGCTTTTTCCAAAGCGGAGAAGGAAACTGAGCCACACGGCAGGCAGAGAGAAAGATGGGCAAGGTTGGCAGTTAAAATGCTTGGAAAATTAAACATTCAAACCATGTGAGGTGTCTCCTCTTCCCGTACCTGGTTTCCCATCTCCTTTCTTGTCCTTATCTTCTAAGGACCTTCCAATTTTGTTGAACATCCCTAGCCATTGGCAACGCTTGTTGTGGCTGGTGGATACTGCAATTCAGCTGCAGCTGGGGGGCCAAAGGTTTCCCAGGCCTGTCTTTAAAGTTCTCCATGGACTTAGGAACATAGGAAGTGACAGCAATGGCCCCTCTCGCCCTAAACTACCTTCTGATGGGAGGGCGTTCCACTGGGTGGGTGCCACTACCGAGAAGGCCCTCTGCTTAGTTCCCTGCAGTTTCACTTCTTGCAGTAAAGGAACCACCAGAAGGCCCTCGGAACTTTGTCCTCAGTGTCTGGGCTGAACACTGTGGGTGGAGACACTCCTTCAGATATACATATGCTAAACTTCAACATAACAGTGAAACTCCCAAGGATGCGCACAAATCCTGCTCCTGGGGAGTTCAGGATCATAGACCTATTCTACATAGGCAGTAAATCAAGGAGTTAACAGTTTGAAGTGGTAGAATGAGGCTGGGTTTGCCAAATGTTGGTGTCCTGCTGTTTTTGGACTACAGTTCCCACCATCCCTGACCACTGGTTCTGCTAGCTAGAGATGATGGGAGTTGTAGTCCAAAAAAATGGATGGAGACCCAGGTTTGGGAAATGCTGGAATGGGATGTATCTCTTCAGACTGGGGTGTGTGTGTGTGTGTGTGTGTGTGTGACAGTTTTGAATCCTTTTTTTCCCTTTACTTTACTTTTCTAAAACAGCTCAATGCAGATAGAAAACCCGCATTGCTGGCAAAGCCTGGACTGTAATGTTTACCCCTGATTAGCTACTCTTCTGTCTGAAGTTTGTTTTTAATCTTGTGGAACATGAAAAAAAAGAAATGTGCTGCTTCTTTTTCAAATTCACCCTCTTACTGAGGTTTTCATTCCCTGAATGTGTTAAATTAATTTATGGGTTGTTGCTGTTTTTTATCCTGTGACAACTAAGTGTGTATAAAGGCCTGAAAATACCATCTGGGACTGAATATTTTCAAGAGAATGCAGTAGATGAGGTTTAATTATCCAAACTCAAATTTGGTCAGAGTAATGATCCCCCTAATTGCAAGTGAAGTGTCACAGGAACTTAAAGGGCATAAAGAATAAGGGGAGAGATGCTAAACGGAACTGTAAATTGATATTAAAAAAAAATAAAGTTTAGTTGTCTGAAGTATAACTTTAAGAGGTACAATAATTAACTGTCAATGAGAAAACTAACGTCTTGGCAGCTTGATTAGAGGCATTGTCTCAGGAAAGCCAAGTCACGCCAAATCACTGACATTCAAACCAATTCAATGCTGTCTTAACATAATTGCCACTTCCGTTCATAAAGTCACTAAAAAGCCATGCAGATTAATTGGAGAGACGTTTTTAAAAACGACCAAATTCTGATCTAAGGAGCACTGCTTAGCAAGGTTTAAGAGAGCTTAAGAGGAAAACAGCCTGAGTTTTATTTAGAGATGCTCTCCCCATATGGGGCTAGATCACTGAGTAGAGCACCTGGATGTACATATTTTGCACTTGCGCTGAGTGAACCACAGTGGCTGCTGAGCAACTATGGGGCTACATACAAAGTCTCGATGTTAGCATTTACAGCCCTGAACAACTAGGGACAAGAGTACTTGAAAGACTGCCTAAGATCCCTTAGATCAACTAAAGAAATTCAGCTATAGACTCTCATAGGGTAATGACCTGGAAATGGACATTTTATGCTTCTGCCGCTGTACTGGGGAATGCCCTTCCTTCTGCCACATGCAAAGAAGTAACCATCAGTTATTTCAGACGACTTGTAAATATTTCTTTTGCCCAGGCTTCCTCCCTGACCCTGTTTTATGTTTGAAATCCCTGAATCCTTATTCTGTTCATCATTAGATGCTTTTAGAGGCTTTTATACTGCTTTTTCATTGGTTTCAGGTTGCATTATTGTTTTAAAAATATACTTTGCTTTTCATATTGTGCACAGCTCAGAGATTTCTAAGTGGTTTATAAATGCTTTTAAATAAATTAATGAAATAAAAACAACATTGTAGCTGAGGAGTCGGCGTTTTTTGCCCTGTAATTTCTCCCTTAAAACACTGTATGAATTATAAATACAGTGGTACCTCGGTTTTCGAATGTAATCCGTTCCGGAAGACCATTCGAGTTCTGAAACATTTGAAAACCAAAAACTCAATGGCCAGCAGCTAGGCCTCAGGATCTTGCACTCAGTGGAAGCCACATGGCATGTTCGACTTCCGAGGCATGTTTGAAAACCGAAGCATTTACTTTCGGGTTTACGGCATTTGAAAACTGAAATGTTCGTCAACGGAGACGTTCGAAAACCGAGGTACCGCTGTACTGATTTTATTATCAATAAGGAATCTAATTAACTAGGGTTGCACTCCTGCTTGCCTTGCTCACCAATCCTGTGCCAACACCCCCTCCTTAACACCTCCACCCACACCCCTCTCCCTCCACTCAGACCTTGCCCAGCCTCCCTCCAGGACCCTCACTAATGGGGCAGGTTAGGTGAATCCTGCCCAATAGGTTTAATTCATATTAAAATACAAATACCCATACTGGTGTGAGCATTTCCTCACATTAGGTCCTGAGTTGTACTTGCCTTCCCCACCTCTCGTTTAACCTTGCCTCTTCACCATCTTGCCTTGCTGTCTCTCCCCACTGCCAACTTTTAGACAGTACTCCCTGGGGACACGGGTGGCGCTGTGGTCTAAACCAGGGAACCTAGGGCTTGCCGATTAGGTCGGCAGTTCGAATCCCCGTGATGGAATGAGCTCCCGTTGCTCAGTCCCTGCTCCTGCCCACCTAGCAGTTCGAAAGCACGTCAAAGTGCAAGTAGATAAATAGGTACCGCTCCGGCGGGAAGGTAAACGGCGTTTCCGTGCGCTGCTCTGGTTCGCCAGAAGCGGCTTAGTCCTGCTGGCCACATGACCCGGAAGCTGTACGCCGGCTCCCTCGGCCAATAAAGTGAGATGAGCGCCGCAACCCCGGAGTCGGCCACAACTGGACCTAACGGTCAGGGGTCCCTTTACCTTTTACTCCCTGGGGCAGGGTCTCTTAACAGGAACAACATGGGTCTAAGCTCCAAAGCAGAGTTGCTGTGGGCACATTGGCCTTCTAGATCCCGCTTGGAGTCCACCAACACCCTGTCCCTTCTTTATTTTAAAATGTTTTTAATTGAAGCAATTTTTGGCTTTGCGGGAGGGGTTGCTTTTGGTTTGTGGGGGGGGGGGGGAAAGAGTCCAAGACTGGACTCTTACTCCAAAACTGGAGTAAGGCCTACTTTTTGTCTGTGTTTTGTTTGTTTGTTTGTTGGGGTGGTGTGTGTACAGTGGTACCTCGGGTTAAGAACTTAATTCGTTCTGGAGGTCTGTTCTTAACCTGAAACCGTTCGTAACCTGAAGCACCACTTTAGCTAATGGGGCCTCCCTCTGCTGCCATGCCGCCAGAGCACAATTTCTGTTCTCATCCCGAAGCAAAGTTCTTAACCCGAGGTAATATTTCTGGGTTAGTGGAGTCTGTAACCTGAAGCGTATGTAACCAGAGGTACCACTGTACTTGTTTTGCCTATTTCAGGAGGAGGGTTCCAAGCACCACCAGTTTTCTTCCATGGAATGGGTATTTCACAGGGCCCACAACAGTTTCTGAGCTCTCCGAATGTCTGCCCAGCACACAAAAAGGTTGGGAAACTCTGGTGTAGATCTGCTTTTACAAAGATGCCATGCGGGCCAATGGCCCTGAGCCTGCCAATGCATATCTAGTCTTCTTTTGGCAAAGGTTCAGAGGTTTACAGAGATAGAATGATTTTTTTCCACCCCATACAGGTTCCATCAAAATTAAAGAGCAATCCCCGGTGGACTGTACCACTGACATTAACCGAGGAAGACGGTGCTGAGATATGTGTAATATTTCTTTCCCAGATCTCCGGAAATCATTTCAAAGGGTATCTCAAACCCATCAAAATTGAGATGCCGGTGCTGTTAATCTTCCACACTGCTCAGGACAAGTTATCAACATGTGCTGTATCATGCTGATGCACAAGGTTTGACTCTGCTCTAAACGTTGCTGTCATTGACAAATGGGATGCCGCAGCTCGTTAATCACGAGAGATTGTCAAACCCTTTGAATGAGAAGTGAGTCCACCTCACGGAAATTGCATCCAGATTCCAAAGGAAAGCAGGCGCTCAAAAGCCACCCTTTCCCCTTTGCATCTTTAGATGATTTCCTCCCCCCCCCCCCTAGTGTGCATTGGTACCCAAGCACCTGGGCATTCCAAGGCCCAGCTGAGAACTTCTTGAGGTGAGCAAAGAATCACAGAATCATAGAGTTGGAAGGGACACTGTGGAGCATCTAGTCCAACCGCCTGCAATGCAGGATTGTCATCTAGATCATCCATGACAGGCGGTCATCCAACCTCTGCTTAAAAACCTCCAAGGAAGGACAGTCCACCACTTTTCGTGGGCATCTGTTCCACTGAAGAACATCTCGTACCATCAGAAAGTTCTTCCTAATGTTCAGTCAGAAATCCCTTTGGGGCCCAAGGTCTCCTTTCTGGGGTTCTGATATGGGGTATTTGCTGACACAAAATATCATAAAATGCAATAAATCTGCCAGCAAACCAAAGCTTGACCCTGCACCATCTTGGCAAAACAATATAGCCCAGGTTTCCCAAACTTTGGTGTCCAGCTGTTGTTGGACTACAACTCCCATCATCCCTAGCTAGTAGGACCAGTGGACAGGGATGATGGGATTTGTAGTCCAACAACAGCTGGACACCAAAGTTTGGGAAACCTTGGTGATATAGACGCAGCCCAGCAGCAACACATAGCTTTCCACTCATGGAACAGTTATCTACCTTCTTCCTTTGTACCTCCTTTCTGTTGACGTACCTGCACAGGGTTGTTTATCAAATTAAGCACTCTGAGGAGAGGCAGGGATTCAAAATATTCCAGTTCACCCAGCTCAGCCACCTAGATAGGATGCAGGAAAATATAGAATTTACTCTAGGGACCCATTCCGTGATCAGAGCTCTGTGAATGTGCAGAAAAGGCACAGAACCTCCTCAACGGGCAGCCTGAAATGGAACCCTGAAAAAGCTCTTCTGAATGCCCAAACTGGCCCTTTCACTGCCCTTGCACAGTTGCCACATCATGAGATATCATACAAACTTGCAAAGGAGGCCATCTTCAGTGCATGCACACGAAAGCTCATACCAATAACTAACTTAGTTGGTCTCTAAGGTGCTACTGGAAGGATTTTTTTATTTTGTCCAAACAATATTACTTAGTGTGCAAGATCTTACCTGGTTATTTTCTAGGTTGATTTCCTCAAGCAGGTTGTGCTCTTCCAGACCTTCCAAACTGCTGATCTGATTGTCAGACAAGTCCAACTTCTGCAGAACTTTCAGTTCTTCCAAGCCAACAGCCTTCGCTATCTGGTTTGATTTCTGCAAAAGTAATCAGAAGCTTGGGAAGCCCTCGACAAAAGGAATTATGAACACACGACTGTCTCTTGGGCAAACTGCTATCTCTCTAAGGCTGACTGACTCACTCGGCAATCTCCTTCACATGTGCTTTGAGGGGATCACTTAATTTCTCTACACCTGGACCTGGTTCAGACACTCCAGGGCCAGCAGGAGCTTCTGCATAAGGAGGAGTGAGCCAGGTTGCAGCCTCAGGTAGAAAATGCTGGGGCATCAGCAGCCTCCTCCCTTGTACCCAGCCAGACCCATCATTTTGAAATCATTTTTCATGTACTGTCATTTAATTCAGTTTTAAGATCTGAATACATTTTACTTTTGTTCTTTTACTCCTCAGTTCCCTCTTGATTTTCTACCTTTAGTTACTAGTCCTACTTAAAACTGGAGTTTCTGGTATAATATGAGGGTTTGTTTGTTTGTTAATCTAGAAACAATATTTATATACCACCGTATCGTGAAAATATATCACAGCCGTTTGCAACAAAGCAAAAAAATAAAACTGTACAGTAAAATGGTATTTATTTTTTAAAAAAGATGTCAATTAACCATTGCTGAAAGATGTGTTCTTAATTGCCTGTGTAGGCATGGTGGATTAGAAGCTTTCAGCAGGTGTTTAAAAATTGGCACAGAAGGTGCCTGCTGAATCTCCAGTGGCAGAGAGTTCCACAGGACTGGGCCAATGAAACTAAAAGTTTGGTTTCTCATTATTCTCAAATGAACCTCTCCAAGCTGGGTTGAGTCGCATCCCCCCAGCCCCGCCTCTTAGACTGTTTTCATCCTACATCCGGCGCCATCAACCCACATATCTGCATCTAATATTTTATCAATAGTTCCAACCCCGACGCTGCAGGGCACTTTGGGAAGGGGGAAAGAGTGGGAACTACAGACTAGGAAAGGTACACAGGATCAAAGGGCTGGGAGGGGGAGTAAAGCCCTTTTAGAAGTACAGAAGGCAGTAGCAAAAGAGAGGGTCTTTTCAGTGGTGGCTCCCTGGCTGTGGACTGCTCTCTCTGGAGAGGCTCACCTGGCACCTGCATGAAAAAAATGCATCCCTCAAGCTGAAAAAGGTCCTCCACCCCTGCTCAAGGATTTCCCAATCACTGCATGCAACATGTCCAGCATCACCTTAAAGGTAAAGGGACCCCTGACCATTAGGTCCAGTCGCGGACGACTCTGGGGTTGCGGCGCTCATCTCGCTTTATTGGCCAAGGAAGCTGGCGTTTGTCTGCAGACAGCTTCCGGGTCATGTGGCCAGCATGACTAAGCCGCTTCTGGCGAACCTTCCCGCCGGAGCAGTACCTATTTATCTACTTGAGCGTTGACGTGCTTTTGAACTGCTAGGTGGGCAGGAGCAGGGACCGAGCAACGGGAGCTCACCCCGTCATGGGGATTCAAACCGCCAACCTTCTGATTGGCAAGTCCTAGGCTCTGTGGTTTAACCCACAGAACCACCCGCGTCCCACCAGCATCACAGTCCAGCATCACCTCACAACCCCAAAATTCTGCGACTCACCAGACAGAGTGTTTTGATAGGCAGGTTTTTCAGGCCATTGATGGCTGTGATCTTGTTGTCTGCCAGGCTCAGGTAGGTCAGGCACTGGCAATTCTCAAGGCCCTGGATCTCCTCAATTTCGTTATCTGTGCATCAGCATCAAGATTTAAGGAACAAGATTGCACCGCAAAGTGGTTAGCAGTCGGGAGTCCAGCGAGGAATTCCTCTTGAAGAATCCACCACAGTGAAATGAAGGGGAGCTGTGCAACAGCCCTCGGCTTGGGAAATATAATGGCAGTGCACACCATCCGTTTCTTCTCTGGCTTTTTCATTCAAAGCCACCCTAAACACAAAAACGCTCAGCGCTGTCTTTGGAAAACATCCAGGCTATGGGACAAGAATCAGAGAGTTTCTCTATTCCTGTGGATCCATGGTTTGACTGTTGCTACCTGGACTGGGAGGCGCAGGTTCTACTCTTGCTAACTTCCCAGTTCTCTTTTTCTCTAGGTGCGAGGACCCAGAGCTCAGAGACAGAGCACACGCTTTGATCCTAACAAACAGAGCAACCATAACTCAGTGGTGGAGCACCCGCTTGGAGCACAGAAGGTCTCAAGGTTCAGCTCCTGGTATCTCCAGGAAGGGCTGGGAGAGAACCCCACCTGAAATTCTGGAGAGCTGCTGCCTGTCTGTGTGAGCAGCACTGACCTAGATGGACCAGAAGTCTGATTCAGGATAAGGCAGCTTCTTAGGGCTTCAGTTAAAACTGAATAGAGGGTTGGTTCTGTTCTCACTGCAAGCTAAACAAGGGCTTTTACAACAGAGATGAAGGGAAAGAGCAACAACACCTTTGCTGGTGTCTGGAGAGCATCATGGCCGGTGTTGGCTCTCATTTTATTATCCAACCTGCACAACTGAAGCTCTTTCCAATCTCTGTGCCCCACTCTCTCCATCATGGTCCTATCGCCCAAGTGAAGCTTTCTTATGTGGGGTGCACAGAATCTTTTCTTAGCTCAGTATGTCGCAATCTTCCTTTTGTTCCGCGGATATCATGGCTGATTTGGCCACATTGCCGGAGACAATACAAATGAGCGAAGCAGAGATAGCCCGGTGCTCGCCGCATGCAAAGCAATTCCTTTCTCTCCCGCCCCTCGCCCAACCCCACACATCCTCTTTCTATTCAGAGGAGCAATAATCAGCCTTGGCCCACATTTCACTCCTGTCACATTATTTCTGCTTCTGCTATGGGAAATTATAATTGCAAAGGGAGCAAGTTGCTAGGCCACCGGCTGACAAGAGCGATGTCACCCGAACACCTTGTGAAACACACAAATAATGTAACCTGAACAGCCAAGACTGAGCTCTGTATTGCCAAGCTGGAAAAAAAAAAACCCTGTCGGGCATGATATTCTGCTCGATCGTGTGCAAGCTGGCAGGATGAGGGCTGGCGTTGGAGGCAAGAGGGTAGGCAGAAAAGAGCAGCAACAGGTGGCCACCACTGCCTTGAAAGGGGGCAACCTTCCTTTTCCAAAAAGTCTCTTAAGTGGAGATCTGTATCCCAGTCTGAGTCTGTGCTGAATCTGAAATTGTTTTTTTTATATATGAATTGTCTGGACTTGTTTTTAATTGTCTTCGTCGCTGATGCTTTTATTGCAAAATCGCTTTGAGACATTTCATGGGAAGCGATTCATAAATGGAATCAAACACATATTCATTGAGCTCAGCCTTTCCCACAGCTCTTAGCCATGTTAAGCTTGCTGATCAGCTGCTTGGAATAGGGGGGCCAAGTAACAGGGGATGCCTCTTTTGTTCACATCCTGCTTCTTAGGGGCCACCCAGAAAAATTGGTGGTCCTCTGTTGGAAACAGGACACTGGGCTGGATGGACAGCTGTGGCCTGCTTCCTTTGAAGAAGAGCCATTTTAGATCTTATTCCCCTTTCTTCTTTGAAAATGTACAGGCACAATTCTGCGGTTGCCAACGGTCCAGGGAGCAGCCAGGGGCAAATACAGGCTGCCCACGTGTGCCAGGAGGCAGGAGATATGCTTGCCTTGGCCTATCTAGTGGGGTGCAAGTCAAGCCAAAGCTCCTTGCCAACACCCCCAGCCTGACATAATCTAGCAAGGCAAGGGTCCCAGCCCTTTGGGCAGATCAAGTTGAGCATAGAATTTTACAGTCTGAAAGATGGGACTGTGATCTGAATGGGAAAGGGAGAGAATCCTATATCTCCACCAACAATCAAGGAGCAAAGCAGATTGGCCATGGAAGGACAGGGCTGATCTGGTCCCTTTACTTGTTGGGATGTCACATGGGAATAAACAAAGAGGCAGGTCTGGGGCTGTTAGCCCAGGCAGGCAGCCACCGAGGGCACAGACCTCAGAGGGCAGCAGAAGTGACCTTGGAGGGACACCGTTTTACAAAGATTAGTTTTTGTTGCATCTTACGAATTTCTGATATTTGACTCTTGAGTTTACGTTCTGAAGAATTTCGTCATTTTTGAAGCAATTCATACCAAGGCATCTGTTTCTGAAAACTGCAGTGAGTGATTTGGGAGCAGGGGTGCAAGTAGTTAGCCTTGCCTGGAGCACAAAATAGCCTGGCGCCAGCACTGAGTAGAGGTCCATTGGTAGCGCATGAGACTCTTAATCCCAGGGTTGTGGATTCAAGCCCCGCATTGGGCAAATGTCCCTCCCAACTCTTATGGTTCTTTGAGGTAGTCAGATAAGGGTGGGTGAGAGAGACAGATGGACACAGAGAGAAAGAGAATGGATACAGTTTGACAGGAGCTATTCCAGCAACTTGTATGAGCCACGAGGATATCCTTAGAACTTGAATGATCAGCACATTTGAGGTTATGCAGGAATCCCATCCACCCCCACCCCCAGGTCAGATGTTCTCCTTTAGTACATTGGCTTCACTTCTTGAGCCACATGAAGTTGAGGCCTCCAGCACTCTGCTAGGAGGGCAATTGCATGAAGGACTGGGAAGTTGGCCAGGGCACAATCTTGCCCTACTAGACAGCTCTCTTGCCAGCACATCGTAGAAATTCTTGCAGTTGGACAGTTTTGAAGAGCGTGGGCCCTAAGGCTGCCTTGGCACTGTTTCCACCAAATTCATTTCAAAGACCAGGGAAGCAAGAGTTAAAGCACCAGTGTTTTGTATCCAGGTGATGCAGAGAGACCAGCAGACTTGTTTATCCTTTTTCTCTAAGCCCCCTGGGAGAGAGAATGACTCAGGGCCAGCCTCCCTGTGGACGACAAACATCTTCTTAGCAAGCATTCCTCATACTGATATTAGAAGTACTCGGGTTTCAATATTCTTTTGCTCTACAGCTCCCACCCGTCTCTTTTGGTTATGTGCCCAAGAAGTCACTTCTCCTTCATCCAGAATCACAATGACCAAGATCAACAGTGTGTGTGTGTGTGTGTGTGTGTGTGTAGAAGAGAGATAGAAAATGAACCTATTTGCAACAGATTAGGATAGTACATGAGTCTGAAAGGCCCAATCCAGAATTATCTTTTTGGGAGACCTCCCACTAAAGCAAGGCACCCCAACCCCAGATATCCAGCTTATCCAAGGGCACAACAATATCACCCCAAAGGAAACTTCAGCTGGCCAGGCTCACTATCTGGGTAATTCAAGAGAGATACATTTCAACTCACCACGATTTCTCTTGCACTGAATATATACAAGAAGAATATTGCAATCTTGTTGCCTTTGGGATCTGCTGTTGTTGCATTTTACTGGAGTAAAATTAGAAAAATGCATTTAGCGTATGATGCACTATCATTCCATCTTTTGGTATGGATTTTTTAAAACAACAACAACAACCACACACATGGAAACCATATTCCAGCCTTCTGGACAGGGCAACCCACCGATGAAAACAAAATCAACATTAAATTGCATCCTGGACCAAACTCGATCACAGAATGAAGATTTGTGTGTTTGTTTAAAAGCCCCCAGGGTTGATCTTCCAACACTCTGTCGTATCCCACTTCTCTCCAGAATTTCTCTTTCACTCCCAAAAGGATACCGTCAAGTATGAGCTTCTTAAGTGACTGGTAGGCAGAAAGATCTTGCATCGCTTGGATCTTGTTGTGCGAAAAATCTGCTACCTGGAGGTGGGGTAGGTGGAGAGAATACATAAAGATACCATCATAGGGTCTATAATTTGTATGTTTGTTGTTTCTGCGGAACCAAAAGGTCTTCTGTTCGAATTGGACACACGACTGGAGCACAAACATGGGGTGTGCATGTGTTTAGAACTGCCTGCATTTAACCACTTGCTTGGTCGTCATTGGCTTTAGCAGACGTATGTGTGAAATTGCCTGTAGGTGAACGATCAGGCTTGCAAATTGGGGGAAGAGCGCTTGGCTTTACCAGCCTGACTTGCTTCTGTGCTGGCAGTGGCTTATGGAAGTGGCATCACTTCCCCTGTGGCTGGTACAGAAGTTGATCAGGCTCCACCACTGCTTTACAGCCACTGAGGAATCCGGCTGACAAAGTGGAGACAGGCTGCTCGGCTTCACCAGCCAGTTAGCTGACAGGGCTGGCAAAGCAGCATGTTCTGTCTGTCTTTGCACAGGACAGCCCAGTTGGCTCCAGCGCCAAAGTGCTGCCCGATGCAGCTCCAAACGCACCCGTTACAGGACCCAGAAGCACCCTGGGCAAAAGAAGACAGTGGGTATGCCTGGAGCATGTACAGGAAAGGAAGAAAAGGGATCCTTTCCTATACCACAGCCTTGTAAAAGGGATGGGGAAGAGATGAGAAGAATGACCATGGGGAAGAAAAAAGGCAGCAGGGGAAGCTTAACAACAGCTGTCCTTCCAACCTGGAAATCCGTTCACTAGGCTGCTAGCAGCAATTTCTTTGCAGACAGCAACAAGGCCTGTTCAGAGACAACAAAAATATTTTGCAAAACAGCACTTTGGAAATTTTCTAGCACTGTTTTGCTCCACTTGCACACGTCTATGTTGAATCAGAAGCTTCAGAATGCATACCGGAGCACCGATAAACACACACAGAGTTCTCCATGCCGTGACAGGTTCTGAAAGGAACCCCTGAGGGAAGAGAACAAACAGAGCACCTTTTCCTGCCAATTTCAACTACTAAAGACCGTTGCCACAAGATCACCACTATCTCGACATCAGTTTCATTTCTTTTATATGCCTCCATGCTCTGGGTCAATCTTCTCTGCTCTCTATTAATATACCAGCTTGAGGACCCAAAGAAATTTTGGATCACAACTCCCTCTAAAGATGGCATTGTTTGCTTCCGACACGTTTTGAATCTAAAAATACCTTTGCCATGTTGGCTTAAGATTGCATCGGACAACTAGGCGATTCAAGGAAAAACCTTACATGGGGACCAGAGGCAGAACAAGATTGTTGGTGCTGCAAGAAAGTTCAGAGAAAACTGTAGGCTCAACTCCATATAGGCTCAATTGGCTGAAGATTTCCAAGAAATGGCAAATGAAATCATTCCTTTCCTTACTTGCTTAGAATCTGGTTGGCTAGCCAGCTGCACTGAGGAGACCTGAACTCAAACAGAACCCACAAAATTCTTACTTGAAGATTCTTGGGTGGTTTGAAGTCAAAGTATGTGGTTAGTTCATTATGGGAAACGTTCAGGTCCAACAAGTAAGGCATGTAACTCACACATGAAATATCTGGAAACGAAAGAACACGGGGCAGGGGGTAGAAGTAAGAAAAATACATGGAGCGCAGAAACTGGACGTCAGGGCTGTGTAGACTCAGAGCTATGAAAACATACCTACTCTGCTATTAATAGAACAATGTCATACGCCCAGGATACATATGCAAAATGAGTCAATTTGCAGGATTTTCTCCATTTTGCATAAGTTATTCTGTGGCTTTTCACCATTATACATGTCCCTCCTCTGCTAACCACGAGGTGGTGGGGCAGGGAGAGACGAGGATCTCAAAAACACTACTTGATGACAGCTGGAAGTGTTATTCAGCAATTCTGGTTTATTTCACAAAATGCTGTCCACACGTGCATAAGTTTGTCTTTGCAAAAAATATGAGCTAGAAACTACTTCTTCCTTTCCTTTTAAAAAGGAGACTGAGATTCTTAGGGAGTTGAACACAATTGGCAGATTCCATACCTTGCAGGTTTCCTGCACACTCACAGGCCTCTGTACAGACCATTCCCTCTTATGTGCTCAGGACTTCTCCCAACCCTCCTTACATCCTTTGCAGGGACCACTCTTATTTTCATTCCAAGCCACGTTGTAATGTTATCATTCTCATTGTTTTCTCCTCCTTTCTTCTTGATTTCCTTATACCCGAAAAAGCTTTACAGCCAAGAGACTTACAAAAGTGGCAGCTACGTACCATCAATTTTATTGTAAGAAAGATCTAGCTTCTCAAGGTGGACGTATCTGCAGAGAATGCTAATGTCACTTAATTTGCGGTCCTGTGGGAAGAAAACGGGGGAAAGGAGTTAGCATGTGTAACCCTGCACTTGCCTTCTGTTTCAAGAAGACACCAAGGCACAGTTCTGAAAATGAGGTTCTTCATTAACCCCCTAAAGTCTTTCCAAAAAGAATTCATCCCCTCGAGTCCCATTTGGCCATCATCCTCTCACCTACTGGGGCAAATTAACAACCTAATGTTCAAGTTCCATTAACGTATGGTATATGGGAGCATGTCTGTGTCCAGGTAAGGGGAGTCGGGATACACCAACAGAATCCCCAACTTGTCTCCATGACCCCTGTTTGCTTCCTTCCTTTTCAACCAGAGTCCTCAAAGTGGCTGACAACAGTTACCAAACACAACAGATAGCCCCAAAACAATGTGCTCCAAATCCAAAACCACCATCCCCACTGTAGCAGGTCCTGGTGCTGCCTTTGCTTGTCTCCCTCCCCCTCTCCTCCCTACCCAAAGAATACATTACCTCTACCCTAAGAGGCAGTATGACACGGGTGGCACTGTGGGTTACACCACAGAGCCTGGGGCTTGCCGATCAGAAGGTCGGCAGTTCAAATCCCCGCAATGCGGTGAGCTCATGTTGCTCGGTCCCTGCTCCTGCCAACCTAGCAGTTCGAAAGCACGTCATAGTGCAAGTAGATAAATAGGTACCACTTCGGCGGGAAGGTAAACGGCATTTCCGTGCGCTGCTCTGGTTCGCCAGAAGCAGCTTAGTCATGCTGGCCACATGACCCAGAAGCTGTACGCCGGCTCCCTCGGCCAGTAAAGCGAGATTGAGCGCTGCAACCCCAGAGTCGCCCACGACTGGACCTAATGGTCAGGGGTCCCTTTACCTTTCAAGAGGCAGTATGCCTCTGAACACCAGCGGATGGGGATCAAGAGTAAGAGAAATTATAAGATAAGTAACTATACAACCTTTAAAAGGTACCTGGAAGTTTTTTATGTTTGATGTTTTGTTATGTTTCTGTATATGATAGAAGCTGCCCAGAGTGGCTAGGGTGATCCAGTCAGATGGGCGGCATATAAATATGATGATGATGGTGATGATCAAGAGAGGGCTACTGGGAGCATCCCCTGCTTGTGGGTTTCCCAGAGGCATCTGGTTGGCCACTGGGAGAACAGGATGATGGATCAAATTCACTACTGGCCTGACGAAGCAGGCTCTCCTGTTACATTCTCAATTTGATCTGCAATCAGCTGGACATCATTCATTTAAGAATTCTCACTTGCCATTTGGGGGTGCCCTGCCTTCATAAGACAGTTTACAAAAAACCAAAGCACACAGCATAATAATAAATAATGAGGCTTCTGAATGAGATAGTAGTAGTAGTAGTAGTAGTAGTAGTAGTACTTCTAATAATTTATTATTTATACCCCGCCCATCTGGCTAAGTTTCCCCAGCCACTCTGGGCAGCTCCCAATTGAGTGTTAAAAACAATACAGCATTAAATATTAAAAACTTCCGTAAACAGGGCTGCCTTCAGATGTCTTTCAAAAATAAGATAGCTGCTTATTTCCTTCACATCTGAAGGGAGGGCGTTCCACAGGGTGGGCGCCACTACCGAGAAGGCCCTCTGCCTGGTTCCCTCACTTCTCGCAGTGAGGGAACCGCCAGAAGGCCCTCGGCGCTGGACCTCGGCGTCCGGGCTGGACGATGGGAGTGGAAACGCTCCTTCAGGTATACTGGGCCAAGGCTGTTTAGGGCTTTCAAGGTCAGCACCAACACTTTGAATTGTGCTCAGAAACGTACTGGGAGCCAATGCAGATCTCTCATTGTCATGTGTCAGACTGAAACACTGAAAAACAATTATTGTTTTATGCAGCTGGGAAAAACATTTCCTAGTTATTTAACTCATTCCACTTATGAACTGCTTCCTATAAAACGCCTCAAAGCAACCAAATCCCTGCGTTTGGGACAAGGTTGGACACTCTTCCCACCCTACCATGCAATCATTTCAAAATCATAACAGTTTCAAGTAACATTGGTCCTTTGCAGCAGCAGAGTTCTAGTGGGCAGAGGGGATTTCTTAATGAAGCATCAGACCTAATGCCTCAAATATCACATATTCAATAGGTCTAGAAGCACATGATCATGAACTCAAACAAAAGGTCATCAGTCCAGCCAATAAGGCCAAGTTAAGGATTCAAATGGGAGAGGATGTAGCTTGACCGCAAAACTATTTGCCATTAACTCACCAAAAGTGACAGATCGAGGTAGACATGTTCTGTGCCCGGGGCTGAACGCCCCAATTTTTGCAGAGCTTCAGCAGTCATTTCTTCAGTCAGCACACCATCAAATTCCTCCTGAGAGAGAGAAAGGCAGAGTTTTGGTTGGGCTAAAATAATCAAAGCCGGACATCCTCCCTAAAGAGGTATGGCCAACTGTGAGAGAAGATTAGGGCTCCAGCTGGGTCCTTTCCCCAGAGGAACATGACAAATACCTTCACTCAATCAGTGCAAAATAAACAGAGGGCTACAGACTAGAAGTGTCAGGAGCCCATTTCCATTTCTGGCAAACCTGCCATTTGGCAATTAGCTTATATATCTGGGTTTCAAACACCGTTTCCAAGTGAGGCACACAGCAGCCTCAGCGCTGGCTTGTAAGGCCACTGACCAGGCAAAAGTGATGAGCTGCAGCCCAGGAGAGAAGACGATCCAATGCTAGGGGTGAGGTGAGGTTGCAGCCTTTACTAGGGAATGTTGCCATCATTGGGCTACAACCCAGAAACTGGGAGGATAGCAATTATTTTATTCTTATCTATGATAATTAGTAGGTCATCTTATTTATATAATAAAAGTGTTAGATCAGAATGGATGGCACGAGGCCTCAGGAATGCCCCACCAAGTCGTTGATCATTTCCACACATTTAGGTAGGTGCAACAGCACAAAAGTGGTTGGTACGCTAAGAACATTACTTTGCCACACAGATGTTCCTTGCTCAATAAAATCCTGGTTCCAGTAACCATCCGCCTTGCCTCTTCTGGGGCCCTGGGATGCAGCTGGATGATGTAACGCATGAAACAAGAGCTATACTGGCATTGCTAGGTCCTCGCCTGAATGTTTCATTTAATATAAGCATAAGTGGTTAATTTAACAATTGTATTAAGCAGTAAAAACAAATAGGAAGCCGCTATAAATGTATTTATAATCTTCTGTTGGAAGCCGCCCAGAGTGGCTGGGGAAACCCAGCCAGATGGGCGGGGTAGAAATATATTATTATTATTATTATTATTATTATTATTATTGAGGCCAGATCAGTGCTCCATCTAGACCAGTGGCTCTCTGGGGTCCCAAGCTGCACAGCCATTCCCAGTCCTACCTGGAGATGCCATTGGGAACAGAATCTTGAGCCTTCTGCATGCCAAACAGGTGCTCAACCACTGAGCTATGGCTCTTCCCAAACAGAAACATGGGAAACTGTCTTAAACTGAAGCAGACCATTGATCCATCCAGCTCAGTACTGCCTACACTGACTGGCAGCGGCTCTCCAGAGTTGCAGACACGGCTCTTCGCCAGTCCTGCCAGGCGATGCTGCCGGGAAATGAACCTCAGACCTTCTGCCTGCAAAGCCTGGGAAAGCTGAGTGGGTAGAGCATGAGACTCTTAATCTCAGGGTTGTGGGTTCGAGCCCCGTGTTGGCCAAAAGATTCCTGTATTGCAGGGGGATGGACAGGATGACCCTCGTGGTCCCGTCCAACCCTGATTGGCAATGGAAGAGTGCGCCTTTGGGGGTGAAGTCAAACTCAAACCATGGACAGTTACAGCGTCCGCTGTGGCTGCAGAGACAGATATGGGAGAGACATGTTTTGTTGCAGCTGGGGCAGATGAAGACGTCCGGTTGTGCTGCTACAGATGCACCTTGGCGTTTCTTCTCTCTGCGCTCCTCCCAGCAGCCCCTTTCCAACTCTGTTTCTATGTTTCTGCCCCCTGAGATACATGGGCTCTTCCCCCAAATGGGATCAGGAGGAGAAGCTGCCTTAGAAAGCTTCAAATTGGTCCATCTAGCTCAGTGTTTTCTACACATACTGGCAGCAGCTCTCTAAGATTTCTCCCAGCACTACCCAGGGGGTTTCTGCTTTTTTGTAAATTGCTTTGCAAACGCGGCATACAAATGTTATGGAGTAAATAAATAAACAAATGCTGTATTGTTTTTAACACTCTATTGGAAGCCACCCAGAGTGGCTGGGGAAACTCAGCCAGATGGGCGGGGTATAAATAATAATTTTATTATTATTATTATTATTATTATTACTATTACAAAGGACGGCCGGGCACGCGAGCCCCCCCCCCACTCCCTTAACCCAAAACTTCCCGTAATCATTCGAGTAGCGCGAACCCTTCCACTCCACCATGCAAATAAGCCTCCCGTATTTCTCCCTCTAGGCGCGCCTCCCCAGAGGGGGACTCCCGTATTTCTCCCTATAGGTGCGGGGTCGCCGTTCCCGTAATTATCCAAATAGCACGTCGGCAGCCCCTCCTCCCCGCGGAAAGAAGGGTCGGCGCTCCCGTAATTCTCCTTGTAGGGGCGCCCTCCCCAAACGAACCCGTGCCCGTAGTTCGCCGAGTAGCGCCCCCTCCCTTTATAGACAGAGAGATGCCAACCCAGGTTAGGGGCGGCGAACCACCCCCCCTGCACCCACCTCCATGGGCTCGGGCTCCGGTTCGGACTCGGTGGACTCCTCTTCCTCGACGGCGAGCTCCTCCTCGTCCTCCTGGTTGAACGTGGCGTTGCCTTCCAGGCCTTCGGTGGCGATGCCCCTCGGGAAGCGCTCGTCGAAGCGGCTGAGGAGGAGCGAGAAGGTGACGGACGGCGAGGTCGCCCAGGAGCGCAGCCCGCCCGACCGGGCGTCATCGCCGCTGTGCGCGCTCCGGATGGCGCTGCGTCCGTAGAAAGCCGAGCGGGAATGCATGTCGGCCAAGGGGGTCCTTCGTGGGGGTCTCGGTCTCTCTTTCTCTCAGGGGAGAAAAGGCCGCCTGGGAGACGCCATCTTGTGTCCCTGCCGTTGCCCGGCAACAAGGCGGAAAAGGGGGGAGCGGCGCAAGGCCCGCCGGGAGTTGTAGTCGCTTTCCTCGCGCGAAAACGGCGTCCGGGAAGCCCGCGCGCGGTGCATCGCGGGAAGTGTAGTTCGGCCTGTCAGAAAAGAAATGAGCGCGCGGGTTTCGAAATGGTGGCTTATTTATTTACTGCCACGAAACTTATATCTCTAAATGGGTCCTTATTTATTTCCACACACACACAAAAACAACCGCTCGACTGCAGTGGAAACCTCGACGAGGTTTACAGGAAGAATAAAAGCCATTAGATCATAAGGGATTTAGAAACGTTCAAAATAGGACCAGAAGTAACGAATTCACCCCACTCTTTTATTCTTATTGTTAATTTACCACACTAAGCTGTACTACAAAAGTAATGCGGATACATCATTTCCTATCTGTAATAACTAATAATTCTGGCATATTTACACTTTGAAACATTTTTGGTATTCAGAAATGTTTATCTGAACGTTATCATTGCTTTGCTATTTTTATTCCACCTAACTGTTGCATGTCATAGGCTCTGATGTAAGCAGAGATGTATCTCAATGCTACCGTGTTAAATTGAATAAAAACTATGTTACAAAGAACAACTACACCCCAAATGTAGGGCTGCCCAAACGCCCAGAATTTCCCGGACAAACATGGAATCCGGCATCCATGTCCAGAAGGAAATTGGGAAAACAGCCCATGGCAACCCATGTCGGTTGCGTTGTTTTTGCCGAAAGCTGAAAAAAGTTTTTTTTAATTGCCGAAAAAGCTCAACAACTTTTGTGTCTAGATTTTAACTTTTTTAAATATGACAACCCTACCAAAAGTAGCATAGATAGGGGTATAAAACGTAAATGCCCCTGAAACAGTATTTCAGGATTCAGATTACATTACATATATTTATGTTTGTGTATACATATATACACACAGTGCTTTTTTCTGAGGGGCCGCAGAGGACGCATACCCCTAAACATTTTGTGAATCTTTGTACTTTTGTCCATTTACTGTATTTTTCCTGATTTGAACTATAAAATGGTGATTTTTCTGGAGTCAAAATGAGAGTACCCCTAAACATTTTTTTTAGAAAAACAAAGCACTGCACAGACATATATATTCCACAAGTTGGATTAAGTTGATTGAACATTATATTTGATCCTCTGTAATATCAAATTTTCTCTGTACAGAGTTCATTGTTTTCGATAACCTATAATCAAACCAAATGACTTCATTAATTAGATGCACATTTATCTTATTTTTACCATTGTAAACCACATTGATATATTGCTGCAATGCAGCAGTATGTAAACAAACAAAGCAATCAATCAATCAATCAATCAATCTAACTTTTTAATTAATCCTATTTTCCCTTTAAAAAGGCCAGACCATTTTATATGTGGTTGGAACTGAGTTAAGTCAATGATAAGCTAAAAACCCAAATTAAAGCACATGCATTTTTAGAAGTTAAAGGTGTTTTTAAGCTACAGCCAGAAACATCCTCCCTGTCCTCTCACATTCTGCCTTAAGACTCCTTCCAAATGGAGACATACTTACTTACTTACTTATTTATTTTCTATACTGCCGAAGTTCATGGGGCAGTTTACAATATAAAAAAACAAAAATACATACCATTGTAACCAACAGAAACAACCCCCCATAAACATAGATCTATTATTATTTGTTAAATTTCATGGCATGACCATCAGCCAAATTGTCCCCCACTTTGGCTCAGTGTACAGCCCATAGCCTAAGGAAGAGCTCTGTGGAACCCAGAAGCCTGCACACTGTTTTTGTGATGCTTTCCTTGGCTTTATGTAAGAGTGTCCATCCCCCATCAGGGCTGGCCCAATACATTTTAGCACCTGAGATGAACCATAAAATGGCGCCCCACTCCCACCCAAGGAAGAAGCGGGGGAATGAAGATCGATATCAGAAACTAAAGGTGAATAAAGATCTACATTGAGATCTGCTGCCCTTGTGGATTCTGCCGCCCGAGGCAGTCGCCTCACCTTGCTTCCTGCGTGGGCCGGTCCTGCCTCCGCCCACTACACAAATCACAAAGAAGAGTACAAAGGACAAGGAGCAGGGGTCCCCAAACAGGTCCAGCTGGTCCGCAAGGAGTCCATGGATTTGTAGCTGAAGATGGAGACAGCATTCACTGCACTGAAGGTTCGTGTTGATTTTGGCTTGCATTTTTACAGCTTCTTTTATGTCTTATGTTGCATTGTATTCTATTAGGATTTGAACTCTATGGCAGAAGAGTCGGGGGGACAGATCCAAAGGAGGGGCTTCTTTGCACAGGAGCTCCCTGCTGCAAATGATTTTGCAAAGGGATTCTAGTGATTCATAGCGGTTGAGTCTATCAATGGCCACGACTCACAATGGCAAGTGGCAGTAGGAAAGCACAGTGCGAAGTGGTGTGTGAAATTGCAGTCTCTTTCTGTGAGCCTCCTAAACCCTGGCTCCAGCTCCAGTTTTCTTAATTACAAAATAAATAAATAAATACAGCAAACACACGTGAAGAGTAAATGAATGAAAGGTAAGACTGATAGGAAGCTGCCTTTATACTGAATCAGACCCTTGGGTCCATCTAGTTCTGTATTGTCCACACTGACCGGCAGCAGCTCCCCAGGGTTTCAGGTGAGGCTCTTTCCCAGTCCTACCTGGAGAAGATGCCTATGAGTGAACAAACCAACCCCTGTGTTGCAAAATATGACTCAGCAATATCAAAAGCAACACGATGACCAGAAACAAGTACAGTATAGAAAACTCTATGGAATAATGCAAAACATCAAAACTATCGAACTGAAGTCTCTGAAATCCTTGAATAAGTCACAGTGCCAGACTTTGCCCAGCGGATATCAAGTTTGTAAAGCTTTGTATAATCGGCAAATGTCCAATTCTGATGTCCAACTCTGAACTCTGCTGAACAGTGTTTCCAGATAACAACTACTGTTTCGTTCAGTTCTTCATCAGCCAATTAGTTCAACAAACACACATATGTAGAAAGATGTATAATTTCTTCATTAATTGAAAATAAAATATGCAAACGATGACCTGCACGTACATAACAATAACATCAAATAACGTGGAAATTATAAACTGTAACATAAAAAGGTTACATACCCAATCTTTTTTCCAACTGATATAATATACATGAGAATGAAAAATACTCTGGAGCAGTGCTCATGCGATTATTTAGTCACTGTTGTTGTTGTTTAGTCGTTTAGTCGTGTCCGACTCTTCGTGACCCCATGGACCAGAGCACGCCAGGCACTCCTGTCTTCCACTGCCTCCCGCAGTTGAGTCAAACTCATGTTTGTATCTTCGAGAACACTGTCCAACCATCTCGTCCTCTGCTGTCCCCTTCTTCTTGTGCCCTCCATCTTTCCCAACATCAGGGTCTTTTCCAGGGAGTCTTCTCTTCTCATGAGGTGGCCAAAGTCTTGGAGCCTCAGCTTCAGGATCTGTCCTTCCAGTGAGCACTCAGGGCTGATTTCCTTAAGAATGGATAGGTCTGATCTTCTTGCAGTCCATGGGACTCTCAAGAGTCTCCTCCAGCACCAGAATTCAAAAGCATCCATTCTTCGGCGATCAGCCTTCTTTATGGTCCAGCTCTCACTTCCACACATCACTACTGGGAAAACCATAGCTTTAACTATATGGACCTTTGTTGGCAAGGTGATGTCTCTGCTTTTTAAGATGCTGTCTAGGTTTGTCCTTGCTAGTCACTGTTACTAACAACATTTTTTGAAAAATATATACAGCCAGCCCCAGGTGATACTGATAACAGGGAGACCGAGCTTAAAGCCACTAAGTTTTCTATACTGTAATTGTTTCTGGCCATCATGTTGCTTTCGATATTGCTGAGGACTGAACCTTCGGCATGCCAGGCAGAGGCCCTACCGCTGACCTAAAACCCTTTTCCTGGTGGAAATTTCCAGCCTCTACTTCAGCCCGAAGTGCCACTGTCCAAGATCAGCTTTGCCACTTGATTTGGCTAGTCCTACAACAGAAAACTTTGGCATACCGAAAATAACGGCTCACTGGAATGACTCAACTTTCTTGCTTTGCTTCTGTTTGAGGGAAAAGGGGGCGGGGGGGTGAGATAGAAATCCGCCCCGGAGACCAAACCAAACATTTCAAATTAAGCATTATTGCTCATTTAGAAACTTGGCACAGGTTCTTCCTCATTTCTCTGCGCTCAACATTTGCGTCCAGCCTTCTCAGATATAAGATTCTGCAGTGAGTCTATTTCAGCAGCTGAAAACAGCTTTATTCCTTCACAGGGTGCTGTTGCTTCCTAGAAGCACATCTCCAGTCTGGGGTGGGGGTTTTGCTTCATTAATTAAGACATTTCATACTAAATAAGAGGAGCCCTCCTCAATCAGACCAAAGGTTGCTGTAGCTTAGCATCTGCCTTCCTGCAGAGAAAAGGTGGGAACGATCAGCTTCTAAGGTTGTTTACCCCCAGCCACTAGTATTCAGAAGCGCACTGAATCTGATTCTGGAGCTAATACATTAGCTGTCACCGATACTTGGCCTCCCTGAACTGATCTAATCCCCTTTTAAACCTGTATGTTAGCAGGCACCACCATTTCTCGTGGCACTGATTTCCATAAATTGATTGGACTTCTGTAGTCGTCTTTGCTTTGATATTTCAGTATGTCTACAGAGCCAAGTTTTTCTTTGATGGGAAGAGCCGTATGGCGTGTAGTGATCAGTGTCAGACTAAGCGCGGGTGGCACTGTGGGTTAAACCACAGAGCCTAGGACTTGCTGATCAGAAGGTCAGCGGTTCGAATCCCCGCGACGGGGTGAGCTCCCGTTGCTCTGTCCCAGCTCTGCCAACCCAGCAGTTTGAAAGCACGTCAAAGTGCAAGTAGATAAATAGGTACCGCTCTGGCGGGAAGGTGAACGGCGTTTCCGTGCGCTGTTCTGGTTCGCCAGAAGCGGCTTAGTCATGCTGGCCACATGACCCGGAAGCTGTACGCCGGCTCCCTCGGCCAGTAAAGCGAGATGAGCGCCGCAACCCCAGAGTCGGCCACGACTGG